ATGTTCATTTTTTTTCCTCTAAAGATTTAAAGTCAGAGTTAGAGAGAGAGAGAGGGAAGGACAGAAGGAGAGAGAGAGGGAGGGAGAGAGAGAGAGAGGGAGGGAGGGGGAGAGAGAGAGAGAGAGAGAGAGAGAGAGAGAGAGAGTGTCCAACCACTGGTTCACTCTCCAAATGGCTGCAACATCTAGGGCTGGGCCAAATGAAGCCAGGAGCCAGGAGTTTCACCCAGGTTTCCCACAGGGGAGGAAGGAGTCCAAAGGGCCATCTTCAGCTGTTTTTCTTAGGCCATTAGCAGGGAGCTGGATTGGAAGTAGAGCAGCCGGGACACAAATGAGTGCCCTTATGGGATGCCAGTGTTGTAGGCAGTGGCTTTACCTGCTGTGTCACAATGCTGGCCCCTCTTTGGTGTTCTTGTATATTTTCCCTTTATAGTACACTTTCTACATACTTAAAATCTTGCCATTTTAACCACGTGATGCATTTGCTTCATGGGAAGCAGTTTATAACGTTAGACTTGGGCTTGCTAAGCAAACCAACCCCAAAATAAGATTTTTAGACATCTCCCAAAGGGAAGCTCAAAGCATTTGTGACTTCCTGTTTCCTGGGGTAGATTGAAACTCATTAATTAAGGGACGGGGAAGTGGAATCTGTTTCTTTGTTTGCTCAGTGTGAACCATTTGGACCTGTTTCTGTGTGAGTCTCCCAAGGCGGGACAGTGCTTGCAGACACTTCCCGTGTGCAGCGCAGTCAGGGAGTCCCGCATGGTATCAGTGGTGGGCGTCTCCCCCAGGTGGCTATTCACTGAAGAGACCAGAAGTGTGCATGGCTTGAAGGACATCCTCTGCTGATGGAGAGATTTCATTATCAGCGAGGATGGAGACAAGAAGTGTTTTTCCACATTCTGAGTGTGAAGCTGCTGACCTGGCCATCACAATCCCCTCTCTGATGACATCAAGCTGGCTTTGTTGTTTGTGGCAGGGAGTGAACCCTGTGGGGAAGCATTTTGTTGTGTCCATGGAAAATGTTGTAACTCTTCTCCTTTCAGTTTTATGGCACTGGCTCTCAAAAAGCAGCACAGGGCCAAGCAGAGCTCTGCCCTGCACAGGTGCCCCAGCTCTCTTGTATCTGTAATAATGACCTTCAATGAGGAAGCCACAATCCAAGTCCGCATCCAGGCTCCTCCTGACAGGTAGCTGACTTCTGGCAAAGAGCTGGGTTTTTCTAAGACTTTTCTCCTGCTTGCTGCTGCTCTTAAATGGCATCATGCACTGACTCTAGGTGCGACCTGGCACTCAGCTGGCCTTTTGCACTGCTTGAAGGGAGAATTAGTAAACAGAGTTGGGTGAGTGATTTCAAGGCACATTAGCAATGCATTCTGTCTCAAGTATGAGAAGATGGAGGTCATCCTAAGAAGTAGCTCATTTATGACTATTTATAAAAATAAAATTCGGGGACAGCACTGTGGCAAAGAAGGTAAAAGCTTCCACCTGCAGGTCTGGCAACCCATATGAGTACCTGTTCAAGTCCCAGCTGTTCCGCTTTTTTTTTTTTTTTAAGATTTTATTTACTTATTTGAAAATCAGAGTTACACAGAGAGAGAAGGAGAGCCAGAGAAAGAGAGAAGGAGAAAGAGAGAGGAAGAGAGAGAAAGAGAGAGAGAGAGAGAGAGAGAGAGGGATTCTGTCCACTGGTTCACTTCCCAGATGGTCGCAACGACTGGAGCCATAGCAGAGAGCTGGATAGGAAGTGGAGCAGCTGGAACTCCATATGGGATGCCAGCACTGCAGGCCGTGGATTTACCTGCTATGTCAGAGCGCCGGCCCCTGCTCTGCTTTATGATCCAGCTCTCTGCTATGGCCTGTTAAAACAGTAGAAGATGGCCCAAGTCCTTGGGCCCCTGCACCCACATGGGAAACCCAGAAGCAGCTTCTGGCTCCTGGCTTCAGATCTGCCCAGCTCCAGCCATTGTGGACATTTAGGGAGTGAACCAGTGGATGGAAGATCTCTCTGTCTCTCTGCCTCCGCCTCTCTGTAACTCTGCCTTTCAAATAAATAAGTAATTTTTTTAAAAAAATCAAATTCATAGAATTTTAATTAGCAACTTAAAAATATCTTTCATTCAAATATTTGATTGATTATATGCAACTTTGGAAATTTAGATATTTAAGGACACTTAACAGACTTGTGTTGAACTCCTGGAGATGAGAAGATTTAGGCTTATTCCTTCACAACTTTTCCTTGCTTAGAAAGAAATCTGGAAACGATATGAGAATCATTACTGAAACAGTCTTTTTTTTTTAAGATCTTCAGAAGATACCACACTTCTGAGAAAGTGCATAAAGACTGTAAAAAGCAGACATCCAAACTATTTCAATCACTATTTAGCTAAAATATCCACCCATGATAAATAACTCAGTGGCAGTACTGAGCATTTCCCGAGTACAGTGAGTAATACCCTAGTCCTTGTACTCAGGGATGGCGATTCTAAAACAACCAAGAGAGGAGCCTTGATCTCGGGAAGTTTCATTATATTGAGGGGGAAAGAGAAGAAAGCTTACAGTGAGGTGTCATAAGGGGCCCATGGGAGCAGCCTGGAGAAGCTCAGAGGAGGGACATGCCATTCCTGCAAGGGGTGTCTTGATTTTCTGCTGCAACCTGGAAAACCAGGGTTAAAGCATCTGGTTAATAGCAGTCAGGTGCCCATAAATAAACAACGCAGTGTCAATTATTTGTGCTTGTAGAGTACATTATGCTTTGCCTAGTGCTTTACTGGACATTGTCTTTTTAGGTCCCTCTACACTGTGTAGTAGATTATCCAAATGTGCAGATAAGCGTGTGGGCGTGTGGCGACTGAGAGGGGTCACATGGCTTGAGTGCCAGCGAGTAGCTCCTGAGTGTGACCTTTGGGATCAAGCCTCTGATCTTTAGACCCGCCTTCTTTCTCTGACCCTCTAATGGAAGACATGACCTTCGTTTCCCAAAGTATGTGTGATGCTACACTAGTTTTCTGGGATGTTCATTGTATTGTGTGAAACAAGGTTGCTTTTCTGAACGAAATTAACTTCTATCTCATTCTTCAGCTCTTGGCTCAAAAGTCATCCCATAAGGGGAGACTTCCCTGTACCCCCAATCCTCTTACTGTGTGGTCTCACAGCCTTCTCTATTCTCCACATCAGCCACTTGTCAGTGTCTGATTAAGGTCTGTCTTCCCCATCCTGCTGTGATCTCCATGAAGCCAGGGGCCGTGGCTGTTTTGTGTACTAATATATGCTCAGTATTAATGCCTAGCATGTCATAGTCACTCAAGAAATGTTTGCCCCTTGAGTTCTCCGACTCTTATCTTGTTTAGACACGGTCATAGTCAAAGTGGAGGTTCTCTCCTCCCTTCAGAGAAAGGCACCTCCCTCTTTGAAGACCTGTTCTTTCCACTGGGATCTCACTCACAGAGATCTTTTTGCCAGAGTGTCTTGGCTTTCCATGCCTGAAATACTCTCATGGGCTTTTCAGCCAGATCCGAGTGCCTTTAGGGCTGATTCTGAGGCCAGAGTGCTATTTAGGACATCTGTCATTCTATGAGTCTGCTGAGTATCTCACTTCCCATGTTGGATCACTCTCCCCTTTATTTATTCTATCGGTTGGTGTTAGCAGATACTAGACTTGTTTATGTGCTCCCTTTGACTCTTAGTCCTTTCATTATGATCAATTGTGAACTGAAATTGATCACTGGGACTAGTGAGATGGCATTGGCACATGCCACCTTGATGGGATTGAATTGGAATCCCCTGGTATGTTTCCAACTCTACCAATTGGGGCAAGTCAGCCCGAGCATGCCCCAAATTATACATCTCTTCCCTCTCTTATTCCCACTCTTATGTTTAACAGGGATCACATTTCAGTTAATTTTCAACACTTAAGAATAACTGTGTGATAATTACAGAATTAAACCAGTCATATTAAGTAGAACAGACAAAAAAAAATACTATGAGGGATAATGTATTAAGTTGTCCATTAGCAGTCAGGGCTATGCTGATCAAGTCACCATTTCTCATAGTGTCCATTTCACTTCAGGAGGTTTCCTTTTTGGTGTTGAGTCAGTTGTCACCGATCAGGGAGAACATATGATATTTGTCCCTTTGGGACTGGCTTACTTCACTCAGCATGATGTGTTCCAGATTCCTCCATTTTGTTGCAAATGACTGGATTTCGTTGTTTCTTACTGCGGTATAGTACTCTAAAGAGTACATATCCCATAATTTCTTTATCCAGTCTACCGTTGATGGGCATTTAGGTTGGTTCCATAGCCTTGGAAACTCATAACTGGTGCATAGGGAGATTACTGATGCCATAAACAGGAGTGTCAATTGGTAAAGTCAACAACAGGAGTCACTGTGCACTTACTCCTCATGTAGGATCTCTGTCCTTAACGTGCTGTACACTGAGGCTTAATGCTATAACGAGTACTCAAACAGTATATTTCACTTTGTGTTTCTATGGGGGTGCAAACGACTGAAATCTTTACTTAATGTACACTAAACTGATCTTCTGTAAAAAAAAAAAAAAAAAAAAAAAAAAGAAAGAAATTATCAATTCCCAACTTGACTCTCACTGGGATTAAACATGACAATAGGTCTGATCTGATTTCATCATCATTTAAAAAAATCATCTATTATTTTTCACTTTATGTTTCTGTGTGGGAGCAAACTGTTGAAATACTTACTTAAGGTATACTAAGCTGATTTTCTGTATATTAAGATAATCGAAAATGAATCTTGATGTGAATGGAAGGGGAGAGGGAGTGGGAAAGGGGAGGGTTGTGGGTGGGAGGGACGGTATGGGGGGTTAGCCATTGTAACACATGAGTCGTACTTTGGAAATTTATATTCATTAAATAAAAGATAAAAAAAAAATGAAGCAAAAAAAAAAAAAAAAAAAAAAGAAATGTTTGCCAAAGGGATGTCTTCATTTAAGCTTTGTTTGCTATTTCCATTCTTTTCAATAGAATACCCAACATGTGAGCAGCTCACCTGTGCCAACGGAGCCTGCTACAACACAAGTCAAAAGTGTGATGGGAAAGTTGATTGCAGGGACTCCTCTGATGAAGCCAACTGCAGTAAGTAATGTGCATGAGATATGCAGAGGTGAGCTGAAACCAGCTTATCCTGCCCTGGGAGGGCCAATTCTGTGTATCTCTTCCCAAGTTTGCATTCAGTGAATTAATGTTGTTAGTTTGAAGTCAGCTGTTTCCTGGAGTATTTACACCATGGAAATTGGCAAACAGTACCACTGGGGTCTTTTAGTTCCTGGAGAACTGACTGTTAAACATTTACCACCATTCTAATAGCTAATACATGTCCCTTTAAACTTGGGATAGAATCTTCTGTGAAATTAAACGGATACAGTGGAATTGAAATTTTCCTTCTTTCCCTTCTTACCCTTGTGTTGCAGCTGGGCTGTGTCTACACAACGAGTTTCAGTGTGACAACGGAGATTGTATCCCTCGCTCCTTTGTCTGTGACCATGACTTTGATTGCAATGACAACAGTGACGAACATTCTTGCAGTACGGTGATTTCCTTATGCTGGGTCATGTTGTCTGGAGTGGTTTTTGTGTTTTTCTCACCCCCCCCCCCCACCAATGTTCTGCTTTTTTCAAAGAAAAGAGTCATTTTACTTGATGACAGATGGAGCCAGAAGATCATTCAGGGAGCATGGCCTGAGCTGTAGTGTGTGGTTGGATCTGGGCTCCTTTATCTTTTAAGGATCTGTGTAGTTGATGGGTTGCTGATGGACAGTTTGCGTTCTTTCCTTAGGCTACAAGGGTACAGGGTATATTGTATCACTGACTCTCAAATTACTCATAGCTCAGGAATGGGCCTGATAACCTTGAAAGAAGAGAGAATGAGAGAAGGGCTTGAAAGGGAAAGGAAGTGCCCTAACAGCAGTGGTTCTGACTCTGCTCTGCAATCTCTTTCTTTTCTTTAATTTTTTTATTTAAAGATTTATTTGTTTGAAAGGCTGAGTTACAGACAGAAAGGGAAAGATAGAAAGGGAGAGAGATCTTCCATCCCCTGGTTCACTGTCCCAATGGCCCCAACAGCCAGGGCTTGGACATAGTCCACTGCCTTCCCAAATGCATTAGCAGGGAGTTGGATAAGAAGTGGAGCAGCCTGGACCTGAACCACAGCTCTAATATGGGATGGCAACATCACAGATGGCAGCTTAACCCACTGCACCACAACAATAGCCCCTACTTTGCAATTCCTACTGCATTAAAGTTGGGAGTTTAGGAAAGCTTCCAAGTGGATTAGGTGCCTTTTGGTGCCTCCACTTTGACTATACTTTTACTTCCATGCTGTTGCCTGTAATACAAACTCCTTTTCTCTTATCGTTGCCACCTCTTGAGTCCTTTATTAGACTGTAACAGGTTAGAAGTTTCCATAAGGGAGTTTTATTAATTCCAATTAGTGGGCATTTTTATAGCAGTTTGTTAGAATGTATGATTTTTCTCCACACCTGATTGATTGGTTGGTACCTGTGCCTTATGGGGTTACATATTTTCAATATCATCTTAATTTTCTATGAACCATGTACGATTTCCTTTATGGGATCTGGGCTTATTTCAGTACTGCATCAAAGATAATATGACAACATGGAATGGTTGACTCGGAATCACTTGGTCTCAGTGTGCAATTACAGTGCTTGTGGTAAAGTAAGAAAATGCTGTACACTGGATGTCTAGCACTTGCTGTGTCTGCAGACATCCTGGCACGCCTGTACCACCTCTGTTCCATGTCACCTTGTTGCATACCATTTTGTTTTTTAATCTCGAGAAAGGGAGACTGGCACCTCAGTTCATTTCCTGGACTCAAAGCTGCTGTTATCTCCTCCTTTTCTTCTTTCCCGTCCCATCCCCCTCTTCCCCTCCCCCATTTTTGTCAAGCTACTTAAGGGATTAAGCTGATATAGAAATTTCAGTTTCCGGGAGCTAAGTGTAGGCAGTGAGGTGAGCACTTTGACTTTTTACCAAGTGATTAGTGAAAGATATTGCTTTCTTCCAGCCTACCCGACCTGCAGTGGCAACCAGTTCACTTGCTCTAATGGCCAGTGCATTCATCAAAATTGGGTTTGCGATGGAGAACAAGACTGTGGTGATCATGGAGATGAAAATGGATGTGGTATGGAGAGGAAGGGATTCCTATTTAAGCATTGTCTTAATGTGTTTTCCAGAACCTATTTTTCCTCCTTTCCTATCAAGCCTCAGTGTTGGTTGGGGTTTAAGAACTTGTTTGGGGACTTAAACTTTTTTTTTCTAAAATGATTCTGAACTCAAATGCAGCATAAATTAAAATCCGTATCATAAAGGCAAAAAAGATAGGACAGTGTCTCCCCCTTCTATATCCCACTCTGTCATATTCCATGTCAGGTTGCCTATCACTCCTAGGTCTAAGTAGTAGGCTGGGAAAGTAGGGAAAAGAGGGGTAAATGTGATTTGTCTCAGACCTTACAACTTCTAAACCTGACTTTGAACCAGTTACAATTACAGTTACAGTTACAGTTCTGTTCAAGTTTTTTTTTTTTTTTTTTTTGACCTCCAGTGGTGAAAGAGAGGCCACATAGTGGACAGGTGGGATGGGGCTAGGATCGGTGGGTACAGGAGAGGCTGCTGCCCAGGGAAGATTATTTGAGAAGGAAATTGCCAATGAAGTGCAGCCACACTTTCTGTGGTTCAGGGCTTCCTCACATCTGTACCGTGAGGCAAGTTGTCTTCACTGTCCCAGGCCCAGATATTATAGGGTGATGCTTTTTCTGGGAACATCAATTGCTTTCATGTTTCAATGTTCCAGGAAGTGGTCTTCCTACATTTGAGTAATGGTTTTTCTTATAGTGTCAACATTTCACTAAATAAACAAAGCAAATCAAACTGCCAGCACCAAAACTCAGCAATCTTGGGAGTCACCTTGATGACCCCTGAGTTCTGTTGGTCAAGATTTGAATGTCTGATTCTTCTTCTAGGAAGGTTGACAATTCAGGCCCATATCTGCTTTTCACTCTTACCACCTAGCTGGGTGGGGGCTGCCTTCCCCTGGGAAAGTGAAGCTTAAATAATTCCATCTTGCCACTATTCAGATTGTTAATAAAAGGCTAATGAAACAGAGACTTTGAGTTTGCTGTTGAATACAGGCTGTTTGTGGCTTTCTGTTGTCTATCTTAAACATGGATTTAAAGAGTGCTGGCTCCAGTTCTGTGGTCTGTAACCACCAATGCCTCTCTTTTTTTTTTCCCCACAGATAACAGTCATCGTTATCATAAGTGTTACCCTAGAGAGTGGGCCTGCCCACAGTCTGGACAATGCATCCCGATTAATAAAGTTTGTGATGGGATTTTAGATTGTCCAGGAGGAGAAGATGAAAACAGTACCGCTGACGGAAGATCTTGTAGTGAGTATGGAAATTTATCTAGGCAACTTTCAGGTAAAGATGCTTCCGTTCTAAACCAGATTCTCAAGTGCAAAGTCCATCATTTGGCCTTTGCGTTGCAAAGACTTGGTGCCTACATCAGTGAACATTTACTGTTTCTCACAATTCTGTGGGTTGGCCAGGGAATTTTTCTGGTCTGGACTAGCTCACTCATGTGTCAGGATGTTGCAGGGAAAGCTTGGGCTAGCCCAGGCTTGTTTACATTGTCTTGGAAGGAGCAAACTCCCCGGCTCAAGCACTTGAAGCTCTGCTTTTGGCATGTTTGCTAATGTCTTACTGGCCACATTATGTGACTTGACCAAGCATGGAATATATTAAAGAAATCAGTTACAAAAATGCATGATTTCCCTTCCCCCAGAGGAAGATTGGTTTTAATGTTCACTGTGATGACTCTAAGGGTATACAGGAAATTTCATTTCTTGGATTATGCTCATGGAAAAAGGTTTTGTCTGGCTATAGTAAAAGTAAAAAAAGCACAACAAAACAAACACAAGCTTGTATTTCCTGGGCTATGTACTTTTAGTTCTTTTCTTTTTCTTTTTAAGATTTATTTATTTATTCGAAAGTCAGAGTTACACAGAGAGAGGAGAGGCAGAGAGAGAGAGAGAGGTCTTCCATCTGCTGGTTTACTCCCCAGTTGGCTGCGCTGATCTGAAGCCAGGAGCCAGGAGCTTCTTCCGGGTCTCCCACGCGGGTGCAGGGATCCAAGGACTTGGGCCATCTTCTACTGCTTTCCCAGGCCATAGCAGAGAGCTGGACTGGAAGTGTAGCAGCCAGGTCTTGAACCGGCACCCATATGGGATAAAAACATGCAGAGAATTTTATGGCATTTTTCCCCTTATTTCATTTGAAAGCTTTAAAGTTTAAGGTAATAAGAGATATATTGTCATGGAACAGAAGCTAGAAAATAAAAATTAACAGAAAGAAAAAAACAGAGTCCCCTAAAATCCCACTGTTTGAAGCTAGCCACAGTGCACATTTTTAGGGTACAGTTGCAGCCCAGTCACTTAGAAGTTCTTAGGCTCTTCTACTCTGTAGACACAAAGATAGACTCATGACCAGATTTCTCTGTAAACAGCACTTAACATGGCTTACACTTGTATATACAGTAATGATAGCTTTGAAAAGGAGTTTTAAAAATATGGGTTGAGCTTCTATTGCATAATATTGTGCTACATTTTGAATGCTGGCAGATTTTTCTGTACCTCTACCATGTGCTTACAAAGAAGCTGGTAGGTAAGTCAGTCTTCCTGGAGGTCACCATTCATTTACTTATTTTTTTTTTTTTTTCCTTCTGTTCAGGTATGACTCAGTGTCCTACCTTGAACTGTGAGTACCAGTGCCACCAGACACCATCCGGAGGCAGCTGTTTTTGTCCCCCAGCTTCTATCATCAACCAGAATGACAGCCGTACCTGTATTGGTAGGTGACAGGCGGGAACTCCTGGTCTTTCCCCGCGTGCACTGATGGGCTCCATGATCTTGGACATCAGGGAGTTTGTGCTGTGGATGGGAGTGATGGTCCACTATGGCAAAGAGCAACAGAGCTCTCACAGAAAACCTGGGAAATAGCCACTGCTCAAGGCAAGAGAGCCTGTTTATTTTCTGATGATGGAGGTCGTCCCTCTGTGTTCTCGTTCTAAGCAGTTGAGGCAGGGCTGATAAGGACATGTTGGTGATTAAATCCTGAATTGCTCTCTGGCAGTTGGTAGATGGCTGCTGTGTTGAGCCCATCAGGGACTCCCAATCTGCTCCCCTAGCCTCTTCTCCAAGATGGACAAGTGCCCCCAGGATCCAGCAATTAAAGCGTTGTCACCTGACACAGCACAGGGCCATGTGGTCACTGCTCCTGTGGCTGCACTAGTAGGCCAGTGCCCATGCTGGGCTAGTTGTTCACTGTATTTATTTTCACTTATTTTCACTTCTAATTGGAATAAACTTCCAGGATGAAAAAATTCTTTATCACGACACTTCCAGCTGGTGCTTGACATTGGAACTAGACACCACAGTACCAAGTATTTCCTTACATCTCTCTTATCTGAATTACAACATTTAGATTTCTCCCACTGGAAAACAAATCTTTGATTCTGATGCCAGCCTTATCAGAGTAGGATATACTGTGATTAGGACAGGGCCTTATGAGGGAGAATTAGACATGGCCAAGGATCATCAGTATTCATTTCCTTCAGATTTGAACGAATTTTTAAAGCTGTGACTTCTTTTGCATTCCTTCTTAATTTTGGTACATGAACTACAAATATCTTATTAGAAAGTGGCCATGGATTTTTAAAAAAAAAAAAACCTTTGTTTTTTCCTGTATTGGTAAAAGACATCTGGAAATGGAAACTATGTATTAAGATTAAGTTTGAACATCATTTATGAATCTCTGGAAGACTGATGATTCAGAATTTTTCAAGGGTATTTGTGTTCTTTTGATATCCCTTATTTTTTTTTTTTTTTTTTTGACAGGCAGAGTGGACAGTGAGAGAGAGAGACAGAGAGAAAGGTCTTCCTTTGCCATTGGTTCACCCTCCAATGGCCGCCGTGGCCAGCGCGCTGCGGCCGGCGCACCGCGCTGATCCGATGGCAGGAGCCAGGAGCCAGGTGCTTTTCCTGGTCTCCCATGGGGTGCAGGGCCCAAGCACCTGGGCCATCCTCCACTGCACTCCCTGGCCACAGCAGAGAACTGGCCTGGAAGAGGGGCAACCGGGACAGAATCCGGCGCCCCGACCGGGACTAGAACCCGGTGTGCCGGCGCCGCTAGGCGGAGGATTAGCCTAGTGAGCCGCGGCGCCGGCCCTTGATATCCCTTATGAAGTCGAGATTATTTAAGGCTTTCTGATTAAAAACAAACATGATATAAATAAGGAAAAAAGTTCTAAAAATTAAAAAATGTCTGCTGAAATAGATTTCTGACCGATTGATATAATTTGGTAAAGAAATTGAATTTGGGTAAACCTAATGAAGTTAGTCAATCTTTAGTCTAAGCTCATGGCTTCCAACATAATTATTCTTCATCAAATGTGGTGAATCTCCATAACCACTTCGAGCCAGGAAATCCCTTTGATACCAGAAATAAACTCTGGTTTGCAAATTAAACTTTGAATTGTTTTTTTCTTTCCAGTTATAGTTCCATTTATTTGTGTCTTCCTTATTTTATTTTTTATTAAATTTTAAAATTTATATAAAGGGAACAAATTCTGTGTATTTCATGTATACAGGTTTTTTTTTTTTTTAAATATTTTATTTATTTATTTGAAAATCTGAGTTACACAGAGAGAGAAGGAGAGGCAGAGAGAGAGAAAGAGGTCTTTCATTTGTTGGTTCACTCCCCAATTGGCCACGACAGCTGGAAGGGCACCGATCCAAAGCCAGGAGCTTCTTCCAGGTCTCCCACGTGGGTGCACGGGCCTAAGGACTTGGGCCATCTTCCACTGCTTTCCCAGATTGTGTCATCTTCTACTGCTTTCCCATGCCATAGCAGAGAGCTGGATTGGAAGTGGAGCAGCCGGGACTTGAACCAGTGCCCATATGAGATGCCAGCACTTCAGTCAGCAACTTTACCTGCCATGCTACAGTGCCAGCCCCCATTTATACAGTTTTAAGAGCATAATGATACTTCCCACCCTGTTCACCCTCTCTCCCTCATGCCCACCCTCTTTCCTTCTTTCATTTTTTAAAAAATTTTTAAAATGACATACTTCTTTTTTTTAAAAAAATATTTATTTGAAAGTCAGAATACAGTGAGAGAGAAAGAGAGAGAGAGAGAGAGAGAGAGAGAGAGAGAGAGAGAGAGAGATCCACTCTCCAGATGATTGCAATGGCCTGGGTTGGGCAGGGCAAAGTCAGGAGCCAGGCACTTCATCCATGTCTCCCATGTGAGTGCAGGGGCCAAGCCCAAGCACTTGCGCCATTCTCTGCTGCTTTCCCAGGCACATTAGCAGGGAGCTGGATTGGAAGTGGATCAGCCAGGACTCAAATCTGTGGCCATATGGGATGCTTGCACTGCAGATAATGGCTTAACTCCCTGTGCCACAAGGCTGGCCCCAAAATGACATGCTTTCAATTTACTTTATAATCACAAGCTTAACCCTCCTGGGATTCTTGAGAATGTATATTCCTCAGAAATACAATAGTGTGGCTCACTTACCCGTCATATGCCAAGAAAGACTGGATTTTTATATATAGTAAAACGATCTGACTGTGGTTGTGTTTCTGATGTTCAAAGTAGGTAATTTTCTGTTTTTAATATCAGGATCATGTCTCAATGTTTGGAGTATCCTTTTCAGTAACTGTATTCCACAGGACACACTAAGATCAAGTGGTTCATGCAAGTCAGCCCAAGAGACCCTGAAGACTCTGAGAGAACTGTGAATCATGTATGAAACCACTCTCCTCCCCCCAGATTTCTAATCATTTCTAAACATTTTAGAAACAAAACGTTATGATCCACAACTGCCCTTAAATGAGACTGCAGGGCACTTTTTGTTTCATTTTCATTGCCATCATCATGACATGGGGGCTGCAATCCAGGTTTTAAAGCCATTCTCACAAGCGTGTGTGCACCTGTTTGGGGGGCCCTCTGACTTTTGAAGCTGGCCCCTGCCTCCTGGCACCTGTGGGCAGGCAGCATCCTTTGTTCTCGGAGTGGTGCTCATCCGTGTGAGGGTGAGGCTGCTCCTTTGTCCTTGGCAAACGTCAGGCTTCCCTACCTTCCTTTCCTGGCACCCAGCTGCCAATCTGGTTCCCAGCCTTCTAGTTCTCTAGGCACTTCTCTTGTCTCTCAGTAGAAAAGGAATTCCAGTAGAAACACCGGAAGCCACATTTCTCAGTCTTACATCAGCTTTAACACCCAAGGAGGAGTAGGGGCCGAGCTGCTTTGCGAATGAAATTAGATAAGCCTTGAAGTCTTTCCAAAGTGATCTGTTTTTCAGTATCCTTGGCTCAGTCTTGTGATGCCCCATAACCCGTCCTCAGTCATTTTTTTCCCACCCTAGGGCCCCAGATAGCGCAGTTTCCACCTTTTCCAATATCTAAGTCTGTGATGAGCCTAGGGTTGTGCTCATCTTTCCATGTGTCTGTAGCTTCTTAAATGTCTGATTACTTCTCTTTTTTTGCAACCCTGTAAGAAATGAAAAGATCATTGTGTTACAAAATTTCACACTTAGCATACCAATGAAGATAATACAGAAAGTGGCAATATTATCTTGTGCATGAGAAAATTTCAGAATTTACAGAACACTGTGCAGTTCACAGCATGTTGGAAGTGGTGTGGTCCGATGCTGGGTGATAGTTTGAAGTTATACAATAGACATCTTCTTGTCAGGCCCCCAGTATCTTTCTGGGACTTTAGGGCAGACGACATCATCTGGAGATAAACTTGAAAGACTACTTCAGAGGACCCTTGTCAATGGGAGGCCCCTGCCACCTGTGAAACCTTTTCTATGACTTTCCTTGTCTTTCAGGAAGGTGTCATTTGCCCCTGAGTTTTGAAACTGACTTACCATTTCTGTCACATTTGTTTCCAAGGGGACTGCATTTTGTACAGAGAACTCTTTAAAGACATGGCATTGTGAAGCCGGTTGCACTTGTTTCAGCTAAGCTGAAATTTTTGCAGAAAACTGTTTTGGTTTGCTCTCTCAAGCATTTCAATGCAACAAACTGGTTGTAACTCTTTGCATGGCTGACTCACTACAGAGGCTTCAGGTGTTGGGAGCCTATGCAACATTCGGCATCTTAGACATGGATCCCCTGTGAATGCCTTGGTGGTAACCGCGAATAAAACTGCGTTACACAAAATCTTGTGTCTTCCTACTATTCATCCGCCCCTGGTAGTCTTGACCTGGCCATGGAAGCTCTGTGGTGTGCCGAAACATTTAACTGGGCTCATTGTTTCTGATTGACAGGACATGCTGTTTGTTGACAGAATGACATTGTGGTGCACCATTAGGGCAGGGAGGTCATTCAGCATGGTGGGGCTTCACACAGCCAAATGGGTCAGAGAGTGTCCAAGGGGGTTTCAGCTAAAAAAGCAAATTTTGGATTATTTTCAAAGTGGTATTTGTTGGTAGAAGGAGAACGAGAATAAAAAGGAAAGAAAAGTGGAGAGAGGTAATGGAGTTTTTGGGGAGCTTTGGAGAATTTCAGTGCTGATCAGGTTGTCGCCATCTGTTTTGCTCTTCTCAAAAATTCTCAATTCTATTTGTCTTCAATTTGGCTGACAATGGATATTCTGTAGCCTTCATTTCTTTCTTTATAGTGTTCTAAGGGATACAGTATTATAAGTCAAGGCACATAGCAGTGAGGTTATTCACTCACTCTAATCTTTAAGCCCTGGGAGTATAGGTGACAGGACGGGCATTTGTGCATAGGAATTTCTGGTCATGACTTCTGCACCTTTGATTTCCTTCTGTTTGAGCTGCTGCTTCCAGAGTGACTGCAGACCCGAATGGTTCATGGGTCTTGCATTTAAAATGAGATCATGACGTTCTCGGGGTTTAAGGGGGGAATGTCCTGTGCTTTCCTTCCCACTGAGGCGAGGCAGCAGGTGCGCCTTTCTCAGGGCTGAGGTGAGGACACAGCGATTCATCAGTGAGAACTTTTTATACCCGTATGGTCTTGTCTGGAGCATACTGGGTTGACTTTAACCCCCTATAGTTAGTCACTGTCCTTGGCAAGAAGGCTGTGCTAGTCCATGGTTGTGTTTGGCCAAGAGGGAAAGATGGAACCATGGACTTGATCCCAGGACCTTCTTAGTCTTTCCTGGTTGGGAAGTCATGGGAGGGTGGGCCCCCCAGCAGGTGTGGTAGCTCCCAGTTCATCATTCTGCCATTGGCTGCAAATGTAATCAGGTCTTAGAAATCTGGAGAATTCTAGACCTGAGGGTGTAGTGGTTTCAGGAATTATAATCCATGTAAGAATTTCTGAAAGCTCAAGGGCACAGGAATCCTGCTGGCGTCCTTCCAGGGTGTGGGATGATGAAGAGGATATAGACTTGCAGAGTCCAATGCAAGATAGTTGGCACCAAATTCTGTCTTAAAATCTTTAGGAAAGTAGGAAAAGATCCTTTGTATATGCTGTTGTGTTACCCCCCACTGCCATGTTACATTGCTTATGTCAGTTATACCAAAACTGTTTGTACACAGTAGAACAGGGGTTTCTGTGGCAATGAACAGAGCTCTATCATGTAAGGCGTTTAATAAATAAAAACTTATTGGGGCCGGCACTGTGGCATAGTGGGTAAAGCTGCCACCTGTGGTACCGGCATCCTATATGGCTGCCAGTTCGAGTCCTGGCTGCTCCACTTCCAATCCAGCTCTCTGCTGTAGCCTGGGAAAGCAGTAGAAGATGGCCCAGTCCTTGGGCCCCTGCACCCATGAAGGAGACCTAGAAGAACCTCCTGGCTCCTGGCTTCAGATCAGTGCCTCTCTGGCCTTTGCGGCCAACTGGGGAGTGAACCAGTGGATGGAAGAACATCTTTCTCTGCCTCTGCATCTCTGTAACTCTGACTTTCAAGTAAAACAAATAGATCTTTAAAATAAATAAATACTTAATAAATGAATAGTAAGTTAATAAATAGAAGACATTTTTCTTTTTTACAAAAGATATTTGTAGGACAATTTTTTTTATATTTATTTATTTATTTGAAAGGCAGAGCTACAGAGAGGCAGAGGCAAAGAGAGAGAGAGAGAGAGAGAGAGAAGCCTTCCATCTACTGGTTCACTCCCCAAATGGCCACATTGGCGAGAGCTGAGCTGATCTGAAGCCAGGAGCCAGGAGCTTCTTCTGAGTTTCCCATTAAGGTTCAGGGGACCAAGCACTTGGGCCATCTTCTACTGCTTGTCCAAGCCATAGTGGGGAGCTGGATCAGAAATAGAGCAGCCTGGTCTTGAACTGGAGCCCATGTGGGATGCTGGCACTGCAAGCAGCAGCGTTATCAGCTATACCATAGTGCCGGCCCCTGTAGGAAAATTTCTTTTAAATTTCTTTTCATTTTAGTTCTACAAGACAGAGACACACAGAAAGGGGCAGAGAGAGAGAGAGAGAGAGAGAGAGCTCTTCTTGCCATTGAATCACTCCCCAAATGCCTACAGCAACTGTGGTTGGGGCAGGCCAAAGCCAGGAGCCCATGTTTTGAAAATAATGCTAATTTAGTTTTGGCTATGATTTTTTGACATCAAAGGAAAAATAACTGGAGAAATAGACCTTTTCAAATGCTTTGTTGCAATTACTTATTTGTATATTTAAGATTTTTTTATTTATTTGAGAAAGAGAGATCTTCCATCTATTGTTCACTCCCCAAATGCCCAAAACTACCCAAACTGGGTTGGGCTGAAGCCAGGAGATAGAAACTCAGTCTGGGTGTCCTACATGAGTGGCAAGATTCCAGCTACTTGAGCTGCCAGCTCCTAGGGTGCACATTAGCAGGAAACGGGAGTCAGGAGCCAGAGCCAGGAATGGAACCTAGGCACTCCAATGTGGGATGTGGGCATCTTAACTACCAGGCTAAATTCCTGCCCCCTTCATGTATATTTTTATAAACTACTTGAATGCTTTTGGGTTTTCTCTGTGACGAAGATGCCTCTCTAAATTCCTACGTTTTATTGTATGCTTGGAACCTGTGCCTCCATTGAGAGGGTACTTGATGAAACAGGGGCCTCACCATGCTTCTGGACATGTTTGCCCAGGATTTTTGTCAGAGTGCTCAAGAAATCAACATTTCTCTCTCTCCGAGAGAGAGAGAGAGAGAGAGAGAGAGAGAAATGCTGGTAAACGTGATTACAAATGTTTGTTTCCCCTGTGACAGATTTTGATGACTGCCAGATATGGGGAATTTGTGACCAGAAGTGTGAATACCAATTTGGACATCACCGTTGCCTCTGTGAAGAAGGCTATATCTTGGAGCGTGAGCAGCACTGCAAAGCTAATGATTCCTGTAAGTGAATCATGGACCCTTGGGTCCCTGAAGGATAAGCTTCTGCTGTCTCCCTTCTGCTGTCAATGATAAAAGAAATTTAGCATTTGTGCTGGTGGTGAGGTTTTTGCACCACACACCAGAGGTGTCCCCTGTTGCTAGGAAGAATGGATCAACATTCCTTTCATACTTTGTTAAGGATCAGTTTCTGGATTAATGATCATTATCAACATCTTTTTTATTAGTTTCTTTATTGGCCCAGGCTATTATGTCAGGTCCAATTGTGGAATAAGTTTTGTGCCTGTATTTAAATGAATCTGACATTTAGATTCTTATTCAATTTAACTACCTCAAATGTGGATAACAGTTATCTAGAAACATTTTTGATGTCATTCATGCAAAATTTAGAAGTGTTCTAGACTAAATTTGGATTAAAACTTGTGCAATGTAAAGAAAAGTCACAGGGAAAAGTGCTAATCCAACGTGCTTTTGTGTGTACATGATTTATTTAACTAGTCCCCTATTGATGGACCTATTATTATCCTTTCCATTGCAAATAAGATTACAAGTAACCTTATTCCTATATTCTCTTGCATCCTTTTGAGTGCACATATGGATGGAACAGATCTAGAGCCACTGTTGACATGTTTTTCATGGAGTAGTTTCCTGGAAATCTTTAAAATGTGCTCCATGTTTAACACAATGTGTTATTGCACGTGGAGGTAAAGTACCCGCATCATAAGGGATTCCTGAAAATACCTGATAAATTCTCCTCAGGGTTGAAAATGCACTGCACTTGCAGTCAGGATACTTGAGTTCTTGCTACACTGTTGCTAATTTACTGACTTGGGGAATTCATTAAGCATCTTTGTGCCTCCATTTGCCCTTCTATACAAGGGGTAGAATGAGAGCTGTCTATGTCTGCCTCAGAGATGTATTGTAAAATCAACTAAGCTACCAGAAGGAAACATTTGAAAAAGCCAAAAGCACACCAGTTGTGTCTACTGCCCTGCCCTTGCTCACATAAAAGAATGGTAATGCCTTCCTTCTCCACGTTTAGTTGATGAGGCCTCCATCATCTTCTCCAATGGTCGGGATGTGCTAATGGGTGACATTCATGGAAGGAGCCTCCAGATCCTAGTACAGTCCCAAAATCGTGGCGTGGCCGTGGGTGTGGATTTTCACTATCGCCTACGCAGAGTCTTTTGGACAGACACCGTGCAAGATAAGGTAAATAGAAATTTCAGAAGCATAGTTTGGGAGTTGAATAGAACTCCAAGCACAAAGTGTTGATAGCTTTTCATTTTTGGGGGGAGTAGAGAGGGAAAGTTGCTTTGTTTTCTAACAAAAAAGGCCCTTGAGATATTTTATGTTAATCAGCACCTTTTCCATGCTATACTATTACATGTGACCTATTAAACAAAGCAGTCTATTATATGGATTAGCCTTGAGCAACTTTTAATTTTATTCGAAAAGGAGTCCAAAAGCCTAATTAAAAGAAATAGTAGACATTCTTTCAAAACTGGATAGATATTTGGTAGTAATTTTTGAAACTTGATCATTTAAAATGTAAAAAATACTCTGCTTTCCTGGATGATAAAAATCAGATTTTTACCTACATCTTCTAAATGGAACTGTAATTGAGGACTGGGTAACAAATATTGACAGTATTTTGTTTCACTATACCGTCTTATTTGGAAAGTATGATGGATTTAATTTCATCTGTAGATATTGCAATGAGGATTTTTAAAACATAAGTTTTAGAGGCTTTTAAAGAGTTATGAGATTTTATTTTTAAAAATTCTCTTTACATTTCCTTCATAAATTTGTAATCATTTAAGTAGGAACTTCTGTAAACTTTCTAAAAATTGAGAATTTGGGTTTTCAGCAATTCTGATGTGATTACACCAAAAACAAAACACAAAAGTCCAATCTTAATTAAATTTTCCATAACTGCTAAAATGGGAAATGCAGCTTTAGAAAGAAAGACCACAAACACAAACACAACACTCAGGTTTTCCTCAGTTATGCCTTACGCTTTTAAAGAAACTAATTTCTTCCCAGTAACTCATGATAAATAGCAAGCTTCTAGTGGATTTTTCTAAAGGCCCAGAGTATTAATTCACATAAAGCATATAAACTAGGGGCCGGTGCTGTGGCTTACTTAGCAAGTAAGGCCTACACCTGCAATGCCAGCATCCCATATGGGTACTGGTTTGAGTCCTGGCTGCTCCACTTCTGATCCAGCTCTCTGCTATGGCCTGGGAAAGTGGTAGAAGATGGCCCAAGTCCTTGGGCCCCTGCGTGGGAGACCAGGAAGAAGCTCCAGGCTCCTGGCTTTGGATTGGCTCAGCTCCAGCCGTTGCTGCCATCTGGGATTAAACCAGCAGATTGAAGATCTCTTTCTGCCTCTGCCTCTCTGTAACTCTGCCTTTCAAATAAATAAATAAATCTTTAAAAAAAAAATAAGAATTAAAAAAGAAAGACAACTGTCTGCAGTTTAGTAATACTTAGGAAGTACACCGATTTTGTGTGTTTTTTTTTCCCCCAGGTTTTTTCAATTGACATTAATGGTTTAAATATCCAAGAAGTTCTCAATGTTTCTGTTGATGCTCCAGAGAATCTGGCTGTGGACTGGGTTAATAATAAACTGTATCTGGTGGAGACCAAGGTCAACCGCATAGATGTGGCAAATTTGGATGGAAGTCAGCGGTTTACCCTCATAACTGAGGACTTGGGGCATCCTAGAGGACTTGCCCTAGACCCAACTGTTGGGTAAGTGATGTGAAAGCTTGCTGATTTCTCTAGTCTTAGAATTTCATTTATCCCCCTAAACATTGACCAGCCATTAGATTAATTGAAAATTGTGATTTCTCCTATGCTCCGCGTTCTAGAATCCATGTTTATTTTGTGTCTCTATTCACCACAGCTCTAAAGGAGTCAACTACATAAAAATTCCATTTGAAGATAAATAATCCAAACACGCCTACTGGTGTACTAAATACGTGATGTTTTTGAAGTATAAGCCTTATTCTTGGTGTTTGCCACATTTGCATGGCTAAGAGACTGAGTTCTACTTTCTGACTTCATCTGATAATATTGTTACAACTAAGGATTACTGTGTTTCATTATTATTAGGATGATCACTCTAAGATGAATTAGCTATAAGTTTTTAAAGAGGAGAAGAGAGGTTCCTTTTAGCACTTTCTTGTTAGAACCCAGGGTTGAGATACTAGTACCCGATTGCAGATTGTTCTGTATGAGTCAGCCCATGATAATGTTTTCATCTCTTCAGGGTTGAGGGCAAATTTTCCTGATTTTCACACTTGAGAAGAGGTATGGGAGACAGACAGCTGTCTTCTAGTTTAGGCTACATTAGTGGTGCTGACTGGTGGCTTTTCATCTCTGTCCCTCCTTGAAAGTGGTGGGAATATTCTCTGGGTTATGGCTCAGAATGGAGAATTGAGGAAGGAGATAGCTTGCCAGCTCATTTAAAAATGTACTTATAAACTTTCTTGACGGTATAAAAGAAATGTGAAAGAGCCAAGGAACAGAGGAGAAACTTACGAGGATGAATGTGATTTTAAGCTGCCCTATTAATTCACTTTAATAGCAACTATCTGGAGTTGTTAACTGTCCTGATTGGCACTTAGTGTCTGTTTTAAAAATATATGGATTTCTGTGTTGCTTTATAACCCCTGGTTTGTTAATCAGCTGGAGGAAATTTCCATCACTTAAAACACACTATTGAAATGCTTTCCAGGTATACTTGTAAAATAGCAGACTCACTTTTTGTTTTCCTTTTGCAGCTACTTATTTTTCTCTGATTGGGCAAGCCTTTCTGGGGAACCTAAGTTGGAAAGGGCTTTCATGGATGGCAGCAACCGTAAAGACTTGGTGAAGACAAAGCTAGGGTGGCCTGCTGGAATCACACTGGATATGATATCAAAGCGCATTTACTGGGTGGATTGCCGGTATGATTACATCGAGACGGTCACTTACGATGGAGTTCAAAGGTAAGCATTATTTTCTATGGTGTCATGAGTTTGGGGGAAAGTACATGCATGATGGAAGAGACACCAAGAGACTAAAATTGAAAGATCACTTGGTTGGTTGAGGTGGTAGCGTTACTGACCTTCATGCTGGCATTTGCATCAAGCTCCCTACTATGAATTGTGCTACTTTTTCTTGTGTTCCATAATAATGCTCAGGGAATATGACCTAAGCATTTGTTTATTGGTGTTTCTTCTACCTTCTCCCCAGTCCAGATAAAAACACATTATTTTCATTCAATCCTGAGTATCTTTCTCTGGGTCCCCTATGCTTTATTGTCCAAGATCCTTCTGCCTTTTAGTTTTTAACTTTCCTTCTTAAACAAATATTTTTATTATTTAACATTATTCAGTGAGAATTAATTGAATTTTACTTTGTTCTTATATACTTCAAATTTCAAGGAGGAGTTGTATTTTTACATGGAATACTTAAATATTTCAATGTTGAATATGACATGCATTTCTCTTCATCTTAGTTTAGATGGAACTAACTATAAATTAATTAAATGTTTAACTACTTTAGATACTTCCTTTTGGTATTTTCAATAACTGGGTAAAACATGTTATTCAAATTTTAGTCCTGGAAAAGTTATTCCTTGTGGGTTCAGCATATAGGCTGACTGATTTAATTTTTCCCAATGACATGTTACCATTTTCTCAATGAAAAGAATATAATAGTCTTATTTTCCCATGCATCTCTATTTTGTAAGAGTGATATATAATTTGCTGCATAGGTTTAGGACATTTTTGCTTAGTTAAATAAAGTGATTGGATATTAATACTATGATTTCCTATCATTGAAGCTAGTTCCTATATTGAAACTATAAATTTTTTTGAAGAAATCAGTCAACCTGATAAGTCATATAAAAACAATTGAGAAATTGCCCGAGTGTATTTCTCTTTCAGTGGGATATTTGAGCATTGCACTATATAATTTCAATAATTTTATGCTAAGGTCAAAGTAAGACATAACAGATTAAAAAATCAGTGGCGTTTCAGGAAGATTTGAGCCATTTGCTGCTCGTGGTGAAGCATCGAAGAACTATTAAAGCTTCTAATACAGCTGTAGTCTTAAAGACATTGCCTCTTGTTTTGCCAGCAGGTGGCATTCTGGGTCCTGGAATTTACCTACTGAAAAGAAAACCGTTCTCTCATTTAGTGTTCCTTGTCCTTCTTGAGTGTTTCAAAGTGTGCACTAACTTGCCGTCATAGATGTCTGCTTTCTTTCCTTTAGTCTATTTCCATCTTTGGTGTCTTCAAATATTTCTTCAAACTTTATTGTGCTTCTAATCTTTTGAGGGATGCTAAAGTTTTTCTTTAAAACGTCATTACCCTAACAGAAAAAAAGTTTTCGCCAATGAACCATCTTGTGCCTCACTTCAGCCAAGTGTCCCGCTGAATGAGGTAATCGCGGCTGCCGGTGCTGTTGGTTTCCTCCCCTGGTGGAGCACCTTTTGCTCTGTTTTCTTTCCTGTGAAGCAGCTCTGGCACCTGCGCCTCCAGGGCAGGAGCCATCAGCTGGCAGCTGCATGAGGGTGGTAGCACTGCTTTTTGTCCTGATGCAGTGACAGCAGGAGCCTTTCTGATGTTTGCTGTGCGTTGAGCTCTGCCGTTCACTGTCCTGCTCCCAGATTGCTGAGAAGTGGTCAATGGTGTCGTGGAAGATAATTGTCGATGGCATCTTCCACCGGATTGCCCTCTCTTTCACCTATGGAATTCAAAGTACTGTTTCACATGTTAGCTTTTCATATGTGGGGAAACTGTAAAGGCATGAAGAGCAAGCCAAAAGCCAAACAAACAAAAGACAAAAACAAAACACAGTAATTTGCCTCCAAAATCTAAAACAAGCTAGAGGACTGACTGGGACTGGAATTTAAATCTCAAGGGTTTTTGTCCAAATACAACATGACAATCCTATCAAGTGTTGACAGAAATCAAAAGGAATCTTAAAAACGTTTCTTTTGTATGCAGTGTACATTTTTAAAAATAAGGTATTCAGCTCTTTAGGCATTTGACTTGAACTAGTGACATCTTTAATCAAAATAAAGCAAAACAAACACAACATTGCATAATGTGCATTATCTCCTGTAACAGGAAGACAGTCATGCGTGGAGGCTCACTAGTTCCTCATCCCTTTGGAATAAGCTTGTTTGAAGGTCATGTGTTCTACACTGATTGGACAAAGATGGCTGTGATGAAAGCAAACAAGTTCACGGAGACCAACCCTCAAGTGTTCCACCAGTCTTCTCTGAGGCCCTATGGAGTGACTGTTTACCATGCACTCAGGCAGCCCAATGGTAAGCCCCAAACAATGGTAACCAAGCCTGGTACTGGGCTTCATAGAAAGGTTTTCTCAAAGCTATTGAATTAACGATTAGGGATCTCATGAGGCTTGAATTGTGTTCTTACATCTATAAAGGGATTCTAGAGAGCCAAGCTCTCTGAAATGGGCTCTACCCATAGTAGGCATTTTGGAGAAACCAGCATTTTACAATTAAAACGCTAAACCTAGAGGGAATTTAAGAAATTCATTTAACTGATTTTTATCGGCACCTGCAATGTACCAGATCCTGTCTACATGCTGGTAGTACAGCAGCAAAGAGACCAAACCTGGAATAGCTCTCCTGGTTCTACTCAGAGAAATCTCTTGTTTCGAACCTTTTCAAACCCATTCCCTTTATGATACAGTTGAGGACTCTGAAAATGGCATGTCTAAATGCCCATTTTAGTGGTGACAGAGCCATTGTTTTCTTTCTGCTCTGTCGTATATGTGGCACCTGTTCTTTGTGTTGCATTAGATCTTTATGGGTCAACTGGATTTGGTGTCTCTCTGAATGGTCACTTATGAAAGAAAAATTTTGATTCTGATCCTGTTGTATTTTACAATAGTTGTGTTTGTGTTTCAAGGTTTTAAATTGAGCTTTGACATGTGTGCAAATAGCTCTTCTGTGTTTGGATGAAAGAAAAGAAATACTATAAAGTAGATTGTGTAGGTAGAAAGCTTAACATTGGTGAACAATAATTTAGAGAAAAGCACGTTTGCTTTATAGCTCTCATGTTAAGAGAGGGTCTGTTTGGGATGCAAACAAGCTATAAATTAATTAGGTTACTTTTTGAAAACCAAAATCAAAAACCCAGCCACCAGAATGGATATATTCGGATGAATAACTTTCACCATCCTGCAAAGATATTGGTGAAATAAACTCAGGAGCAGATGCAGCATTTTTAGCTGTGGCAGCCTTGTGTACAGTGAGTTTTCAGAGGTCACCACCCTGAGGGTGGCTTTTGGAAGTGCCAACTGGTTTGTTGGGGGCAGATGTAGGGTTTGGAGTCAGATCTGGATTTGAATCCTTCTTTAGCCATTTAATCACTAAATAATTTTAGATAAACTGACTAACCTTTTGGAGTCCTGTTTCCTCTTCATAGAGTTACTGGTTGTTAGTTACGTCAAGTGACTAACAGTTAGCAGTATCTTATGGATGGTAGAAGCTGCACTAACTTTTGGTGTTGTTTTTGATTCTTTCCAATCAGCTGAAGGCTCGAGACAGACTTTGACCTAATGGTTGTAAAAACAAAACCCTCTAACCTCACCCATTTGTACAAGTCCTGTTTTTTTGCCACCGCCAGTTTGAGAGTAAATGGGAGGGTAGCAGTGAAGGGAGGAGGCTTCGTGCAAACAGATGTGGATGTGCATGGCGGTAACTGGTAGTACACATGCCCAGCATGTGGCAAACCGTTCCTCTGTTTCACCTGCTGGGCTCAGAGAGGCTTCACACGTGCTGGGTAATGCTACGTCCCTGATTGTGAATTAACCCAGGCATTTCTCCCCCCCTCCAGCTAGCAATCCTTGTGAGAGTAACAACGGGGGCTGCGAGCAGGTCTGTCTCCTGAGCCACAGAACAGACAATGGTGGCTTGGGTTACCGCTGCAAGTGCTTATTTGGCTTCCAGCTGGATCAGGATGAGCGCCACTGTATCGGTAAGAAATCTCTGTCGCACTGTCTTTCTGGCAGGCACATGTGTGCACATCTCTACCCAGACGCCTACTGTTCTTGGACTGGGGCAGCTTTCTGTCTGGTTTTTATCACTGTGAATAAGCTTTCTGAAGACCATAGAGTGCCTTCCTTGGAAAGCACTTCTTTCTTTATACACAGGACTGGGCTTGAAGTTGTAAATTTCTGTTCTTTGGGACTTTTTCTAATCCCTCGTGTTGGATTTTCTTGGACTTTCTTTATCCTTTGTTTCCTCAATCATTCGTCTCCTTTTATTAACCATGGTCTTCAAATTCCACGACGTAATTTTGAGTTCTATGCTGTACTGCATGTATCTTTTCCACGTTAGAGTGTTAGCTTCAACTTTGATTGGAAATGTTTCTCTCACGTTCCTTGACTTTTCAGCTGCACTAAGCTCCACGGAGCCCGGTGGCCACATCTTCATTTCCGCTGGCTTCAGCGCTCTGCTCCAAGGCACACTCCTAGGCTATGGTGTGGGTCAGTTCCTCCTCTAGTTTTTCACCTTTCCATTCAAACCTTCATTTTCTCTCAGCCTCAATGCCGCTGCTTTCATTCACACGCTGAAGGCTGCCTTTCTTCCTCCATGCCTCCTTCCTCCATCTACTCGTAATTGGGCCCTTGCCTGGACCTCAGCTGGCGATGAAAGATTCTCCTACATGACTTGTTTCTTTCTTTCACTCTTGCAACTCTTTGTATGCCTTTGACAAGTTTTTGCTCCTCAGATGGTGCTGCTTTTGGCTTAGTTTGTAATTTCTCTTTGTCTCACCCAAATTTGTTAATTTTGTAAGTGATCCTAGACTCAGATGAAAAATAACCTTCATTTAAAAAATCCTGTGTGTTTATAGATAGTATATCAGTAGTGTATGAAAGACATCAAAACGTTTGTGGAAAATGGAATTAAAATATTATTTTGGTGCAAAAACATGTAGAATTCATTAATAGATTTTTCAGTAGCATGAAATTTCCATGAGCATTTGGAAGACCCCTTGTATTAGCTAATAATTTTACTTTGCAATTCCTTTCTGCAACGTTTATGTCTGTCTTAGGTATATGACCTTCATGTCTTTTTGATGTCTTGATTTCTCATCTCACTTTCTTTGATTTTAAACATTGCTCCCTCCTACCTATGACCAATTCTCCTCTCTTGTTTCCCACAATTTTTTATATTAATTTAAGAATTCATTTATGGTGGAGAGGTAATTTCTCTGGAATCTGTGGGGGGCAAGGACCATGCATTGACTCACTGTGCCCTGTCCCTCTTCCCACAGCTGTGAAGAATTTCCTGATCTTTTCATCGGAATCGGCTATTCGTGGAATTCCATTCAGCATCTCTACCCAGGAAGACGTCATGGTTCCCCTAACAGGGAGTCCCTCTTTTTTTCTTGGGATTGATTTTGATGCCCAGGAGAGCACTATCTTTTATTCAGATACATCAAGAGACATGATTTATAAACAAAAGATTGATGGCACAGGTGAGAAAGTGCATTTTGTGTGTGTGTATGCACATGTATTACTTGTTTCCAAAAATATGACTAATAGTCTCAGTAACACTTTGTAGTCACCTTTTAGCAGCCTAAAACAAACTATAAATGAGAGTGTATTTTTTTTTTTTTTTTTTTTTTTTTTGAAGAGTGGACAGTGAGAGAGAGACAGAGAGAAAGGTCTTCCTTTGCCGTTGGTTCACCCTCCAATGGCCGCCGCTGCAGCCGGCGCACCGCGCTGATCCTGGCAGGAGCCAGGAGCCAGGTGCTTTTCCTGGTCTCCCATGGGGTGCAGGGCCCAAGCACCTGGGCCATCCTCCACTGCACTCCCTGGCCATAGCAGAGAGCTGGCCTGGAAGAGGGGCAACCGGGACAGAATCCGGCGCCCCAACCGGGACTAGAACCCGGTGTGCCGGCGCCGCAAGGTGGAGGATTAGCCTATTGAGCCACGGCGCCGGCTCTGAGAGTGTATTTTAACAAGAGAATTGTTAACATAAAAGCAATGTCAAGTATATGAACACTATTAAGAGATTGATTGACTAGAAGTTGTTCTGCATAGCCAAGCAGCCAAATGAAGCCTGTGGGATGACCTTCCTTTACTGGATTTGGATAATAATTTTTTTTAAAAAAGAGATTAATTATATGTCAGTTTGGATATGCTGTAAGTTTTTATTGACTGAAATTCTGTTAAAATAATCATCAAAGAAAGAGCAAAATGCAATCAGTCACAAGTTACTGTGGGTGCTTCATTGGATAATGACATGACCCAGTAAACTGAGCTATACTCCTATAATGGGTTGATACCTGTAACTGATAAAAATTCGTACCCAATATAATATAGCAACTAAGAAAGCTAGCTTAGGAGCTGAAGTGCTGGTTTTGAATCCTGGCTTCCCACATTTTCTAGCTGTGTGATCTTAGGCAAGTTACTCAACTTCATTACGCATCAATTTTCTAATTTGTAAAATAGGAATAATAATACAGGCATTACATGGCTCTAGGGTTGTTCAGGGAGGATTTTAGGTCAAGACATGCATCATATCCAGAATGATGCCTGGAAAATGATAATTTGTTAAATGTTAGCTTTCATTTTCATTTTTCAATGAACAACCTGTTCTACCCTGCTGCAACCCAGACATGCTCTCCAGAGGTAATTCTTACCCTTCTACAGCTATTTCTCCTGTTACTTCTTTCCATGTTTTTTTTTTTAAGATTTATTTATTTATTTGAAAGAGTTACACACAGAGAGAAGGAGAAGCAGGCAGAGAGAGAGAGAGAGAGAGAGAGAGAGAGGTCTTCCATCCAATGGTTCACTCCCCAGTTGGCCACAACAGCTGGAGCTGTGTTGATCTGAAGCCAGGAGCCAGGAGCTTCTTCCAGGTCTCCCATGCAGGTGCAGGGGCCCAAGCACTTGGACAATCTTCTACTGCTTTCCTAGGCCATACCAGAGAGCTGGATCAAAAGTGGAGCAGCCAGGATTCAAACTGGCATCCATATAGGATGCCGGCACTGCAAGTGGTGGCTTTACCCACTATGCCATAGTGCCGGCCCCTCCATATTTTTAATTGCTTCATTTTGCTTATCTGAGAACAACTGTTTCTTTTTTATTGTTAGACATTTGATTCCTTATTGTAAATGAGGATTTGGTTCTCTTATATCCTTCTCCCCCAAATTGTCTCCTCCTTGAAATGATAGATTCTAATTTTTGTTTAAATTAATACTAGATGTTTGTATTATTAATATAATCATGAGTTCATCACTATTAAGCCAAGTAGCAGTTTGGGATGGTATTTCTTGAATAATTTTTGAAAAAAAGTTTTTATTTGTTTTCATTTGTTACTTGAAAGGTGGAGAGACAGAGAGACTGAAAGACAGAGAGAGTTCATCCATCTGCTGGTTCACTCACAAGAGCCAGAGGGTGGGCCAGGCCTATCCAGGAGCCTGGAATTCCATCCAGGTTTCCCACATGGATGACAGGGCCTTAAATACTTGAGCCATTATCTGCTGCCTCCTAGGATGCACATTAGCATCTTAGCTGCTGCCCAAAACACCTGGCCCTCTTGAACCATTTTTGATTTTTTTTCTAAAGTTAAAAAATATTTTGCATTTTTGGGATATTATCACATATTTTCTCCAGATGCCCTAAGAGATCTATGAAGTGCCTGTCCAAAACAGCAAATCATCTATAACTGTCTTCCTGTCTGGAGACCTCTGTCCCCTGTTTCAGATGGGACCCAAATCTGTGGGCCTGGTACACAGTTCTTATCTTCTGACTTCCTTTTGCCGTTGTTCTGTGCTGGGTGTCCTATTGTGGCAGGCCCCTTATTTCTCTTTTTTAAACTTCTTCATTTTGCTGGTCCTTTCTAGTTACTGATCTCTCTCTCTCTCTCTCTCTCTCTTGTTTGCTTCATGGACAAGCTTTTGAAAGCTTGGTCTGCCCATTCCTGTCCAGTCTTCGTACTTCACTGATTCCGCACTGCTACCGCATCTGCCCACCAGGTCTCTGGAAACCCTCTCAGCCCCAGTCTCTTTGTTGCTAAACTGAATCATGCTTCTTAGTCCTTCTCTTTGGCACCTTGGCCATCATCTCGTAAACACACTACTGGGTGTCCTGGACATGACAACACACTACTGGGTTTCCTTCTATTTTGTAACAGTTCTTCTTTCTAGAGTTCCTTGGAGGTCTTTTCTCCTTTGCCTTATCAATAACTATGTTCTCTGCAGATCCACAGCGGTCCTTCTCTCTTCTTTTTCTGCATCATTTCATCTTGATTATCATCTGTAGCAACTATGGGTCGGTGTGTGGAGACTTGTGACAGGGCTTTCATGGAGTGTTTTCTCTCCTACCCGGCAAAGCCTTCCCATAGGAGAGGACAAGGTCTCTCCCTTGTCATGGTTTCTCTATCCAAGGTTTCTCCCTGAGCCTCAGACACATACTACCAAATGCCTTTTGGAGACCTCACGTGGATATCCCATAACCACCTCACAACCTGAATGTCCAAGTGGACACCTTCACCCCGTCTCACAGCCTTCCTTGCCTTAGAGGAAGGGCATGGCTGCTTCCCCCTGGGGTCCCTCCCCACAAGCTTGTGATCATGGAGAACTTCTCCCTCTCTTTCAGCCTCTGCTGCTGACTCATGAATCTACAGCCATGCCCCAGATCACGTGGCATTCTCACTGGCAAGTCTCGGCTCTCCTGCAGCCCTCAGTTTCCTGCTTCCTTTGAGAAACCTCTCCACACATCCGCCTTGCCGGATGCTCCGATAGGAGGCGGCTGGGCTCTCCTTCCACCCTGTGCACCTCTGCCTCACAGCATCCATGACTCCTTCCTTTATTTTTACCTCTTCGCCCAATTGCCTACTCCTCTTTCACCGCCTCATTATAAATTTCCTTCAGGGAGATGCACATCTTTCTTTCCAGTTGCTTTACTTCTCTAGGGACGATAATGACACCTGTGTAACTGAGTGGCTGGGAAGATGCATGAATCCATGTCAAGTTCATGGTCGGGTTCCTGACTCACAGGAAGTGCTCCGTTGCTATAACCCGTTATTATTAAAGCCATTAGCAGTATCAGGTTTCCTAAATATCTTATACCTTATCTTGCACACAGAGCACTTCTTTTTACAGTTTGATGAATAAGTGCATGGATGAAGAATGGGAAAAAACAGGATTTTTTTTTTTCCTGTCACTAAAGGAAGAAGTATGATGGTTTATTCTGCTTCATATTTTCTTTAATGGAAAAAAAGAAGGGAAAAGGCATAAAAATTCTCAAAGAGGAAAGTGGTCTTCTTTCTCCTGTATCCAGTTCTGATTTCCTTTCTGGTCTTTTCTGAACTTGGCAACTTTGTGGCTGAGAAAGAGTTGGGCGGTAATACCTCAGGGCTACCCCCTGGCAGTACCTGGCAGTGTCAGCTTATCAGAGCTGCCTGGGGGTGGTAGTAGGTGAACTCAGGTATCTCTTCTTCAGATGTTCTGAAATGAGAAATTTTTTTTTTCTGGAAGGTTAAACAAGGGAGTAAATCCAGCCCATACCACTCCTGGTTCTATTTATCAGTATCATATCTGTTCTTTGAGACCCAGAGTTTGGGGAATGGATAGATTCTAGGTTTATCTCATGTTGTTGCTCAACGATTTATAGTTTTTTTTCCCCAAGAATTCCACATTACTGAAATATGCTCTAACTCTGACACAAAATATACAGTAGTAGCAAAATGTATGCCTTATGTAATATGTTTAGTTTAACCATATCTGTATTTCAATTTACAGGAAGAGAAATCCTTACAGCTAATAGGGTGGAAAATGTTGAAAGTCTGGCTTTTGACTGGATTTCAAGGAATCTCTATTGGATAGATACTTCTTACAAGAGTGTCAGTGTCATGAGGCTAGCTGATAAATCGAGACGCACAATAGTTGAGCATTTAAATAACCCACGAGCAATCGTAGTCCATCCTATTTCTGGGTGAGTGTATTCATGTTTTTCTAAGAGCTTAAAGCTGTGGTTCTTTTACAGTCATTGAAAAGTGATGCCATCAGTGGAGGATGGCCCAAGTGCTTGGGCCCTGCACCCACATGGGAGACCAGGAGGAAGCACCTGGCTCCTGGCTTCGCGCCAGCCGTAGCAGCCATTTGGGGTGCAAACCAATGGAAGGAAGACCTTTCTCTCTGTCTCTCTCTCTCTCACTGTCTAACTCTGCCTGTCCAAAAAAAAAAAAAAAAAGTGATGCCATCGAGGTTTGGCAAGTTCAGCAATCTTGAGATTGAACTGTGTAATTTGAAATCACCTTAAATTTTATCCCTTTTCCGTGTTTAAGTAATCACTTTATCTCCCTCCAAAAACTTGCTTCTAAGTTTCAGCTTTCCCGGTCTTCACAGAATTGTGTGTGTGTGTGTGTGTGTGTGTGTGTGTTTCACAGTAAGAGGCAGAGTCATTAGGGCAGGAATGGATACACAGCAGGATTATCAGAAAAGGCTCACATTCTTGCCCTGCCCTTTTTTTTTTTTTCTTTTGACAGGCAGAGTGGACAGCGAGAGAGAGAGACAGAGAGAAAGGTCTTCCTTTGCCGTTGGTTCACCCTCCAATGGACGCCGCGTCTGGTGCACCGTGCTGATCCGATGGCAGGAGCCAGGTGCTTCTCCTGGTCTCCCATGGGGTGCAGGGCCCAAGGACTTGGGCCATCCTCCACTGCACTCCCAGGCCACAGCAGAGAGCTGGCCTGGAAGAGGGGCAACCGGGAAAGAATCCGGCGCCCCCACTGGGACTAGAACCTGGTGTGCTGGTGCCGCTAGGCGGAGGATTAGCCTAGTGAGCCGCGGCGCCGGCCGCCCTGCTTCAATGTATTGATAGGAAGCTTAGCAAGACTTGCTTCATTGTTCAGTAGTTTTCAGAGTACAGAGCTCTTCAGATCGCAGTTTCAGGTTTTGCCATTTTGTGATTAGCAGTGTCAAGACAAGAAAAGACAGACCAGATAACAATATTCCTTCTTGGCCCCTAACTTTCTAATTTGAAAATGTTTAATAGCTGATATGTTTGTTTAAAACAAGTCTGAGCTATGCCATTGTATTTAAGTGGAATAACAAAAAAGATGCCTTGCAAAGCCTGGAAGCTTGACTCACTCCCGTAGTGAGCGTTCTCCAAATCTCAGCTCATCCGAAAGTTTGTGAAGGAGCTGCGTACAAGTGCAATACCCACGGTAGAGACAGTGAGTCTGAGGCTTGGTGAGATGAAGTGACTGGTGTAGGACCCACAGCTATCAGGCTGCAGTCAGGATTCGAACTCCAGGCTTCTCCGAATGCAAAGCTTGCGTGCCTCACAAAGTGTTCACTGACTGCCTCTAGAGTGTTTTTACTTTATGCTTTTTTGTTGTTGTTGTTAAATAATATAGGAAGCATTTTTTGAAACTAATGGCATTATTGATATGAAATTCTATCTCTGCGTAGAGTGAAGAGATTGATTTTCAATAATCAAATCTCAAAATGTGATAAATGTTACACTTTTTTTGGTACTCTGCTCATAGCCCTGTTGATACTCTAGAGGAACAGTGGTTTTTCTATTTACTACTTGTTGAATTCCTTATTTAGTGGAGGCTTAAGCTTGTGATTATAAAGTAAATTGAAAGTATGTCATTTTAAAAATTTGAAGAAAAAAAGGAAGGAGGAGAGAGAGTGGGAGTAAGGGTATGGTGGGAAGTATCATTATATTCTTAACTATATGAAGCCGGCGCTGCGGCTCAATAGGCTAATCCTCCGCCTTGTGGCGCCGGCACACCGGGTTCTAGTCCCGGTCGGGGTGCCGGATTCTGTTCTGGTTGCCCCTCTTCCAGACCAGCTCTTTGCTGTGGCCCAGGAGTGCAGTGGAGGATGGCCCAAGTCCTTGGGCCCTGCACCCCATGGGAGACCAGGAGAAGCACCTGGCTCCTGCCTTTGGATCAGCGCGGTGTGCCGGCGGCAGTGGCCATTGGAGGGTGAACCAACGGCAAAAGGAAGACCTTTCTCTCTGTCTCTCTTTCTCACTGTCCACTCTGCCTGCCAAAAACAAACAAACAAAAACACAACTATATATATGAAATATATGCAATTTTTCCCCTTCATATGAATAAAAATAATTCATTCCCAATTAAAAAATAGAGTTGATTTTCCAATGAATTTATCTTCACCTAAGTCTTTGGCACTTGGTTTTGAAAGATAGTTGATTTCCTAATGAATGTTTCATTTAAAATTATGTGAAGTAATCACATTTCAGAAAGTTGCCTTTTAGAAATATCTGTTTTGATTCATAAGGAGCATATGAAAGAGGAAAGTCTTTTCCCCCCAGACTTATACATTTTCTCAAATAAAAAAATATGCCTTGGGTTTAATAGTTATATTGGTTTGGATGTTTTCTTCATCCAAGGTGAAATGGTTCCCTATAAAGTTGTCAATACCTTATGGGAGTCATCTAGGGGAGCCTATATGTTTAATCCAGATGGGTAGAGAGATTACAATCTGTTTTCTTGTCTATGGCTTATTATTATTATTTAAGATTTATTTATTTATTAGAAATTAAGAGTTGCAAAGAGGGGCTGGCGCTGTGGCGCGGTGAGTTAACACTCTGGCCTGAAGCGTCGGCATCCCATATGGGCACCGATTTGAGCCCTGGCTGTCCACTTCTGATCCAGGTCTCTGCTATGGCCGGGGAAAGCAGTAAAAGATGGACCAAGTCCTTGGGCCCCTACACCCACATGGGAAACCCAGAAGAAGCTGCTGGCTCCTGGCTTCAGATTGGTGCAGCTCCGGCCATTGTGGCCAATTGGGAAGTGAACCATCGGATGGAAGACCTCTCTCTCTCTCTCTGTGCCTCTCCTCTCTGTGTAACTCTTTTAAATATAATATAATATAATATAATATAATATAATATAATATAATATATCTTAAAAAAAGAGTTACAAAGAGGTAGAGGCAGGGAGAAAGAGAGAGATCTTCCATCTGCTTGTTCACTTCCCAGATGGCCACACTGGTCAGGGCTGAGTCAGGCCAAAACCAGGAGCCAACTTCAACTGGGTCTCTCATGTGGGTGCGGGGGCCCAAACAGTCAGACTTTCTTCCTCTGCTTTCCCAGGCCATTAGCTGGAATGGAAGTGGACCAGCTGGGACATGAACTGGTGCCCATATGGGATGCCAACATCGCAGGTGGCAGCTTTACCCACTATGCCACAATAATGGCCCTGTGGTTTGTTTTTTTATTTCAATACCATTGAGTTTTTATACTAACCTGAATTATGTCTTCCTAGAGAATCTGTTGGGTGACAATAGTTTTAGGTCCTAAAGTCTAGGGAAGTAGTTATCTATTCTAAGTGCCCATTTTAATGCCATTTATATTTGTAACTTGGTGACATGCTGATAATGGAACTTTTCCTTAAGATTTAGATAAGTTATACATTCAATCTACTAATCTCAATAGCACACACAGAAGAATGAAATGAATTGCCGCAAGTCTCTGGAAAATGTGTGTTTGTACTTAATCTCTCAAGGTCATTTAGTTTATTCCAATGTAAACATCTTTGGTGTATTGCCTGTTTTTCTAGGTATATATTCTTCAGTGATTGGTTCCGTCCTGCTAAAATTATGAGAGCCTGGTGTGATGGATCTCACCTTGTGCCTATAGTAAACACTACTATTGGATGGCCCAATGGTTTGGCCATCGATTGGGGGTAAGTAGGAATCATCTTACATTACTGAGTTCCCACTTCCTGCAAAACACATGTGAGGCCTACTGGGATGTTGAGATGGAGTAAGGAAACTGGTACTGCTTGCTCTCAGGTTTTTTTTTTTTTTAAATTTTCCCAATTATTTACTTAGAGAGGCAGAGAAAGAGAGACAGAGACAGTGAGAGAAAGGTACATAGAGAACTCTGTTCTGTTAGCTCATTCCTCAAATGCCTGCAATGGTTCCTGGGATTGAAGCTGGGAGCTGGGAATTCAATCCAGCTTCCCCACACGGGTAGCAGAAGCCCAGTTGCTTGAACTAGCACCAGTGCCTCCCATGGTCTGTGTTGATGGGGAGCTGGAATCAGGAGCTGGAGCCAGATGTTGAATCCAGGTACTCTGATATGGGGTGTGAAGTTCTCAACTGGTATCTTAACCACCAGGCCTAATGTCCTGCCCCTTAGAAATTTTTGAATCATTAATTGGTGATAAGATCATGTGTCAGGCTGGCACCGTGGCTCACTAGGCTAATCCTCCGCCTTGTGGCACCGGCACACTGGGTTCTAGTCCCGGTCGGGGTGCCAGATTCTGTCCCGGTTGCCCCTCTTCCAGGCCAGCTCTCTGCTGTGACCAGGGAGTGCAGTGGAGGATGGCCCAAGTGCTTGGGCCCTGCACCCCATGGGAGACCAGGATAAGTACTTGGCTCCTGCCATCGGATCAGCGCGGTGTGCCGGCTGCAGCGCGCCGCTGCGGTGGCCATTGGAGGGTGAACCAACGGCAAAGGAAGACCTTTCTCTCTGTCTCTCTCTCTCGCTGTCCACTCTGCCTGTCAAAAAAAAAAAACAAAAAACAAAACAAAAAAAAAAAGATCATGTGTCATTTCCTATAGGGAGCATCTTGAGTGTGGGAAATTTTTGAAATAAATCAATCAATAAATGCACATTTCCTTATATATACTTTGGGTGAATTTTCAAAGTATATGATACAGTCCTCAAGATATTGATCTATCTAGAGGTTAGGAAGAGGCATAGGATAAGTAAGCTTTTGAACCTGAAATGTCAAAGTAGTATATGGATAAGTGAAAGGGAAAAATGCATTTAACCTTTTAAGCAGGGATTGCTATCAATGTTTTTCTTAACTTGTTGATTTTAGAAAATAATTTAAGAAAAATAAAATTCTTTAAGCAACATTTCAAGTTTTCTAAGACAATTAATTGATAGCCCCTTCATAAAACTAGCTGTATCTTTCTGGGGAGTATAAAACTGTTTAATTTTTTATAAATATAATATAAGTTTTAAACATTTGATTGAAATATACCCACGGAGCATAACTGATTTTGAATGTCCTCAGCATACACGGTGCTCACCCAGCTTCTGGATAACAGATAACTAAGTGTTTTGTTATTTTAGTGCTTTACGGTTGTACTGGGTAGATGCCTTTTTTGATACAATTGAGCACAGCACCTTTGATGGTTTAGACAGAAAAAGACTGAGCCGTATACAGCAGATGACGCATCCCTTTGGAATAACTGTCTTCCAGGGTAAGTTTTAAAGCATCAAAAGTGTGTGTTGTTTGTATACTTTGCAAGTTCTAACAATAAACTCACTGTTATTTGGGATTCTCACAGTTCCAGAAATGGTGCTGTTATATGTAAACACAGCATTTGGTTTCTTGATGAAATATTTTACTTTCAGAGTGTCCTTTTTTGGGGATACATTAAGGTGGCAATATCGACAATTTATATGGGGGTAGCACCTTGTAGATTACTCCAACAATTCCTGAATATTCACTTATAGAAGTATCACAGGAGGCCGGCGCCGCGGCTCACTAGGCTAATCCTCCACCTAGCGGCACCGGCACACCAGGTTCTAGTCCCGGTCGGGGCGCCGGATTCTTTCCCAGTTGCCCCTCTTCCAGGCCAGCTCTCTGCTGTGGTCCAGGAATGCAGTGGAGGATGGCCCAAGTGCTTGGGCCCTGCACCCCATGGGAGACCAGAAGAAGCACCTGGCTCCTGGCTTCAGATCAGCGCGGGCCGCAGCGCACCAGCCGTGGTGGCCATTAGAGGGTGAACCAGCGGCAAAAGGAAGACCTTTCTCTCTGCCTCTCTCTCTCACTATCCACTCTGCCTGTCAAAAAAAAAAAAAGTATCACAGGAAACACTAAGTTACTGCTATTATTATTTTCAGGAATAAAATAGCAGGAGCTATTGATATAACAATTGTAGCATTTCATTGTTCTCTGGTATTTGTGAGAACCTCATCAGAATCCATGTAGAAAAATGTAGAAAATGATTACACACATTCATCAAGGGTTTACTTACTGAAGGACTCCAAAGCTTTTCAGACATAAAGTTGGATTTAATTAACATCATCTCTGATACATGGGAACATTAGGGTATGACTTAGGAAAAACAGCAAGACATGATTGTTTTTCTATCAACCTTCACAAACAATTTCCTACTAGTGATAAAGATTGTCAGGACCCTGCAGCCACCAGGACACAGCCAATGCCTCAGCCCCCCTCTTGAGCAGAGACATTCTGTTCTGAGTTGAGTTGCTATGATTAGAGTATAGTCTGGCACTGTGAAACAGGTGGCTTGTTTAGTCTTGCAAAAGGAATCTCAGTGAATGGTTATCTAGCTTGTGCATTGTACAGGAGCACAAGACTAAGAGGGTACAGAAAGACTGAAATAAACCCCTGTCCTGTCTACTTTTTTAAGATTTTTGTTTTGTTTTGTTTTAACTTTTATTTAATGAATATAAATTTCCAAAGTACAGCTTATGGATTACAATGGCTTCCCCCCATAATGTCCCTCCCACCCGCAACCCTCCCCTTTCCCACTCCCTCTCCCCTTCCATTCACATCAAGATTCATTTTTGTTTCTCTTTATATACAGAAGATCAGTTTAGCATACATTAAGTAAAGATTTCAACAGTTTGCTCTCACACAGAAACATAAAGTGAAAAATACTGTTTGAGTACTAGTTATAGCATTAAATCTCAATGTACAGCACACTAAGGACAGAGATCCTACATGAGGAGTAAGTGCACAGTGACTCCTGTTGTTGACTTAACAATTTGACACTCTTGTTTATGGCATCAGTAATCACCCTAGGCTCTTGTCATGAGCTGCCAAGGCTATGGAAGCCCCCTGAGTTCACCGACTCTGATCATATTTAGACAAGGCCATGATCAAAGTGGAAGTTCTCTCCTCCCTTCAGAGAAAGGTACCTCCTTCTTTGATGACCTGTTCTTTCCACTGGGATCTCACTGGTGGAGATCTTTCATTTAGTTTTTTTTTTTTTCCCCCAGAGTGTCTTGGCTTTCCATGCCTGAAATACTCTCATGGGCTTTTCAGCCAGATCCGCATGCCTTAAGGGCTGATTCTGAGGCCAGAGTGCTGTTTAGGACATCTGCCATTCTATGAGTCTGCTGTGTATCTCACTTCCCATGTTGGATCGTTCTCTCCCTTTTTTATTCTATCAGCTAGTATTTGCAGACACTATTCTCGTTTATGTGATCCCTTTGGTTCTTAGTCCTATCACTATGATCAATTGTGAACTGAAATTGATCACTGGGACTAGTGAGATGGCATTGGTACATGCCTCCTTGATGGGATTAAATTGGAATCCCCTGGTATATTTCTTTTTTTTTTAGTCTTTTTTTTTTTTTAATTTTTTGACAGAGTGGACAGTGAGAGAGAGAGACAGAGACAAAGGTCTTCCTTTTGCTGTTGGTTCACCCTCCAATGGCCGCTGTGGCCGGCGCGCTGTGGCCGGCACACCGCGCTGATCTGATGGCGGGAGCCAGGTGCCTCTCCTGGTCTTCCATGGGGTGCAGGGCCTAAGCACTTGGGCCATCCTCCACTGCACTCCCAGGCCACAGCAAAGAGCTGGCCTGGAAGAGGGGCAACTGGGACAGAATCCGGTGCCCCGACTGGGACTAGAACCCGGTGTGCCGGCGCCGCAAGGCGGAGGATTAGCCTAGTGAGCCATGGCGCCGGCCCCCTGGTATGTTTCTAACTCTATCGTTTGAGGTAAGTCAGCTTGAGCATGTCCCGAATTGCACATCTCTTCCCTCTCTTATTCCCCCTCTTATTTTTAACAGTGATCACTTTTCAGTTAAGTTTCAGCACTTAAGAATAATTGTGTATTGATTACAGTATTCAACCAAAAGTATTAAGTAGAACAAACAAACAAAAATACTAAGAGGGATAACATATTAAGTTGTTCATCAACAGTCAGGGCGAGGGCTGATCAAGTCACCGTTTCTCATAGTGTTCATTTCACTTTAACAGGTTTCCTTTTTGGTGCTCAGTTAGTTGTCACCTATCAAGGAGAACAAGTGGTATTTGTCCCTTTGGGATTGGCTTATTTCACTCAGCATAATGTTTTCCAAATTCCTAACAGGGATCACTTTTCAGTTAAAATTTAAACACCTAAGAATAATCGTGTGTTTAAGATTTTATTTATTTATTTGAGAGGTAGTGTTACAGACAGAGAGGGAGAGACAGAGAGAAAGGTCTTCCATCCACTGGTTCACTCCTCAAAAGGTTGCAAAGGCCAGAGCCCAGTCAATCCAAAGCCAGGACCCAAGAGCTTCTTCCGGGTCTTCCATGTGGGTGCAGGGGCCCAAGCACTTGGGCTATATTCCACTGCTTTCCCAGACCATAAGCAGAGAGCTGGATTTGAAGAAGAGCAGTGGGGACACTAACTGTCTCCCTATAGGATGCTGGTGCTGCAGGTGGATGCTTAACCTACTACACCACAGCACCACCCCCGCCCCACCCTGCCCCCCAACTCCCTGTCTTGAAAGCATAATGAGGGCCGGCGCCGTGGCTCAATAGGCTAATCCTCTGCCTGCGGCGCTGGCACACTGGGTTCTAGTCCTGGTCAGGGTGCCGGATTCTGTCCCGGTTGCCCCTCTTCCAGGCCAGCTCTCTGCTGTGGCCCAGGAGTGCAGTGGAGGATGGCCCAAGTGCTTGGGCCCTGCACCCCATGGGAGACCAGGAGAAGCACCTGGCTCCCGGCTTTGGATCAGCACGGTGTGCTGGCCACAGCACGCCAGCTGCAGCAGCCATTGGATGGTGAAGCAACGGAAAAGGAAGACCTTTCTCTCTGTCTCTCTCACTGTCCACTCTGCTTGTCAAAAAAAAAAAAAACAAAAACAAAAACAAAAACATAATAAGTTCATTTAGAGTGATGGCATTTTGTATAGGACTACCAAAGTTGCTGTCTTTTGTTGGTTGTATCCCTGTTTGAAACCTCCTACTTTAATAATTATTATGGTGTTTATTTATTTATTAAAATTTTTAAAAAATTGAGAGACAGACAGACATATACACACTCCTATCTGCTGGTTCACTCCCACAATGCTCTTGGCATCTGAGGCTGGGCAGACGCCAAAATCCAGAACTGAGACCTCAATCTAGGTCTCCCAAGTGGGTAGCAGGTAAGCAGTCACTGGAACCATCACTATTGCTTATCAAGGTCCATGTTATTAGGAAGCTGGAGTTAGGAGCTGGGGGTGGTTATTGAACCCAGACATTCTTCTGGACATGGGACACAGACACCTTACCTGCTAGGTGAAATGCTTTAAGAAGTAGACACTCACTATAAATCAAAGACTTTCTCACACACACATGATGTGGAAGGAATAGTCAATGAGTGTATTGCATATCACATCCTGCTATCTGCTTGTCTGTGGAGGAGTGTGTGGTATTTAAAAATATTTTTGAAATGCCTTTGTGAGATTTTTTGATGAGATGAGTCAGTTACAAACACTCATCCCCTATCACCATCCCCACGTATTTACTCCCTGTTTCTAAAAACACTAGACACATACTATTTGCTGTCACATAGGAACATTATCAGAATGCTAAATTGTCTCTCTCTGTACTGGAATGTTTGGGATTGAATAAAAATGCAATGTTAGAACCTTTTGGTTTCATTTGAATGCCTACCCATGAGAGCAACACAGAATTCTGAAATTAATAATAATTATTTCTTCCAACTGTACTTTTTGTTGTGAATTTCTTCTGGAAAGTTCTCTTATGCAACACCATGGAAATGATGAACTTTATTTAGTAAAAAGCTAGATCTTCTTGACTGTGTATCACACAGGACAGAAAGGTTTATTGAATTTTTCTTCTCCATACGAATATTATGATACCTCTGTGAGCAGTGGGACTGAGCTTGCCAGTCAGTAAGGATAAGATTTGGTGAGTCCCAATGACTAATTAGTCATGATTAGGCCACAGATAATAAGAACTGACGTGTTGATAAAAATTGTGACATCTTAAGCATTTTCTGGTTAATTGGAATTTGTAGTTAAACTAAATATTGTTAAACAGAAAGTCCACTTCGATTCAAGTTTTTCTTTTAAAAACTATTAAAATCTATATGTTGACTCCTATGCCTCAGTATGTAGTGTAAAGTGAACATGATTGAATTTTGGTTGTTTAGAATCTTACATTGCCTTTCTCTTACCATACCAAGCATCATAGAACATCAGTATGGTTATTGGGGCATGCACATTTGTGTTGATATTTTTATCCTCAGATATACATACCAAACATATCTTTTTACTTTTATTTATTTATTTATTTGAAAGTCAGAAATACAGAGAGAGAAGGAGAGAGAGAGAAAGTAAGAGATTGAGAGAGAGATATCTTCCATCTGCTGGTTCACTCCCCCAATGGATGCCATGCAAGGGCCAGGCAAGGCCAAAGCCAGGAGCCAGGAGCTTCTTCTGGGTTTCCTACGTGGATGCTGGGGCCCAACCACTTGGGCCATCTTCCGCTGCTTTCCAAGGCTCATTAGCATGAAACTGGATCGGAAGTGGAGCAGCTGGGACTTGAACCGGTGCCCATAGGGGATGCTGGAACTGCAGGCAGAGGTTTAACCTTTTACACCCCAGCACCAGCCCCCAAACATCTCTTTTTGGATTAGATTGGTACTTTTCCTTCTCAACAGCTTCTTATTCAAGTTGAATGTAAAGAAGATAATTTAAGTCTTTTCCTGAAGACATCAGATATGGGATGTTTGACCTGGTAGGGGTCTTAAAGGTGATCTAGTCTATTACTTCACACAGTGGGCGTTGGCTTAGGTGCTCTCAGCAGGTTACTGCTTTAGCGGGGGTGGGGGGGGAGGTTGAAAGTTCAGTCTTAGAAGGCCTCGCCTCATGTTCTGTAGAAGGAGCCCCATGTTCTTTACTTTCATCTATGGAATTCTAAACCTGATGGCTACTAAGTGCGATCGTAAAATTCTATACATGCTTGCCTGATCCCCAACATTTGTATTATTAAAATATAAGCTTTCAAAAAACATTTCTAGAGGATAAGAAGTTGTGGAAAATGGTCACAGAAACGTTTCCCGGATTCTCACAATTGCAGGAAGCATTGGAAGCTTGTGGCATTTTCCTGGGATATATCTTTAAAGTCAGTTATTACTGAAAATCCTCATCACCTGTGTTTCTTCTTAGATTATGTATTTGTTACTGACTGGATGCTCCAAGGTATTATTCAAGTCAGGAAAACAGATGGTAGACAAGTGACAGTTATTCGAAGTGGCATCAGTAACATAATGCATGTGAAATCATACGATGTCAACATCCAGACAGGTGAGTGAGAGTGCCAAGATTTCTTAATTGATGTATTTTTTTTTGATATGGTAGCCTCTTTTCTCTGTGTGTCCTTATTTAATGTGGCTCCTGATGATTTTATATCCCTGCAATCCACATACTTTAATGCTGTTGGGACTTTAAATCTCTGTTCAACTCTGCTTACTCTAAAGGTGTTGGGAAAAACACATCTTAGCACTTTTTGGTATTTAAATGGAATGCTTTATTTTCAGATTTATTTTCAAGAGGAAGCTACTTTTTAATATTGGGTCTGAAGAACGTCTTTTCCGTTTTGATTTCCTTCACAAATCAAATCTGTGACTGACATAGTGGAAGTATGCATAGGTCACTACCTTGGGACTTTGCTTTTTTGCAGGCTCTAACTTCTGCGGTCAACCCACACATCCTAATGGGGACTGCAGCCACTTCTGCTTCCCAGTGCCCAACTTCCAGCGGGTGTGTGGCTGTCCCTATGGGATGAGGCTGGCTTCCAATCACTTAACCTGCGAGGGAAACCAGGCCAGTGAGCCACCCACGCAACAGTGTGGCTCTTTCTCCTTCTCCTGTGACAATGGCAGATGTGTGCCCAGCTACTACCGCTGTGATGGATTCAATGACTGTCATGACAACAGTGATGAGCATCTATGTGGCACATCTAGTAAGTAGCTATGAACTGAAGATATTTCCTGGGATGACTAGGATAGAGATGTGGGCTATAAACAACCAATATGCAAAAACTCTGGTTACCTATCTTGGAAAAGATACCTTTTAGAATTCCAGCTACTTTTGAGAAGCTAAGTAGTCAATATCATTTACACCCTAATGTGACAAATGGTTTCTAGCATTGATTCAGACTCTAATCAATAAAATTTCTTTTTAACCTTGGCCGTATGGGGCAATGTGGGCTTATTGCATCTTTACAAGCTCCTGCAAAAGTTGAATAAAAGTAAACTGAGCATCATCTTTAGTATCTGGGTGAATCGTATCATAGAAGAGGCACTAGCAATTGAAGGTCTTAGGCACTGTATTCTCCCCTCGTTTTGGAGAAAAATGAGTTGGAGGTGAATGAAAACCTTTATATTCTTTTGATGGTTACAAGATTTGAGACCCAATCAATGCTATTGTAAAAGGCAAAAGTATTTCATTAGAAATTTTAAAAACAGAGATAGAGGACAGTTGAGGCATCAGAAGTCTCTATCAAAGTGAGATCAGTAGTAATTATAATCTGTGTTTTTGGGGAGAAAGAAAAGTGACAGACTTGAAGTGCCCACTTGAATGCTTTCCTTGAATTTCAAAAACGTTTACCCTTTTGTGTAGTATCTTCCTGTTTTAAAGCTTGCAAAGTTTTACCCAAATATTCAATCTATTTGCATTTTTCTTGTGATACATTTTCAAGGCTTCTGTAGGTGAGTTTGAAAATTGTGATTGAAGGCCGGGGCCATGGCTCACTTGGCTAATCATCTGCCTGCGGCACCGGCACCCTGGGTTCTAGTCCTGGTTGCTCCTCTTCCAGTAGAGCTCTCTGCTGTGGCCCAGGAGTGCAGTGGAGGATGACCCAAGTGCTTGGGTCCCTGCACCTGCATGGGAGACCAGGAGAAGTACTTGGCTCCTGCCATCGGATCGGCGCGGTGCACCGGTTGCAACGCACCAGCCGTGGTGGCCATTGGAGGGTGAACCAACGGCAAAAAGGAAGACCTTTCTCTCTCTCTCTCTCTCACTGTCCACTCTGCCTGTCAAAAAAAAAAAAAAAAAAGAATTGGGCCTTCACAAAGGGAGAGCACATGTAAAAGGCTGTGAAAACAGCTGGCTTCATGAGCAGTTTCTTGTCATTGTAGATAATACCTGCTCACCCTCGGCGTTCACCTGTGACCACGGAGAGTGTATCCCTGCACACTGGCGCTGCGATAAGCACAATGACTGTGTGGATGGCAGTGATGAGCGCAACTGCCCTTCCCACACTCCTGCCTCCTGCCCGGCCTGGGCCTACACCTGTGATAATAACGCGTGTATCCCCAGGAACTGGGTCTGTGATACAGACAACGACTGTGGGGATGGATCTGATGAAAAGAACTGCCGTGAGTTCTGAACTGGTTCCTCTTGCTTGGTTAGCTTAGTAAATGGATTTGAAAAATGAATGTGTCTTGCACTCTTTCCTCTAAGGCACACACATCTCCATTGCATCTTGGGCACTACTATTCCGTCTGTCAATGTCTGTAAAAATGGGCTATGAGAACAAAGATATGAAGCTAGAGTCCTCTTACAAATATTGAAATCTGTGGAAGCAAATCAGTTGTCTCTGATGCAAAATATTCAGATAGAAACTGGAAAAGCAAACAAGTAATTATCCAGATATTTGAAACAAAAAATATGTAAACATATCCAAATATTGGGCTGCTGGTTTCTGTTTGATGTAGGCAAAAAGGGAACAAAATAAAGAGGCACAAAATTTAAAATTTCCATTAATCTCACCTATCTGCTTTTCATCTTTGCAATTCTGATTTTCTTTATGTTATTTATTTCTTGTCTGCCATAATAGTTTAAGGTGGAGTGAAATGCCTTGTACTGTGTTTTAGTTTTGGTTGCATGACTAGAGAAGTCACTTTCCTTCTGGAGTAAATGAACTTTGAGATCCTTTTTAGCCTTCACCTCTAGTGAGTATGTATTTAATAGAACTAACTGCTATGAATAGTGCAACCTGCATCTCTGACTTCAAGGCTGCAACTTAACTCCAAAGTGAGACCCTGGGTTTTAGAGCTGTTCTGCTTAGACTTTGGATGAAATACAGTCATGAGCTGTCTACACACCGCTGCTAGTAGGCATAGGTTGTGCTGCCATGTTGCTTAGTCAGGTTTTGTTGTTTAGCTTTGATCTAGAGTCACAGACTTGATAGTGGTCGTGAGATGTACTCCCACTGCCTGCAAGCACATGATGGTCATTTTCTAGATGTAGTCTAACTTTCAAGGTATAATCAGTTTCTGATCCTGCCCTGTCATCTTTTTATTCTTGATTCCAAAAACTGTCCTAATTTTGAGTTCTCTTTCTGAGAATACTTACAATGTACAACTGAGATAACTCATGTGGCTACTTAGTGTGTTCTGGTTTGGCCATGGTACACAATGAACATGAACTTACTTAGTTTTGTTTTCCCATGATATTAGATTCAACAGGGACATGTCAACCTAGTCAGTTTCATTGCCCGGATCATCGATGTCTTGACCCAGCATATGTCTGTGATGGAGACAGGGACTGTGTCGATGGATCTGATGAAGCTGGTTGTGGTAAGTGGATTGCTTTATTTTTATATTCACAACGTTTAAAAAAAAAACCTCATTTTCTCCCTGAGATAATTTTTAAGTGATTTCTCTTTCGTTCTTAGTATTTAACTGCACAAATTCTCAATTCAAGTGTGCTGATGGGAATGGCTGCATTAGCAACATTAATCGTTGTGATGGTGTTTTTCACTGCAGTGACAACTCCGATGAGGCAGGCTGTCGTAAGTACTGTATACTCAGTATGTTTCAGACATAGAGATCATTCGTTTTCATCAGTATTGCTATTCCTGCAAATTTTCTCTAACCCAGAGAAACTGAGGTTGTAAAGAGTAGGGGGATGACATCCTGAATTACAATATATTCGTAAAGGAATACAATATTGAACATAAAATTGTGTAGGCATTATGAAATAATGATTTGTAACTATTGAATCAAATGGTTGTATAAGTGGGCACTTCAAATTTGGGAAGGTTAAATATGTCGTGGGTATTTTTGTTTGTACTTTTAATTTTTCTTGGGACATTAATTAGTGGTTTTCAGCTTTTTGTGGGTTTACTGTATTTAATGATGTCTTATTGTTTTCTTTTAAGCCTCCATCAAGAGGTCAAATCACAGTCTAGAAATGGAATGGAGCTGTATTTGGTATTGACTTTAATGAATTCCTTCTTCCAGCTGTTATTTGTTTAATATAGCAGATGTCACATGTGGCCTTTGTCCTTTGTCTTTGTAAGAGAGACTGTACAAGTCAAGAGACAATTAAAGCAAGGTGGACAGGTACAAGGACCTTACAAATTATAAAGATAATAGAGATAAAGGCCATCTTTTGCTGCCTTCCACCAGTGCATTAGCTGGGAGCTGGATCAGAAGCTGAGTAGCTGGGACTTGAACCAATGCTCCAGTACAGGATGCCATTGCCAGTGGCAGCTTAACCCCCAGTGCTACAACTCCAGCACCAGAGAGTTTCTTTGGACTCAGGTGCTTATCTTCTGTTTAAGAGTTGTGCACCCTGGACTTTGTTGTCAGATCCACTAATCTGACACATGGAAATATTTCTGTATCACACAGTGTAAGGGAAGGCTTCATATCATTTTAGCCTTTAAAATTAATTGTGCAAAAAAAAAAAAAAAAAAAGAGAGAGAAAAGAGAAAAAGAAAAAAAGAAAATATAAAAAAAAGAAAAAAAAAAACAAAAATTAATTGTGCCAGAGTCATATGATAAACTTGCTTATTGATCCAGCATCATTTCCCGTGGATCTAAACTATAAAGGGGATTATATTTTACATTCACAAACCCATTTCCCTCCACGTCTCTTCTAGCAACCAGACCCCCTGGCATGTGCCATTCAGATGAATTTCAGTGCCAAGCAGATGGTTACTGCATCCCAGATGTTTGGGAGTGTGATGGGCATTCAGACTGTGTTGATGGATCTGATGAACACCATGGCTGCATCCCCAAGACCTGTGCTCCATCTCAATTCCACTGTGACAACGGAAACTGTATCCCCAAACATTGGCTCTGTGATGGGGACAATGACTGCAGGGATTTGAGTGATGAGAAGGACTGTCCTACTCAACCCTTTCACTGTCCCAGTTGGCAGTGGCAGTGCCCTGGCTATAGCATCTGTGTGAATCTGAGTGCACTGTGTGATAACGTCTTTGACTGCCCCAATGGGACAGATGAGTCCCCACTTTGCAGTAAGTTATCTGACCATGGTTTATTGGCCATAAATTCATTCTGAGCAGTAATCGTGTGTGTATCACCATCGTCACAGTCCCTGTGTAGCTATTTAGGGAGGGATTTTAGTTTCTCTATGAGTTTAGGCCTGTGTAGGGGTAACTGTAATTGAATCCAAATAAGTCTCCCCTGGATCATATTTCTCATTAAATTTTTGCACTTGATTATGTGTTTTTACTTCTTTTTATGTGTTTATAGAAATGAGACCAAATGAAGCTGTTAGATTATCAAGTTAAATTTGATTCTGTTGGTATTGTGCTCATGAATTTTTCTAACTTTAATATTTTCTAATTTCAATCTGAACCTGCCACAAAACAAATGAAGTTGAGAATTTGTGTTTGCTGTGATTATAAGGCTATGATTGGCATGTAATCCTAATTACTGTCCTTTCTTTCTTTCCTCTTTAATCAATGCTCATTCTCAGATGAACCCCAGCCAGGTATGATTGTAAAGTATTTTAGATTCTTATGATTTAATACATATTGTGTTTGTGCTGAACATGTCCTGATTATTTTGACTTCCTCTCCTAGTGCATGTTCTGTGTTATAACTCCTAGGAATAAGTTAGAGTACCTAAGAGAATAGAGGGTATTAGCATCCCCAGGCATGTGCATGTGATCTATCTTTAGGTGGCTTCAGTCATTGCCATTGTGACCTGAAGAGCAAGGAATGACAGTATGTTAGTTGATCTCTGCCCTCCAATGCTTCAATTACCTTTCCCCCTCCATTTTTTACCTCTCATAGATATTCCAGCCTTCTCCCTTAAATGTTTAAATCTTATCTACCATTTCTGTATAGATATAAGAATTTCAGTGGAAAAAAGCAAGAAGCGTGTTAGGTTTCTTTGCATGTTTTATCAATGACTCTTTTGTTTATTGATGCCAACAGTACTTCCCCAAGTTTTTTTCATTGCACTAAATGGAGTTATACTGGAGGATTATAGTGGAGAAAGTGGCTCAAGCCCAGTGGATGTGAATAATAGCCGATCCTTAGGCAAATCAGAGTAGATACGGAAGGGCTTGGGGAGTTCATCCAAGTGAATGTTGCTCTTAGCTCTTCTCCAGGCATCACATTGAAGGTGGCATGGGACTACATGACAAATAATATACCAATGAAAATCAAAGAGGCAGAGTCCTGACTTTCTCCTTCATGATTCTCTTTCTTTATTCCAGACCAGGCGAGCTGCTCAGATTTCAATGGTGGTTGTACTCACCAGTGTATTCAAGGACCTTTTGGAGCTAGTTGTCTATGTCCGTTGGGATACCAACTTGCTAATGATTCTAAGACCTGTGAAGACATAGATGAATGTGATAATCCAGGCTTTTGTAGCCAGCACTGTTTCAATATGAGAGGTTCTTTCCGGTGCTCATGTGATAATGAATACATGTTAGAAGGTGATGGGAGGACCTGCAAAGCTATAGGTAATTATTGAACTTAAAAGTGAGACTTCTGAAAATGAATCTTGATATGAATGGAAGGGGAAAGAGAGCGGGAAAGGGGAGGGTTGCGGGTGGGAGGGAAGTCATTGGGTGCGGGGGAAGCCAATGTAATCCATAAGCTGTACTTTGGAAATCTATATTCATTAAATAAAAGTTAAAAAAAAGAGACTTCAGTAGCCAGTTTAATAGCATACCCCAAAGCTCAAGGTCAAATGGTTGCATGTAGGTATTTGACAATGTTTAGGGGTCAGATTGGATATAATCCTACACAGGTTTTGTAACCTCCTTACCTTAATTTCTTGTGAGGATTAAGTGTGGTAATAAACATAAAGATCCTGATGTATTTTGCAAAATAGAGGTAAAAGATTTATAGGTAGAAGATGATATTTTGTTATTTAAGATAGTATCAAGTGGTTTTATAGTATTTAAAAGTTATTTTTATAACATACTTAAATATTTTTACATATGTTTAATACATTGAATTCAGGCTATATTAATTCAGTTTCTACAACATGAAAATGACTATACTGAGTATTAGGATATTAATTTGGCTGCTTGAAAAGTGACCAATAAACAAAGCTGAAACAAAATAGAAAATCTTTGTTTTACAAATAGGAGTGTGCATGATAGACAGTGCTGGGGGTAGAGCTGGTCTGTGACCCTCTTCATGCGGTGTCCACATATATGTAGGGATCCAGGGGTATTGCTTGTGCTCAGAAAGGAGGAAAGGCAAAGAGAAAGCGGAAGGTAAGCAGCTTCCTGTGAAGAATGTGACTTGGAGTTGAATGCCTCATCTCTACTCACATTCTGATGGTCAGCACTTACTCCCGTGGTCACTGCAAGTGGCAGTGGAGGCAGACGAATGTGATCTTGTGCCAGGTTAAAACTTGGCAGGTTTTATTACTAAAAAGAAGAAAAGGAAAGAAAGCATAGTGGGAGATAGCTTTAACTCTCTGCTACACAGTTAAGACATGATCCCTACTATCATGAAGACAATGATGTAGTAAGGTAAATAAGCGAATATAAATCCAGCACAAGGAAGAATGTAAACAAACTTCCCTGCAGGATGGGATTTAGACACCCACTGAAATATAATTTAAAGAAAAAAGATATTTTAGAAAGCGTCTAGAAAATCAATTCACTCTTAAGGTTAAGATTGAAGTGATTAAAATCACTCTTACGAGGCTCCCCAACCCCTGCCATTATTTGGAGTCACATCTTCCTTCTATTGCCCAAGTTATTGCATCAAATACTTAAGGAGTGCTTTGATCATGTTTTTTTTTTTTCCGGAATCACTGACATTTATGCTTCTCCCCTCACTCCCCCCCCCCTTTTTTTATTATTTTGACAGCATCTGAAAATCTGCTATTACTTGTGGCAAGTCAGAGCCGAATTGTTGCTGACAACATCACCTCCCAGGTCCACAATATCTACTCATTGGTCCAAGGTGGTTCTAACATTGTAGCTGTTGATTTTGATTCAGTCAGTGGTCGGATCTTTTGGTCTGATGCAAGTCAGGGTAAAACCTGGAGTGTGTTTCAAAATGGAACAGACCGAAGAGTGGTAAGGACATTTCTGCTGGTCTTTGGCCTGACTAATTCCCCATTCTTAGGTCTGTTTGCTGCTATTCACCTGTGAGAGAAGACCCTACCTCCTCCGGGGTGGCTCCCATAGTCCCTACGTAGGGCACATTGCACTCAGGAGGCCTGACTTTTCAGAACTTCTAATCTATGGGTCCCTTTCTGAAGGCAGAAGTGATTGTGAGTTGCAGGTCACGTGGTGTAGAGACCTCCCAGGGTCTCTGAGATTCCTTTTGCAATCTTTTTCAGTGGGTGAGAGCAGAGGGAAATGCAAGAGAGCCCAGGGGTTATTTTCCTCACTCTAATGTAGTTAAATTTCTCAGTCCACTTCCTGGAGTTTCAGTTTGGTGACTTCTGATACTTATGTTTCCTCTGCTCCTTAGAACTTTATTTTGTAATTGTTGGTGCTTAATCAATAATAATATTACCCTTGTTACACAAACTTATAAAGTTTCATAAATTGCCCACTTAATGAATGGATAGCGTGTTTAACTGCAAAAACTTTTGAAACCAAAATGCAATTACCTACTAATCTAACAAGAATATTCAGTGCTATGAAATCTTGTGTGTTTTTTCTAAAAAAATAGCTACATAGGAAAACAATTTCACAGGATAAATTACATGCTGAGGTTATCAGATAATTTCCACTTTTGAATTTGTTTACCCTCTTTAGATTTCCCCTTTTATACTATTCTATTTTGTTTACTTTAGGTACTTGACAGTGGTGTTGTTATGACACAATCTATTGCGGTAGATTGGGTAGGTCGTAATCTCTACTGGACAGACTACGCCCTGGAAACAATTGAGGTCTCAAGAATAGATGGGAGCTACAGGACTGTGCTGATCAGTAAAAATGTGACAAATCCAAGGGGACTAGCGTTAGATCCCAGAATGAGGTAAGACTTTTCAGCAACAACAACAAAACGGGTATGTTTCTGCCTTCATTTCACATTGTTTACCAGAACTCCCTGGTTGTATGAAGAATAACATTTTTGCCTGCTACTCATAAAGCAAAGAGAACTTCTCCCATGTGTTTAGAAATATTTGAGGGTCTCCTCCTTTGAATTTACTTAGATTCTATAACTTAGATTCTTTTCTGCACGATGGTGAATATTCAAAGTGATACTGGCTTCCTAGATATTGGAAAGCATTAATTACACACCAGCGAAATTTATGATGAGTCTCTGAGGAGGAATAGATTGATTCTCTTCTCTAAAACATGACAGAGTAGACCAACAAGGACAGATGGATTTTTTTTTCTAGATCAGCTACATGTGGATTGTACACAAACATGAATTGGCACTGAGATATTTCAGTGTCATAATGTACTGTGTTATAAAATGTCATAAAAACACCCAGATGGCTTGTGATTGCATTTTGATTAGTTTTTCTTTGTGACACTCCAAGGAAATAATAAGCTTTGTGCATAGATTCTGATCTGGAGATGATTTATTTTAAGTAGAGCCAAAACTGCGTGTTGTATCATTATAATGACAGTTATTCTTCATATGTGCCTTCCAAGTGGTATAACCAGGTTCTTTTCACAGTGACCATCTAATGTTCTGGTCTGACTGGGGCCATCATCCTCGTATTGAGCGAGCCAGCATGGACGGTAGTTTGCGCACTATCATTATCCAGGACAAAATCGTCTTGCCCTGTGGCTTGACTATTGACTATCCCAACAGACTGATCTACTTCATGGATTCCTATCTCGACTATATAGATGTCTGTGATTATTATGGACACCATCGGAGGCAGGTGGTAGCTGGTGATTTGGTAAGTTGATAGTGAGGAAAGCCAAATTAAAACTACAGTAGTGGCTACATAAATAACAGGGTGTCAAGAAAACTGAGATTAATTTCTGTATCATAGTCATTATCAGGTCAATTCAGGAAATATCAACAACAGGGGGAACAACCCATCCTCTATCACTCACAGGAAGGTAAATATTTTTTATCCCAGTTCATGTTCAGATTGTGCCATGTCCTGGATGGATTAACAGCTCATTTGATTTTAGTTGTTATTGCTTCTACAACTGTATTAAGCAAAAAGTAATAATTTAGATCCATACTTCTTAATTAAATCATAGGCTGTTATTTATTCAGTTTTTTAGAGTAAATTCTATTGAATTTATTTTTTCAATTTAAATGAAAAAAATACAGAAAACATTTTATCAAGGAGTTGTTAATGACCTTGATTTAAGATTGCCCTTGTTAATAATTCCTGTAACTTGAAGATTCCCTGCTTTCAGGGAAAAGACACCTAAACTGAAATTGATGGAGGTGAATTAATGAACAGAAATAACAATGGAGCAGGAGTGGTGATAATGGGGGTGGGTGGGCTCAGAAGTAGGGGATGGTGACCTTGAACTAGGTTCTCTGGTGACATCTGACCTCTGGTAGGTGATCTGGAGACGTCAACTTGCTTTCTGTGCTTCAAATGGTTCTCATTTGTAAAATGGGTGTCCAGTGGTAATCCAGAGGAAGCATGGAGAATAAATGACAGTGGTGTATGAAAATGTCCTTAGTGGTATGGTAGGACACAGGACAAGTGCTACATTATTTTTTTTCCCTGTTTTATACAATGGCTTCTCTGTGTTTTTGTTAAAATTCAGTGCTAAGGGAAACCATCTTTTTGAACAGGACTTTTCTTCTACTTGGCTTCTCTGGACTCTTTCTTCTGGCTGAGGTCTCACTGTTTCCTTTGGCTTCATAGATTCTGCGGTATCCCTACGCCCTCTCTGTCTTTGAAGATACCGTGTACTGGACTGATGTTACTACTCACCAGGTGATGAAAGCCAATAAGTGGCACGGAGGGAACCAGTCAGTTGTGATGTTCAATGTTCACCAACCCCTTGGCATCGTCGTGGTTCATCCTTCAAAGCAACCGGAATGTAAGCGATACAGAGAAACATCCTGGCCGGGAATAGCTGGAAATCACTTGTTTTCAGAATGCTGAACACATGTGGCTGCAGACTTGCTTATTTGAGCCCAAAATTTTCCTTTTCTCTTTGCTAACCAACTCACCCCACACTCTCGATGGTCGATATTGCCATTACTTTTATTTGCCATGAAAACTCAAATCTGGTTTGTAACAGTAGCCCATATGAATTCTGTCATTTCTGTTCAGTAGTTTGTTTCTGCCCTCTGTGACCTTTATCTGAATCTCAGTTTCCTTAGCTGACAGATGTTGCCCAGACAATATGAAGAATCTCCAAAAAGCCAATGGAAAAATGTGTATTATTAAAAACCTATGGGGCCAGTGCCGCGACTCACTAGGCTAATCCTCCGCCTTGCGGCACCAGCACACCGGGTTCTAGTCCTGGTTGGGGCACTGGATTCTGTCCCGGTTGCCCCTCTTCCAGGCCAGCTCTCTGCTGTGGCCCGGGAGTGCAATGGAGGATGGCCCAAGTGCTTGGGTCCTGCACCCCGTGGGAGACCAGGAGAAGCACCTGGCTCTTGGCTTCAGATCAGCGCGGTGCGCCAGCCGCAGTGGATATTGGAGGGTGAACCAACAGTAAAGGAAGACCTTTCTCTCTGTCTCTCTCTCTCTCACTGTCCACTCTGCCTGTCAAAAAACAAACAAACAAACAAACAAACAAAAAAAAACCTATGGGTCTGTGCTGTGGCATAGTGGGCTAAGCCTCTGCTTGTGGTGTTGGAATCCAATATGGGCACTGGTTCAAGTCCCAGCTGCTCCTCTTCTTTTTTTTTTTTTTTTTTTAAGATTTATTTATTTATTTGAAAATCAGAGTTACACAGAAAGAAAGAAAGGCAGAGAGAGAGAGAAAGAGAGAGAGAGGTTTTCCATTTGCTGGCTCACTCCCCAGTTGGCTGCAATGGCTAGAGCTGTGCATATCTGAAGCCAGGAGCCAGGAGCTTCCTCAGGGTCTTCCCATGCTGGCACAGGGGCTCAAGGACTTGGGCCCTCTTCTACTGCTTTCCTAGGTTATAGCAGAGAGCTGGATTGGAAGTGGAGCATCCGGAACTCAAACGGGCACCCATTTGGGATGCCAGCACTGCAGGCGGTGGCCCTTACCTGCTACACCACAGCACCGACCCCAGCTACTCCTTTTCTGATCCAGCACTCTGGATGGCCTGGATTTCCCAGGATGGCCTGGGAAAGCAGTAGGGGATGGCCTAATTCCTTGGACCCTTGCATCGCTTGGGAAACCAAGAGGAGGCTCCTGGCTTCTGGCTTCGGATTTGCTTAGCTCCAGCCATTGCAGCCATCTAGGGAGTAAACCAGTGATGGAGGACCCTTCTCTCTGTCTCTCTCTATCTCTGTCTATAATTCTGCCTCTCAAATAAATAAACAAAATATTTAAAAAATACATTTTGTGCACCAGAGTAAAGAACCTGAATTTTATTTTTTCATGAAAATTTTTTTAAGTATCTTTGTACTGTGTGGCTTAAAGCAGCTGATTGTTAGGCCTCATTTATTATCGCACCATTGCCTTACAGTGGCTCTGCTGTGGTCACCCCAAGTCATTCTACAATGCATAGTATGACTGGTTAGGTGAGTTAAAGTTAAAGTTTTTATCTATTGTGTTTATTTATTTGCAAAGCAGAGAGCCAGAGACAGACAGACAGAGACCTTTCATCAGCTGGTTTACCTTCCAAATGCCTTCAACAGCTAGGACTGGTCAGGTTGAAGCCAGGAGCCTGGAACGCAATCCAGTCCTCCCCCATGGTTGGTAGGGACCTAATTACTTAAACCATCATCTCCTACCTCCCAAAGTGTAAAGCTGGAATTGGAAGCAGAGCTGGGACTTGACCCTAGGTGCCCTGATATGGGGTGTGGGCATCCTACATGGCATCTTTGTATGCAGAATGCTCACCCCAGGTTAGATGACTTAAAGCTTTGGCCTTGGTAGTTTTCTTTCTCGTGGTAGGGGGAAATAAGTTACTTAATAGACACACAATCTTTTCTACCTGCTTTCCCTGGCTTTCTCTCCACTCACTCTTGCCACAGTGGACCTCACTATGGGACAGAGGCAAACCAGGCTACTTCCTGTCTCTGAGCTTTTGCACTGGCTCTTGGCTCTACCTGCGGTGTCTCTCCTTCAGCTCTCTGCATGAGTCGCTCCATCCAGTCATTTAGGATTCTGCTGAAGTGTCACTTTCTCAGAGAGCCTCTCCTTGACCCCCCTGCCTGAAACACCCACTACTTTCATAGATCTTTCACTCTCGACCCTCATGTTGTAAAATTAGACACACACAATTTATGAGCTTAGTGCTGTCTCTTTTTTACTGGAATATATGCTCCATGTTTGTAGTATCCTTTGGTGTGTATTGAATGTTTAACTTATTTTGGCAAATAGATTGGGTGATAGTTGAGCACAGTGTATGTCCTAAGAACAGTTGGGATACAGGAAACATCTGTGAGCTTTGGATGAACACAGTGTCCCTCTTTTCATGGAGCCTGATGGTGCAGAGAGGTCACCAATGGAAAAATACAAGATTATCATCTAACTAAATTTGGGTTGTATAGGGTAAATGTCAAGGTCACATGGCAAACACACAACCTGCTTAGAGGCAAAAAGATCCCTTCTAAGTTAGGCAAGGGGACAGATTATCTAGCATCGTGTCTCTACTACTAGGTTCTTTCTCACTCATTGGCTGTTTGTAATCAGGTTAGACTGGATTGATCTGTGACCTTGGGTATGTCACTCTTCCCTCTTGCGCCTCTTCTTTATTTTATATTGAAAGCACTATACTAAGAATGGGGAAAAATATTTTAGAGAAAATAAAACAAAACAAAGCACTGGAGTAACTTGAGTGCTGTGTCTCCAGATATTGGGGGCCCAAGGAAGACAATACCAGTGCACAGTGCACTTAACGTGGAGCTCTTCCACTCACTAGTGCTTTTCCCTCTTCTATTCCCATACAGCCACGAATCCCTGTGCCTCTGCCCACTGCAGCCATCTGTGCCTGCTCTCCTCACAAGGGCCCAACTTCTTCTCCTGTGCTTGTCCTTCGGGATGGAATCTCTCTCATGATTCTGTGAATTGTGTGCGAGGTACAGTATGCCCTTTAAATGTAGTCTGGAGATGGAGCTTGCCACAGTGTATGACCAGGAGTAGAAACTCTGATATCACCTGCATCTGAGCGTGGGCAGTGTTTCTTTTGGATCAACAGGTGTCTGTGGAGTGTGTGCTATATGGGGTGACTTAGTTGAGTACCCTAGCTGCAATCATAGTGTCTGTATATGTAGTTAATGTTATCTGTGCATATGATTGAACGATTGTTAAACTCATGCTTTCATTGGCTACAGGTAGACTTTTATGACTAACTAGATAATGGGGAGGTCCAAATTGTTACTTTGAAAGTAAAAATTCTTGACATTGGTGTACAGCTTGATTTTTCAGGCCCATTGTTTTCATTTTTATTCTCATAACCAATAGCCTAGGTCTTTTGACCCCAATTTCAGTGCCTTTACTTGTTCTATCTGATACTTCAAAAATTAGAGTTATCTCATAGGAAATATTTTCACTAGTTGAGCAATTTAATCTTCATCTCCTCCTGGAGATATTTCAGTTGGTTGATTGCCTAGTGTGTGAAGGATTATGCCAAGCACTTTAGGGAGTAAGAAGGGGGGGCAGGATTTAGGTAATCTACAAAAGACATTTCTTCTGGAGTACGTAGATGATACGTTGGATGATAAACTGTCTTTAAAAACCAATCTCCATTGCTTAAAAACCTAAAAGTTACTTTATATCCAATTTTCTTTCATTGGTAAGTAAAGTGAATGTGCTTTGATACTGGTAAAAATTGCTGTAGGTAAGTTAAAATGAGATGTTTAATGATGATGCATTCCTAAATTAAGAGACAATATGAGTCCCAATCTAAAGAGAAATTCAGTTTTCAAATGGAAAGCATGTACTGAATCCAGGAAGTTTATAGTGTTTACAAATTATGCAGATGTAGGCATACTGAAAATAAAATTCCATCAGCATGTAATATTGCCTTGTGATACTTTCATGATGAAAGATTTTAATTAGTGGTACTGCTTACAGAGGCATTGGCATCACCATTTTTCTTCAGAGACTTATTATGTGCCTAATCCTTGTTGACATTGTTTAATTTAGTGTGTCCTCAAGTCTTTTAGGAGAAAGATTAATATGGGTTACAGACATTTTGGATACAAAGCATTCTTTCACCACACAGAGACTGTTGAACTGTGCACTGGGGATTGGTGTAACCAGTATTACTATCTGATGCTGATTGATAAGTGTTAATTCTAAATAGTACCTTTTCTTGTTTCACAAATAATCACAGTGGTGGTGGTCCCATGGGCTTTTACTGAGGTGGAATTTTTTCAGTATTTCCCAAGGGTGTCTGAAAACCCTTTGAGTGATGGAGCGCCAACATATGCTAACTGATAAAAAGATTGTACGTCTTACTTTTCAATAAGAAGTGTAGAAGACTTGTTACCATCTATAGTTGGAAACATTTTACTTGATTTAATTGTTCAGTAGCCTTTAAAATAGTGTTTACCAGGTGTCTGGAATATCTTTGGAAGTGCTGTGTGATACTTTTATGTGAATAAGAAGATCCTGTCTATTATCTGTCTTGTAAAAATATGCGCTAAAAAGTTCGGAAGAAAACATACACAAGTGCCAATAGTGGTTATAGTTGGATAGGGGAATTATGGGATATTTCCAATTTTTTTTCTAATTTTATGAATTTTTAAAATGAGAGCTTTCTCTGTATGAAATGTCTTTTGACTTTTTAGAAAATGTGTTCCCTCTAATGCCAAACCAAATAAAACTCAAGCCAAAACATCTTCCCAGCACTGCCTAAAATAAACCACCTCAAATTCAAATGAGATTTCAGTCCAGGGGACACAGGCTGCTGCTTCAGTGATTATATGCAAAATTACATGGAAACACCCCTTCCTTGCACTCTAGGACAGGCTGTGGGCCAGCTTGTGTAGGGTGTGACTTGAGGAGGACCTAGGTTTGGGGGTTGGAAGTTTGGCCCACTGTATTAATTTCCCATTCCCGAGTATAGATCCTTCACTCTTCTGCTTTAACATTGACCTTAATGGGCTCATGATAGGAAAAGGAAAAGTAAAGAAATGACCTTTAATTTCAAAAGACCGAGACCCGCTGACCTGGGACAACGTAAACTCACCTCCTCCTGTACTGCTTGCCATCCAGCACTGGGCGCTTCCATACCTACTCCTTCATGCTATCAGCACAGTGAATTGTAAGGGCCCATACACCTGATCTCACCCTCTAGATGCCAAGTTCCTTGCAGGACAGCCTTTAGCTGATTCATAGAGGCATGCTCATTGCGTGTGGCACTTGGTGGCATTGAGTAAATGGTGAGTGCACGCCATGCTCCCCAGTACCCCTTTGTGCTCTTTCCCCAGTCCTGCGTTTTTCATCCATTTGATCCTTAGAAAGGTGTTTAGGGTCATGAAGGCGCTTTTCCTTTTTTTTATTCCAGTGTAGCATTTTCATGCCCCCCTGCTGTCCCTCAGGTCACTTCCCTGTGTTATCCCCCACCACAGTTCCCACACTTGGAGCCAGGGCGGTGTGAAGCAGCAGCCCATCCTCTGCCCCGCTGCCCAGTGCTCACAGATGGTGGGTGAACCTCCTCAAGCACACAGCAGGGACCAGATAAAGTGCTGGGACACATCCCCACTAAGGAGTAGGGTGGGTGGCGCTGAAGGGAAGAGCTCCTTGGAGGAGTCAAGCAGGCCCACGTTTGTTGGGTGGGAAATGCAGTGTTTAGATCCTAAGCAATACTTTGGTTGGGAATTATTCCAGTTAAACGAAAGGAAGATTCACCATTAAAAATTTACCCATAGACATCACACAGATCCTGCGAATTCCATTTGACCCTTGCAGATTTGCCATGAAATACTAAATGCTACAGGGTATAGTACTTGGTAAAATATAAAGCATGAAGAGTTGCAAAATTTACATTTGTACTAGGCTAATAAATGGTGAGTTTTTTTTTTAAAGTAATAGGATAGGAACAAGGAAAAGCTGAGATGTGAAAATTAGAAAAAAAAAGTGTCAAAATAATGTTGCTGAAAATATATCAAAGTAATGGACACATCATTTTTAAAAAAGATTTATTTTATTTATTTGAAAGAGTTAGAAAGGTAGAGCGAGCGAGAGAGAGAGGTCTTCCATCCACTGGTTCACTCTCCAAATGACCGCAATGGATGCTGGATGACAGCCAGGATAAAATTTAAATGATTTTTGACAACAATTTATTAAGGGGCTAAGTGAATTAAAGTTTAAAGAATGTATTACAGAGATGTCTAAGTTACAAAATATAGCTACTAATGAGAACTTTAGGAGATGTTATTTACATATCCAGTTATGCATCCATGCATTCTTTTGGTTAGCAAACACTTTATCGAATAACTATGTCATGCCATGCATGCACCAGACCCCGGGGACACAGTTTAGAGCAAACCAGACACAATTGCCACTGTTTGTGAGTTAGGATCTAGTGGAAGAAGACATTAGTCAAATAATTCATGGGACTAGAAATTATATTCATTTATTTACTAATTCTCTAATAAGTACTTGGCAATACTTTGTAGTGTTCTTTTATTTTCTGAACATGCTTAAAACTAATTCACCAAGATAGTCTAAAGGTTTTCTTTTACAATTTTTTTTTCTTGGCAAAGTCTATTAGTGAGGTTTGTCCTTGTGTAGAAGTGAAAGAACTTCCTGATTGTGAAGCCTATCAAACTTGGATGATTTATCAGTGTAAGGAAGGAATTAGAGGAGTAAGGCAAACATTCATCTGTCTTGGAAAGGCCCCTTTGGCGTTGTGTGTTTCCTTGGAGGTCTTGTGACCCAGCCTTGCACCGAAGCCCAATGGGAGGCCTGAGGCTGTCTGATGAAGTCTCTCCCGTGCATTATTTCTATTGCTGCAAAGCTGCAATGGCTCCCTGGCCCGTACGATGGTTGTAATCCATTGTTTCCCCTTACTCTCAATGTCTGGGAAGAGTGGGGTGTAATTTTAACTAATATTCTGCTATTTTCACAGATGAACAACCTTTCTTAATAAGTGTAAGACAGCGCATAATTTTCGGAATCTCTCTTAATCCTGAGGAGAAGAGCAATGATGCTATGGTTCCCATATCAGGAATACAGAATGGTTTTGATGTTGAATTTGATGACTCAGAGCAGTTCATCTACTGGGCTGAGAATCCAGTAAGTTCTGAATACATTTCGAAGTATATCACTTATTCCCAAAGAGCTTGCTTGCACTGATGCCTTCTAATAGGCCAGTGTTTTCTGGATGGGTAAAAGGAAAACCATCCGGAAATTAACTTATGACTAAATTCAGTGGGGGATATAAATATGAGCTTTCCTTGGACCAAAGAACAAGACTCTTTAGCTTTAGAATAACACACATACTTCAGGTATGGGGGCTATTATTTATTCATTCAGCAAATATGTATTCAGTGCTTACAATTGGCCCTGCACTGAACTACCTGTTTCACATGGGAAAATATATGCCAGGAAGAAGTAGTCACAAGGCTTGCCCTGGGGAGCTTAAGTTGTGGAAGTCACTAGAGTAAGTACAAGTGATCATAAATCAGAATAAAAGTAGTGGCTCCCTCCGGGAGTTCCAGGAAAGCCTTTGACGTGGTGCAGGGGCCTTCCTTCCGAATCTTTGTCTCCAGGGTAGGCATGAACATTCCTCCGATTCCCTTCCCCTACAACAAGAGGCCTGTAGGATTGGGGGAGGGGAATATCAAGGATGAGAGGAAGGAGCCTTGTGTTTGATTTTTATCACCACCCTTATGTAATAGACACTCCTGTCTGTGGCTTGTGTTCCTTTTCCCTGTAATCATGAAGAAACATCTCTGGAACTGGTATCAGACCTCGCCTGAATGATAGCCTGGTGCGAGTTCATGACATACGTAAAAATCAGTGTGTCAAAAAGGCCTCCGGCATTTGCACGACACACAGCGAGCCTACGCCAGGGCTCCGAGCCTGTGTCTGCCTCTTCTTCCAGAGCGAGGGTGTCAAACACAGCAGCCAGCCGTAGCCACAAGGAAGGAAGTACTCTGGCATGGAAGCTGAGGCCTGGGGGCATCTCACCTCCCCTGTGTTCCCTTCCAGGGTGAAATTCACAGAGTGAAGACAAACGGTAGCAACAGAACCGTGTTTGCTCCTCTGTCTCTACACGGAACATCCATGAGCCTGGCCTTAGACTGGATATCAAAAAACATGTACTATACCAATCCTCGAAGTCAGTCTATTGAGGTAACGATTCCCTAGTACTATTTACACAATCACTGGTTTCAGATTCATGTAAAATCTGCTTTCAAGGATTCTCATCCTGTGGATTTGGAAATTATTTTCAAGTAAAAAAAGCAAAAGAGAAGAGATGTTAGTGTTAACTATCCAAGTCTCTGACTCTGAGGGAAACTACCTTAAAAATAAATTATTGGGACTTTCTACTGCCCTATTTTATTTACTCTAAATTGTTGATACTGCCCAGTTCCTGTAAAAAGATCGTAGGTAATTTGCAAAATAATATATAGGAAGATAGATTAAAAATTGTCTAAGGCTTCCAGCATAACAGGAAGTCATAGTAGGTAGGGAATTTTCATTTGGTTTTCTCATCTAATCTTCAATACTATTTCAGTTCTCAACCAAATTTACATAATTCCCTCTGTGCTTAGATGCAAATCTTTCTGTGGCTCCAGTACAGTTTTTCTAACAGTAACATAGAAGGAAGAAACTCGATTCTAATTCCTTTGATACTTTCTTCTTTGAGATAAGTGTTCTTTTTACTCTAATTCCCAGAAGAAATTCTAGATGGGGTCCAGATATGAAATCATATAGAGTAAATCTGAGGTACTGTGACTAGTATTGGCTTGCTCCACTTTGGGACAGCCACAAAACATGTAAGGGATTATTAACTTATGAGAAGTTTGGAAGTGATGCCTTCTAAGGCAAGGGGAGGATTTGGTGAGAGGGGTGTTTAGCGGAGCCATGTGGAGTGAAAGCTCACTGCTCGGGGTGGGCACCCACCAGTGAGCTGACAGTTCTGTGTAGCACTGAGAAAGACAGATGCTGAAGATGAGGAAGGCACACAGCAGGCGGTGTGTAAACTAGAGCAGATTCGCTAGGAGGAGAGCACACTGGACTGAGTGAGGCTTTACAGAGAAAGGGCTTTCCTAAGCATCATCTCATTGAATCCTCACCACTTGAGGGCAGACAGGTATAGGAGCTACCCACAATGACGGGGAAATTGGGGATATGGCCAAAGCTAACCCCTGGAGTATCTCAAACCAGAGGGAATCAGGTATTAACAGGAGGGGAGCCTTGGAGGCTCATCTGGTTGAAGGCTCTTGTTTTATACTTGAGTGACTGAGCTCTATAGAAATTAAGAAATTAACTTAAATGGTCGGCTTTACTGTGCTGATTCCCAAGTAATATTTCATCTTTGCATTGTTATAAACCACAGCTTCAGTTATCAGGGTTTAATCCCATTTGACAGTGGTTGAAGATATTTTTCATGATCTCAACTAAAAATAGCACCCTCCCATCAAAACATAGGAAGAATTTATAGCCTAAGCCCCTTAACACCAAACATATTTCTCTTTCATCTTTATTTTATTTATTCCAATTTTATTTATTATTTTCAGTTTATGGAAAAGGTACAGAGATAGAGATCTTCTGTTGGCTGATATATTCCCCAGATACCCACAACCGCTGGGGCTGGGCGAGGTCTGAGCCTGGAGTCTGGATCTCAGTCTGGGTCTCCAACCTGGGCCATTATCCAGGGTGTGCATTAGCCGGGGCTCAAGCCTGGGCACTCTGATAAAGCTGTTTTATCTGCTTTCTCAAGTGGTGTTTTAGCTACTGTCCTGAATGTCCATCCTTTTTTTCTCTTTTAAGTTAGTCATTTTCTGAAAGCAAGGAACGTATCTTCTCCAACAGTGTTAGGTGCAATGTAAAGGCCATCAGTTAAGAATAACTCTTGGCTGGCGCCGCAGCTCACTAGGCTAATCCTCCACCTGCAGTGCCGGCACCCTGGGTTCTAGTCCCATTTGGGGCACCGGATTCTGTCCCGGTTGCTCCCTTTCCAGTCCAGCTCTCTGCTGTGGCCCGGGAAGCCAGTGGAGGATGGCCCAAGTGCTTGGGCCCCTGCACCTGCATGGGAGACCAAGAGGAAGCACCTGGCTCCTGGCTTCAGATCGTAGCAGCCATTTTGGGGGTAAACCAACGGAAGGAAGACCTTTCTCTCTGTCTCTCTCTCTCTCTCACTGTCTAACTCTGCCTGTCAAATAAATAAATAAATAAATAACTCTGTGTGTGTGTGTGTGTGTGTGTGTGTGTGTATGTGTGATGCATGCACAAGGCCACTTTAACTACATAAACCTAAGTTTGTAACCGAGCCCCAGTGTGGTACAGAGGAAGCTAATTTGACTTGGTGTCTAAAGACCTGACTTTGAGTCCATCTTGCGTCCTCATTTTATTGATTAATTCAATAAACTTATAAATGCTTTCAATGGATCCATCCCATGGTTTTACCCCAAGATGGACAGAACATTTTTTTGTTTTTTGCTTTTAAGTAGCTCACACATCTGAGAGACAGACACATACAAATACCCTTGCTGTGGTGTGATGGAATAGAAAATGCCGGTGATTGGCAGCAGAGGTAGCAGGGAGAGGAGACAGAATGACAGGCTTCCCATTAGCAGGTATGTGGAGGCTGAGCCTTGAAGGATGATCAATATTTATTTCTGCCAAATGAAGAAGTAGGGGAGTGTTATCCCATTCAGAGAAAACACTTGAACAACAGCCTGAAATACAAAAATGCATTTTATGCTATGTTTCCTCTACTCATGCTCTACTTGACCTTGGACAAATGACCTCTCTTAGCCTCTGCTTTTTTATCTGTAAAATGGGGTTAATAACTCAGTAAGTAAAAGTGCTTTATAACATGGAGGTATCCTGTGCATGCAAAGTGCTGTTTGACCAAAGAGCAAATTGCCTTTTTGGATTTGGAAATCCAAATTGGATTTCCCGTTAGATCATATAAATTGTAAGCAATTCTTCCAGGCAAATGCCAGATTAATAAAGAAAATATGAATAGTGCTCTCTTGCTTTTTGCCTATATAATATTTTTTCCAGCATAAGGATAATTTCATTCCAAATACTTTATATTTTCATTGAAAATAGAAACTTCAGGAAATTGTTTTCCACTAGGGGTAGCTGTGTGCTTATTCACTAAAAGATATTTTGTAGTTGAAAAGTGAAGTTTGCAGAGAGGCTGTATGATAGAGAGATCTTAGTGCAGAAAACAAGGACCCAAACTTCCCTTTGAACCAGGGAAATCCTTAGGCCCACGAGAAGGAGAGAGCTTGTAGCATAAGAAGCAAATTGAAAAGAGAAAAATCAGCTTAGTCCCAGCAGGAGCTCAAGGTACCAGATGGGGCAGGTGTTTAGCCTAGTGGTTAAGGTGCTGCTTGGGACACCCAGATCCCATTTTGGAGTGCCTGGGTTGAAGTGCTGCCTCTGTTTTTGATTCTAGCTTCCTGCTCTGTGCACCTAGGGACACAGTAGGTGATGGCTCATGGACTTGGGTCCCTGCCATCCTCACAGGAGCCCTGGGTTGAATTCCTGGCTTCCAGATTCAGCCTGTCCTAGCTCTGGATGTTGCAGGAATTTGGAGAGTAACCCAGGGAATGAGAGCTCTCTGACTGTCTGTCTCTAAAAAGGGGGGCATTTATGGAACACAGCTGTGCCGGATGCTGTGCAAAGTGCTTTACACATGTGTGTATCATCGCTTAGTTCTGTGAGATCTATGAGGAAACTACTGCTACCCTTCACATTTTACTAGTTAAGAAACTAAGTAAAGAAAGGTGTATATAAATTCAGATCATATAGTCAGGACTTGGCAGTGCAGAGACTTGAACTCTTGTGTTTGAATTCAGGTTTTTGACTTGGAGCAGAATTCACCTTAACTCTGAATGAATTCAGACTATTTTGATCAACTGTGTTTGCCATGATGGGTCATTGAGTGCCTTGGCCCAGTCATTGGCGTGCAGGAGAGTTGTAGGGCTCCCATTTGTTTTCTAGGGTTCTCTCAGCTTTTCCTGAAGAGCTTTTTTTGTTTGTTTGTTTATCCAGATTGTGTTTTTGTATTTTTCACCATTTGAGTCTTTCTTTTTATCCTTTCCTAAAAATTTAAGTGAATTGAACTTAGGAATTAGGAGATGATTTTTGATTTTCTTATTCTCATTTTCTATTGAGCTGATTTCCTCAAAACCTGAAATGCAATTGAAGATATCTGAATATCATACAAATCCTCTTTCATTTTTTCCTCACCATGTTTGGAAATTTATTTATGTAACATCTTCATTTCAACATTCTTTGATTCCTGAATAGGAAACTCAGTTCTAATAAGTGATTTTGTGCTATAGGTTTTGACCCTCCGGGGAGATACCAGATACAGAAAAACCCTGATTACCAATGATGGGACAGCTCTTGGAGTTGGTTTTCCAATTGGCATAACTGTTGATCCTGTTCGTGGGTGAGTGTTCATAAATGGTACATATCTGCTGCACAGCACCATTCTTATTAATATCATGATCTGATCAAATGAAAGAGTTCACATTTAGGACTTTCTGATTTCACTTGTCAACATTTATAAATTGTAGATCTCATGGAAAAAGAGAAATAGTTCTATTTAATATAGAGGATATGATTTATATTTTGTTCCATGTTCTTCAGATTGATGTCGTGCACTTGAACTTCATGCCAACCAGAGAAAGAACTTCAGAAATTTTAAAATACATGAATAAGAATGGATAATATATTCTGACTTTGAATGAACATGGGAAGCTTAAGGGATAGAAAGCACTTGCAATGACCTTGAAGGATGAACAAGCTTCTTGTAGGTGGAGAACAGGTTGCAACCAGGGAGTGATATTTGAGGCCAAGGGAGCAGCGTAGGCACAGGACTCTAGTAGTATTTGGTGTGAATACAGAGAGGCCCTGCAACCAGAGGCTTAGAGCAGGTGGCAGTTGACCAAATGGGAGATACAGCAGTAAAGGTCATTTGGTGACAAATCATAGAGGGCCTGTAGTGTTATGCTAAGGAGTTGGATTTCACTTTATTTTTTGGTAATAAGGTGTCAGCAGGGAATTTTGAGAAAAAGGAGTGACAAAATCAAATCTGTGTTTCAGAAATATCTATCAAGATTGGAGTGGAAAGTGTCAAGAAAATAAATTAAAAAATATACAATGGGCTGAGGAAAAGACAAGCTTAATTGTTTCTCACAAGGTATTTGGGCAGAGGAAGGAGGAAGCTCTATGCTATACAGGCATTCCAGGACCCAGGCTGATTATGACTCCACTGTCTTCAGTAGGGGACTTCTAAGGTCATCCTGGGTGCTAACTTCTTTGATAAGTGGAAGAAAGAACATTTAGGATGTGCTGGGAGGTTTTCATTGACCAGGCTTACAAATAGTGTGTGCCACTCCTCACATTTCTTCAAATGGAATTCAGACACATGACAAGGAAGACACATAACTGCAAGGAAGGATGTGGAGTCCAGAGGAAGATGTTGATTGGTGACTGGAAGAAATCTCTGCTAAGGGACCCAAGTAGGGAATTTAGGGATTGGTTACAAAGATAATTCAACATATAATCTGTACCTTTGACCTGTCGCGTCTCGGCCTTATCCACTATGGCACAGTGCCGGCCCCTAGGAAGTTTTAATTTTGAGTGAATTCATAATTCATTAGAGTTTTGTGGTGTGTCTCTTGGACTTCTATCAGTCTGGAATAGGAGAGGAGAAGGAAAAAATGGCAGGAACTAGCAAGATAGACACTATGGGAGAAGTTCACTAGAATAAACATTGATGAAACAATTACTTATGAAATCCAAGTAAAGAGGAACTCAGGCAGGAGTCATCTGCTTTGTGACGTCAGGAATGTATAATTTAGAAAGGAGGATAAGGTGTGTGTGTGTGTGTGTGTGTGTGTGTGTGTAAATAGCCATAACCCAGGTGCACCTATGACTAAGAACTGTGAGAGAGGCTAAAAAACTGGAGATGATAATGCTACAGGGAAATGACTTTTCAGCTTGAGGGATGTGATGCCGTTTGGAGTAGATCTTAAAGTGTAGATAGAATTTCATAAGCTGAATTGATTCTGAAGCCACCTTCCATGATATGAGGGAAGAAAGGTAAGAGCAAAGGCAGAAATATGAGAGAATGTTCAAGTCACCAAGAGCAGCCCATTTGGGTGGGGAGGAAATTAGAAGAACTTAGAATTTCATCAGAAGTGGCAGGAGACACAACAGGTCAAAGACTCGAGGGTATAGTATCTTAGATGGTAAGAAAAACTCTTGAGAAAATTTTGGTCAGTGTTATTGAATCAGTTGTTGCAGAAAAATATCTTTATGGGTAATCAGGGATAAATATTGATGCTATTATAGGATCTGTGGTGACATTTGGAAAAGGCTATTCAGTAGCTATCAGTAGATTTCAGTAGGAAGGAGTTCTTCAGGACTAAGGAGTTAAATTTAGAAAGGAAGGTGAGATGTGACTACTCTGAGTTGTATAGTGAAAATTAGGGAAAGATGAACTTATAGGTCAAAATGTAAGAGAACATCACTTTTTTTTAAAGATTATTTACTTGAGGCAGAGTTTCAGAGAAAGAGATAGAGAGAAAGAGAGAAAAAGAGAGGTCTTCCATCCACTGGTTCACTCCCCCAGTTGGCTGTAACGGCCAGAGCTGGGCTGATCTGAAGCCAGGAGCCCAGAGTTCTTCTGGGTCTCCCACATGGGTGCAGTAGCCCAAGGACTTGGGTCATCTGCTCTTTCTTTCCCAGGCCATGGAAGAGAGCTGGATTGGAAGTGGAACATCCAGGACTCAAACTGGTGCCCATATGGGATGCCAGCATGACAGATGGATGCTTAACTACTATGCCACAGCGCTGGCCCCAGGACATCACTTTTTGAAGAGAAGGAAAAGTGAGCATAGTTTTTGGAGGAGGTGAAAGATCAATGATGAAGAAATAATTGATTGAAAATAAACATTATAGGGGAAGGAATTAGAAATGTATGGTGAACAGGCATGACTTAAAAGAGCCAATATGGGAATTTATATAAAATAATCTGAGAATGAGATTCCTCAGCTAAGATTAGGAAGATTTTTTTTAAGATTTATTTATTTATTTGAAAGTCAGAGTTACACAGAGAGAGAAGGAGAGGCAGAGAGAGAGAGGTCTTCCATCTGCTGGTTCATTCTGCAGTTGGCTGCAACAGCTAGAGCTGTGCCAATCTGGAGCCAGGAGCTTCTTCCAGGTCTCCCATGTGGGTGCAGGGGCCCAAGGACTTGGGCCATCTTCTATTGCTTTCCCAGGCCATCACAGAGTGCTGGATCAGAAGTGGAGCAGCCGGGACTTGAACCGGCGCTCATATGGGATGCTGGCACTGCAGGTGGTGGCCTTACCCACTACGCCACAGCACCAGCCCCTAGGAAGTTTTAATTTTGAGTGAATTCATAATTCATTAGAGTTTTATGGTGTGTCTCTTGGACTTCTATCAGTCTGGAATAGGAGAAGAGAAGGAAAAAAGGGAGGAACTAGCAAGATAGACACTATGGAGAAGCTCACTAGAATAAACATTGATGAAACAATTACTTATGAAATCCAAGTAAAGAGGAACTCAGGCAAGGGTTAAGGGCAAAGAACAAGTTTAATAAGAATTGGAGCAAGGAAGAGATGGAAGAGTTTGATCAAAGCAGAGAATTTTAGGTTTGAGAACTTAGAGGCAGAGAAATTGAGTTGAAGATGAGGTTTTTGGATGGGCATAGTTAATTTGCTGGTGGAAGAGGTATGTGAATAAAAGCTATTTGAATTAAGGGATTTGAGGACTTCTGAGAAAAATGTGTAGGAGGATTGTCTATTGAGGCTATAGCAGGACACGAGGTGAAAAGGAATTAAAACTTGGACAGGGGCCGGCGCCGCGGCTCACTAGGCTAATCCTCCGCCTAGCGGCGCCGGCACACCGGGTTCTAGTCCCGGTCGGGGCGCCGGATTCTGTCCCGGTTGCCCCTCTTCCAGGCCAGCCCTCTGCTGTGGCCCGGGAGTGCAGTGGAGGATGGCCCAGGTGCTTGGGCCCTGCACCCCATGGGAGACCAGGAAAAGCACCTGGCTCCTGGCTCCTGCCATCGGATCAGCGCGGTGTGCTGGCCGCAGCGCGCCGGCCGCGGTGGCCATTGGAGGGTGAACCAACGGCAAAGGAAGACCTTTCTCTCTGTCTCTCTCTCTCACTGTCCACTCTGCCTGTCAAAAAAAAAAACAAAAAAAACAAAAAAAAAACACTTGGACAGGGAGTGCAGTGGAGGATGGCCCAAGCCCTTGGGCCCTGCACCCCATGGGAGACCAGGATAAGTACCTGGCTCCTGCCATTGGATCAGCGCGGTGCGCCGGCCGCAGCGTGCCGGCCGCGGCGGCCATTGGAGGGTGAACCAACGGCAAAAGGAAGACCTTTCTCTCTGTCTCTCTCTCTCACTGTCCACTCTGCCTGTCAAAAAAAAAAAAAAAAAAACCAAACAAACAAACAAAAAAAAAACAAACTTGGAGTCAATCTAAACGTTGTGTCCTCAGTGGAAATGAGAAGCAGCCTTTCACACCTTTTAATGAATTTTCATGCCATGAACTTCACAGTGCTGCATAGCAACTGTAGTTCATGTGTATTTGCATATTGAATATAGTTAATTTATATCACTTGATCAATATGCTAAAGGGATTCTACTTCAAAAAGTGTGTTCCTTACTCTGCTATTTTCTGTGTTAAATTTCAAAATCCTGCATTTTTATTAGCAGAATCAGATTAGGCAAGAAAGCAGCTGGTTGTGGTAGATGGTAATTTGGAGAAAAATGAAATAAGATATCTGATAAGTGAGTAGGGAGATTCTTAACAAGTTTTTACATAAGTTTTGGCCTTCTCAATGTGCTGGGTAGTACATGATTGTTTGAAGAGGGACTGACTGCTGATGTGGGTTCCTTTTTTGTTGTCAACTTCCCTGTCTCACCAAGCTCACATTCCAGCCACCAGTGGAAGATCCTAGCCTCTTGTTTTAGCACCATTTTAAATGGCATAATAACTAGGAAACATACAGACATTGGTAGAACACTGGTTAAGTATTCATCCACATTTTATATACATCAAGATATTGATGTTTCAGACTTCCTTCAATGGATTGTGAGCATCTTAAAGACAAGAAATACATACTTGAAATTGTATATTTAATTTACAGATGTGCTTCCTTCCAATTCACCTTCTGTTTCATTAAATACTGATTTTTTCATGGCTGTAGAAAACTGTACTGGTCAGACCACGGAACGGACAGTGGGGTTCCTGCCAAGATTGCAAGTGCAAATATGGATGGCACATCTTTAAAAACTCTCTTCACTGGGAACCTTGATCATCTGGAGTTTATCACCCTTGACATCCAGGAGCAGAAACTCTACTGGGCAGTCACTAGCAGAGGAGTGGTATGTGCACGCTTGCTCTCTTGGTCTTCATTACTGAGCTCGTATGGCTGAGATTGAGTGTTCTGGGTTGTCTGGCAGAGGTTCTTAAAACAACCTTATTTGGGCCGGCGCCGCGGCTCACTAGGCTAATCCTCCTCCTGCAGTGCTGGCACACCAGGTTCTAGTCCCTGTTGGGGCGCCAGATTCTGTCCCAGTTGCCCCTCTTCCAGGCCAGCTCTCTGCTGTGGCCCGGGAGTGCAGTGGAGGATGGCCCAAGTACTTGGGCCCTGCACCCGCATGGGAGGCCAGGAGAAGCACCTGGCTCCTTGCTTTGGATCAGCGCGGTGCGCTGGCCGCAGCAGTCTTTGGAGGGTGAACCAAAAGAAGGAAGACCTTTCTCTCTGTCTCTCTCTCTCTCACTGTCCACTCTGCCTGTCAAAAAAAACACCAAAATACCCTTATTTGGTAAATTGTACCAGTGTTTTGTTTCTCTTTTTCCCAATAACGTCTCTCTGAAGCCAGTCTTGTCCTGGTTGAAGTCCACTGCTTTGTGGTATGTGCCTTGTTCTGTATAGAATAATGTGTATTAGTTCTTTTCCTCAATCTTTGTTTTTCTTTAGGACAAATCAGTTTCATTGGTCACTTCTTACTGGTCCATCCAAAAGCATTTCTTTTGGTACTTTAGTGATGTCAGTGCATTCCTTTAAAACTATTCTAGGTTCTCCAATTGTACAGACAAAGGAAATATATACAGTTGGACCTCTGTGGCTTCCACATTTGTGGATTCAGCCAACTATTGTTAGAAAATATTTGGAAAAGAATTGCAACTCTACTGAATATGTATAGACTTTTTATCTTGTAGTTACTCCCTAAACAACATGTGTAACTACTATTTACATAGCATTTGCATTATATTTGTTATTATAAGTAATCTAGAGATGATTTAGTTTATAGGAGGATGCACATAGGTTATACACAAATACTACATCATTTTATATAAGAGACTTGAGCATCCACAGACTTTGGTGTCCCCATAAATCTGGAGGGAAGACTGTGTATCTCTTTTTGTCTGTCCATCTGCCTGCCTGTCTGTCTGTCTGTATGTATCAATGGCAAACTTCTGAGCTCAGCTTTCCCTCATGGCTATACATTTTTCTTTAATGCTCTGAATGGTTAATGTACATGTGAAACTTCCCCAATATTGAGTTCATTATATTCTGCAACAAGAAACAAACTGTAGAGTTTCACTCATTCATTGAAATAGTGTTTGACCGTAACGGCTGTGCACGTACAAGATGCTCAGTAATACTGATCAACTGAAGTCCTGTGAATGTTGAACTGAACAGGTGCTCTTTCTTGCTTCTTAAATAATAGTTGTTTCACACCTTTGACACTGATGCTGTCTTTAAGACTTGTGCAGTGGATTTGGCTTTCAGTTCATTATCTGTTCCACAGTTACTGATTTCACCCCTAATACAGACTTATACTGGTGATACACTTTGGGGATTAGCATTTTGCAGACTTGGGTACAGTGAGGAAGCTCTTGTTACCTGGCCTGGTTTCTTCTGCACCCTAGGCAAGACTTACCAGCTGTCTTCCCTTTCTATTTCCACACATGTCCAGTCCTTTTGAGTGGGTGATGTGGCTCTCCGTCCTTTCTACTCAGTGAGCACCCTCGTATTTCTCCTTCACCTTATTTCATCACCACAAAATCCTTCCGTTCCTGCTCGGCTTCTTTGTGTGTACAGTCTTTCTCTGCCACCTCACCACTCGGAGCAACTTCTCTCTGACCCTGCCCAGGTCACAGCCCTCATTGTGGAGACCTGTCTTTATGCTGGAGATACACTGTTTTCATAAAGCCACAACCAACAAGTTTCTGCTTAGAACCTGGTCTGTTGGAGCAGTTCCAGCACTTGGGTTGAGCTTGCTCAGTCAGCCTGCCCTGGCCAGCACTCCCTCAGCAGCTCGTCTCCAGACTCCTGTTCTCCACGTGTAGCCTACCGGGACATGTGTCAGTCTCTGGGAACATGTGTCACTCTTGGAACTGCAGGACTCCTTGTTTAGCGGAGCATTGAGTCAGATCTCATTTCTCTCTTTCTCTCTCTCTCTCACCAGTACCCAGCTTAGATCCTGGCACAGCAGAGGCACTCGAGATAGGTTTTTAGATGAAATCAAATGACCTACATCTGCATTTGCTTTTCTTCCAGAGGCAAACCACTTGTCATTTCCACTGAAGCCCTTTATTCTTAGAAGTTCTTTTCCACTTTGCCAAAGTCATTTTGACTGCAGCTGGATACAAATGTATCAGCACTACCCTCAGCCCAGTGCAGGCTTGCTGACTCTAGTAATTCTATGGGTCACTTTTCCTACCTTCTTCACAGGACGCTGCACTGTGTTGGCCCACAGTGAGGCATTGCTTCTGTGGCTAGATTCTCACATGCAGGGAGCAGTGGTTCAGTCTCCTTTCCTTCACCATGCCATCTGAGAAAGTTGACTGATTTGCCTTCTGAGCATGTATTTGGGACAATAGACTCAGTGTTGTTGGGCCAGTGTGGTGGTGATTCCCCAAACAGAACCTAGATATGACAAGGCTCTGCAAAGGGTAGAGATCCATACAAAGGTGAGGTGTTTTGATTAGGAGGATGATAGCTTTACAATCATCTTTCATTACACTATGATTCTGTAAAACTAATATAAATTTGGACCCTTTAGATTGAAAGAGGAAACGTGGACGGGACAGAGCGAATGATCCTGGTGCACCACCTTTCTCACCCGTGGGGAATCGCAGTCTACGAGTCCTTCCTTTACTATGCTGATGAGCAATATGAGGTCATTGAAAGAGTAGACAAGTCCTCGGGGGCCAACAAAGTGGTCCTGAGAGATAATGTTCCTAATCTGAGAGGCCTTCGAGTTTATCACAGACGCAGTAAGTATCTGCTGTGGAAACACACTCACGGATCTATCGTGCAATTTCACTCATCTACACACTTTTATCTGTTGGCTCACATCTGTAGTCCCAAATGGAAGTTACCCAAAATATTTTGAAAAATAATAACCACACCTTAGGCATGGTTAAGTGTCAAAGGCTAAAAATTAATAAACAAAGCATAACAGCTTAAAAGCTGTTAACCTAGCAGGTATGCTTTGTTAGTAATTTTTATAATGAATTACTTGATGACCTGATTTTAAAAATTGAGTTGGAGGCAGAGTCAAACATTACAAACTATTTTGATTTCTTTTAGATACCACCGAGTCCTCAAACGGCTGTAGCAACAACGTGAATGCCTGTCAGCAGATTTGCCTGCCTGTGCCAGGAGGACTGTTTTCCTGTGCCTGTGCCACTGGATTTAAACTCAATCCCGATCATCGGACCTGCTCTCTATATAACTCTTTCATTGTTGTTTCAATGCTGTCTGCAATTAGAGGCTTTAGCGTGGAATTGTCAGATCATTCTGAAGCTATGGTGCCTGTGGCCGGCCAAGGTATGCCAGCTCCAGTTTAAGTATGCGATGACTCCATCTGGTGCCATGGAAACATTTCTTCCTGTTTGAATACAGCACATGACAAAGCTCATCTTTCTCTGTCAACAAACTGTTTCAGATTAGAGCCAGTTGAGAGCGGTTCTCAACTTCTGTGTGTATCCGACTCACTTTTAGGACTTCTTAAATCACAGAGTTTGGTCCTGTTCCCAGATTCTCTGATTTTGGGAGTCTGGTGTAGGGTTAGAGAATCTGCATTCCTAGAAAGTTCCTAGGACATGAGATACTGCTGCATCATGGAACACACAGAGAACCACAGACCTAGAGCAATGTGGAATACAGCAGGAGCTTGTAAGAAGTGTTACGATTTAGTGTTTAGATTAACTGTGCCCCATTTCTTTTTTTTTTTTTTTTTTTTGGACAGGCAGAGTTAGAAAGTGAGAGAGAGAGACAGAGAGAAAGGTCTTCCTTCTTTTGGTTCACCCCCCAAATGGCTGCTACGGCCGGCGTGCTGCGTCGATCCGAAGCCAGGAGCCCGGTGCTTCCTCCTGGTCTCCTATGCAGGTGCAGGGCCCAAGCACTTGGGCCATCCTCCACTGCCTTCCCGGGCTACAGCAGAGAGCTGGACTGGAAGAGGAGCAACCAGGACAGAATCCGGCGCCCCAACAGGGACTAGAACCCCGGGGTGCTGGCGCCACAGGCGGAGGATTAGCCAAGTGAGCTGTGGTGCCGGCCCCCATTTCTTTTCTTTTTAAAAGATTTATTTATTTGAAAGGGATAGAAAGATAGACAGAGAAAGACAGGGACAGGGAGAGGAAGAGGGAAAGGGAGAGTGAGAGATGTTTTTTATCCACTGGTTCATTCCTCAAATACCTGCAGTGGGGACTGGGGCCAAGATGAAGTCAAGAGCCAGGAACTCCATCCCGGTGTCCCATGTGGCTGGCAGGAACTCAGGTACTTGAGTTGTCATCTGCTGCTTCCAGGCACATTAGCAGGGAGCTGGACTGGAGCATAGTAGCATTCTGATATGAGATGTGGGTGTCCTAAGAAGCAGCTTAACCTACTGCACCACAATGCCCTCCTAAGTGCCCTATTTCTGTTAATGGAAATTTAAGGAGGAGGCTGTGGAGTACATTATATAGTAATGAATAAATAAATCACAGAAGTGATTTATTATTTTTATTTCATGAATTGAAGCAAGAGGGCACAATATTAGTCTTTCCTTAATAACCATATTTTTGCAATACTTTATATTTGTATACTGTGATTATATAAAATAACATGCCTCCAAAGTGAACCAGGGTTTTAGGTCTGTGTTGCCACAAGAGGAACTAGAAGTTTATTAACATCACAAGGAGTATGTCACAGGCTAAAGATACAAATAGAGGGTAGAAGGGAAAGGAAATGAAGCAATGGGAGAGATGGTCAGAGAGATAGAAATGCGTCTGGTGGTTGGTCTACAGCCACACCACCCTGAACACGTCCAATCTCATCTGATCTGGGAAGCTAAGTGGCGTCAGGCCTGGTTAGCGCTTGGATGGGAGAAATACGTCTTGTGAAAGGAGTCCAGGAGCTCCTTTAGCAACCATTGATGATCCTTGTCTTCAATGATTATTTAATAGGGGATTGCAAAACAGTGATTTTCTTATTCTGTCATTCTTTTATATAGATAGTATTCTCCTAGAAAGGGAAAACTCCCCCCAACCAAGTTTATCTTTTAAAAAATTATTGTAAGTTCAACGATTTTATTTTTTAAATTCACTGTGTTATAATAGACTACCATAATTTTTCATTTGATATTCCAATTAGTTCATTTTGGCCAGAGAGAGCCTCTTCAAGTGACTACTCGAATGGTTTTGACGTGGCTCTTTTTGTGTTTGAGTACTTCCTTGCTTCTTGTGACATTAAGATATTCCAGGTTCACTTCATGCCTTCCCCTGGACAAACCTATCATTAGTCATTTTTTCCCTGGAGCCTGAGCTCCTTATAAGGGAGATGATATTTAGAAACCAAGATTTGCCTTAATATATGTGCTCATTGCAATTGGGAAGCAAATAGTTTCATCTTGTACTAGAGAGCTGGTTAAAGCAGGGAGTTGGGGGATGAGGGTTTGAGGAGAAAGGCAGATATTCGAAAGTTCTCGGGTAGAGCATTGTTTAACTACATTTTCTCAAATATTCCAGGTCGAAATGCATTGCATGTGGATGTTGATATGTCCTCTGGCTTTATTTACTGGTGCGATTTTAGCAGCTCCGTGAGATCTTACAATGCAATCCGTAGGATCAAACCAGATGGGTCTTCTTTTGCAAGCATCATTACAAACGGGATAGGGGCAAATGGAGTCCGGGGTATTGCGGTGGATTGGGTAGCAGGTATGTAATTCATGTAGTGATTTCTGTGCTTGCATCTTGATTATGTTATTTTATGTCAGAACGTTTAGCCTAACTACATGTGCTGAAGATTTGTTTTCTAGCCCATTATTATTTCTTCTGTAAAATTATTGAGATCATTTAAAGTAAATTGAATTGTGCATTTAGATCAACTTATGCATGTGCGAAATACATGATAATGTATTTCTGTTGACAGATTCATAGCAGATTGGTTATATAATTTTCTTAGCGTAATTAAAACTGTAGACAAAAATGGCTGTAAATATTAAATCCTGTGTATTTGTTTTTTCACACTTAGATTCAAATCTAATTTCTGAACTAGAAATGTCTAAATTTTCAAAGAGAAGGAGCTATTACAGTATAGTTGATGTCATAACATGGCATTCACTTATTTTGAAGCTGAGCAATTTTAGTTGCCAAATTCTTAATTTCTTCTTCTTGTTAATGTAAAAAAAATCATTTTGACCAGTAAGTACTTTCTCCATTAGTAGCTGTATTAAAGTACCTGACCCACAATTACATTAACTTAGTTGCATTGATTCATGTACTTCCCACCTTTTTTTAAACTTTATTTATTTTTTGACAGGCAGAATGGACAGTGAGAGAAAGAGACAGAGAGAAAGGTCTTCCTTTTCCATTGGTTCACCCCCCAATGGCCGCTGCGGCTGATGCGCTGCAGCTGGCGCACTGCGCTGATCTGAAGCCAGGAGCCAGGTGCTTCTCCTGGTTTCCCATGTGGGTGCAGGGCCCAAGCACCTGGGCCATCCTCCACTGCACTCCCGGGCCACAGCAGAGAGCTGGACAGGAAGAGGAGCAACCGGGACAGAATCTCGGTGTGCCAGTGCTGCAGGCGGAAGATTAGCCTAGTGAGCCGTGGCACTGGCCCTTCCCACCTATTTTTAACTATACACTGGGAAACAAATGTATTATAATTTTTAGAATATGATATAATTCTAACATATGTATATATCATTATGTACTATCAAGCTTAGTAAATAGGCATCACCTAGAAATATTAACAAATTATAAAAATCTAGGTACCATAATAGATTTTATTTTAAATATAAAATATAGTAGTATGGTTAAATAAAGCCTTAATTGAGTTTTTAAATCCACTCATCAGTATGCTCTTTCACTTTCCTGTAGGAAATCTTTATTTCACCAATGCCTTTGTGTCTGAAACACTCATAGAAGTTCTTCGGATCAATACCACCTATCGCCGTGTTCTCCTTAAAGTCACAGTGGATATGCCTCGGCATATAGTTGTAGACCCCAAGAACAGATACCTCTTCTGGGCTGACTATGGACAGAAACCAAAGATTGAACGTTCTCTTCTTGACTGTACCAATCGAACTGTGCTTGTATCAGATGGCATTGTCACACCACGGGGCTTGGCAGTGGACCGTAGCAATGGCTATATTTATTGGGTTGATGATTCTTTAGATATCATAGCAAGGATCCATCCTAATGGTGGCGGATCAGAAGTGGTTCGTTACGGCAGTCGTTACCCAACTCCCTATGGCATCACTGTTTTTCAAAATTCTATCATATGGGTAGATAGGAATTTGAAAAAAGTCTTCCAAGCTAGCAAGGAACCAGCAAACACAGAGCCTCCAACAGTGATAAGAGACAATATCAACTGGCTAAGAGATGTGACCATCTTTGATGAGACTGTCCAGCCCCGGTCGCCGTCAGAAGTCAACAACAACCCTTGCTTGGAGAATAATGGTGGGTGCTCCCATCTTTGCTTCGCTTTGCCTGGTTCGAACACTCCAAAATGTGGCTGTGCCTTTGGAACTTTGGAAAGTGATGGCAAGAACTGTGCAATTTCAACAGAAAATTTCCTCATCTTTGCCTTGGATAATTCCTTGAGAAGTTTACATTTGGACCCTGAAAATCACAGCCCACCTTTCCAAGCAATAGATGTGGAAAGAAATGCCATAGCTGTGGACTATGACAACATAAATAATAGAATCTACCTCACACAACAAGTAGTCTCTGGACCTGGCCAGATTTCCTATGTCAGCTTGTATTCAGGGAACCATTCTCCAACTGTCATTGCTTCAGGTAAGTGACCCCAGGTTCACACACAAATGATGGTATGTTTCTTATGCATATTAAGACTCTAACATCTTTGTGTGTGTGTTTGCTGGTGCTCATCCAGATATAGGGACCCCTGATGGTATTGCCTTTGACTGGATCAACAGGAGAATTTACTACAGTGACTTCTCCAACCAGACGATTAATTCCATGGCTGAAGATGGATCCAAGCGCACCCTAATAGCCCGTGTTTCAAAACCAAGAGCAATTGTGTTAGATCCCTGCCGAGGGTATGCTATGATCTTCTTTATTGCATTTCTATCTGCTTATTTATGGAGTAAGTCCTGAAATATTTTATGTCCAGAGGCAGCCAGCATATTATTGACTTATATATGATTCAAAGGTGAAATCCCATTGAGTGATTTTACCTGGGAAAGAGGGTGTGGTGGGTAATTCCTTTTGATGATAAAAAGATGCTAAGTAATCAGTGTTCTGACTGGGCAAATCCATTTAGAGCAAGTTGTGTGGGTAGGAATGTAGTAGAGTTTCTTTTGCCATATTAGTGTCAACTAGCAATTAAAGAGTGCTGCCATTTGTTTAAGTAAAAAGGACTGTGAAGTTCCTTATGATGAATTACTTATGATTCCTTTTGGATGACTAGGTACATGTATTGGACTGACTGGGGTACGAATGCCAAAATCGAGAGAGCCACACTGGGAGGAAACTTCCGGGTACCCATTGTGAATACTAGCCTGGTTTGGCCCAATGGACTCACTCTGGACTATGAGACGGACCTTCTCTACTGGGCGGATGCTAGCCTGTATGTGTCTTTTGTTACTCATGTGGGTGTTGCTAAGAAGAGCTCCTTCCTCCACTTACAAAGAAGAGGGATTTGCATAATTTGATGAAAATATAACATGCCAGAGAGATGTTGCCAAATGTAGAATCACAGTATTAGGAACTATGTATTCTAGCTTATTGACTATATATGTGAAACTTTAACTGTATCTTGAGATTGAATAATTATGAACTAAAAAAATTTAAAGATGCATTGCTAATACACCTGTGTTTTCAACTGTAATTAGAAATATAATTGCTCAATTTATAGTCAACAGACTGTAGGCAACTAGTATAAAACGTGAATCACTTCAATTGTTTCTAGATATGGAGAGAGAGGGAGGGAGAGAGAGACAAAGAGAAAGAGAAATCAATTTTCTATCTGCTGGTTCACTCCCCAGATGGCTGCAATGACTGGGTCTGTTCCTGGCTGAATCAGGAACATGGAGCTCCATCTCGGTCTCCCACATGGATGTCAGGGGCCTAAGTTCCTGGGCCATCCTCTGCTGCCTTCCCTGGTACATTAGCGGGGAGCTAGATCAGCAGCGGAGCAGCTGAGACTCAAAGTGGTGCTCTAATATGGAGTGTTGGCATTGCAGATGGCAGCTTAGCTCACTGTTCCGTAATGTTGGCCCTCAAATTTTTAAAACATTCCTATTTATTTGAGAGAGACAAGGCTCCACCATCTGCTAGTTTACTCCGCAAATGCCTGCAATGGTTGGGTTTGAGTTGGGCCGAAACTGGATCCAGGAGTTCAATTCCCAGGACCAACTACTGAGTCATCGCTGCCGCTTCCCAGGGTGTGCATTAACAGGAAGCTAGAATCAGGAGCCAGAATTGGGAATCAAGTCCAGGTACTCTGATATGGGACATAGGTACTCTAGCCCATGTCTTCAATGTTAGGATAAATGCCTGCATTATGAATAACTTTTAAGTGCATATTAATACTGATTTTTCCCCTGGGCTTTAGTATTTAGTATCTTTGTAAAATATTTATCTTTAATCTTTGACTTTTGATCATCTTCTCAAATAGACTTTTCTTCTCTAGCAAGCTTCTTCTCAGCAAATCTCATAATTTTTGCCTTATACATTTCTGTCAATACTAACTTTGTATGTAACTTCTCTGAAAACCCCCAAATACCTAACAATGCAGTCATCCTAAAGCAATAGTTGAAAGGATGAAATTATTTCATTTATTGTGGCTGGTGTCTACATGTCAGTCATCTCTTCTTGCTGACTTCTTGATGATTTGGTCTTTGTGATGCCAAGTACCTAGCATCCTGATATTTTCTTCACTTTCTCATTTGAAACCAAGCAGCAGTGTTTTGTCATCCTAAATTGGATCATTCTAGGTCAACACCTCAAAATAAGCAGTAAATATCAAATTGAAAAGGTTGTATTGATATTTGAAAGTCAACAATTTTGGTAGGTCCTTGTTTGATAAGCACATAAGACTTCTTATCAATAGAAGATACATCCTAACTACTAAGTGCCCCACTTGGAAAGAAAGATGGAGGCTTGGGGCCAGTGCTGTGTGGTAGGCCAAGCCTCTGCCTGTGGTGCCGGCATCCTGTATGGGCACCAGTTCATGTCCCTGCTGCTCCTCTTCTGGTCCAGCTCCCTGCTTGTGGCCCAAGAGCAGTGGAAGATGGCCCAAGTGCTTGACCCTTCATTCACATAGGAGACCTAGAAGAAGCTCCTGGCACCTGACTTCAAATCGGCCCAGCTCCAGCCATTGCAGCCATCTGGGGAGTGAACCAGTGGCTGTAAGACCTCTCTCTCTCTCAAATACATAAATAAAATCTTAGAGAGAGAGAGAGAGAGAGAGAGAGAAAGGGAGGGAGGGAGGGAGGAAAGATGGAAGGAAAGAAGGAAGGAAGGCAGGCAGGAAGGAAGGAAGATGGAGGCTTGTTTGAAACAGTATTTAGGCCCAGGAGTTAGGCTTCCAGTTGAGAAAATTAATTCTTTGTGGATTTCAGCATTTTTTCCCCGACTTTATTTTAGGCGGAAGATTGAACGCAGCACTCTAACAGGCACAGAACGGGAAGTCATTGTCAACACAGCCTTTCATGCTTTTGGCCTAACTGTCTATGATCAATATATTTACTGGACTGACTTATACACACAAAAAATTTACCGGGCTAACAAATATGATGGGTCAGATCAGATTGCGATGACCACGAATTTGCCCATGCGACCTAAGGGTATTTGCACTGTTGTGAAACACCAGCAGCGGCAGTGCAGCAATCCCTGTGATCAGTTTAATGGGGGCTGCAGCCATATCTGTGTACCAGGTAAGACTTTGCTTATGAAGATTCAAATGTGTAGAATACTTATAATAGCCATTGCTAAAGGAGGTCCAAAGAATATTCATCCCTAACAGGAGAAAAAAATCCAAATTGAAGTCCAGTAACTATTGTTGTCCAGTATACTATTGCTTTGCAAATTTTTCTGAAAAGACAGAATCATGCAGGTTGCAGATGAGAGGTAGCTGTTTCAAGAGTAGGATGCATTGGCACATTTATTAGAAACTGATAGTTGTTTTTCTTATGATGACAAATGATTGAGAATATAGTTGAAAGGTGATGGGCACACTTTCCATGGCTTGTCTTATAGAGCATTTAATGTAGAAGCTGTTTCAAGTTTGTCCTGTAGGAGATTTAACATGGATGCTTGTTACATCAGTCTTTTCCTTCTTTTGGCTCTACCTGTCTTCAGGTCCAAATGGTGCTGAGTGCCAGTGTCCGCATGAGGGTCAGTGGTATCTGGCCAACAATAATAAGCACTGCATCGTGGACAGTGGTTCCCGGTGTGTTGCATCCCAGTTCACCTGCCTCAATGGGCGCTGCATCTCTGAGCAGTGGAAATGCGATAACGACAATGACTGTGGGGACAACAGCGATGAGCTGCAGAGCGTCTGTGGTAAGTTGGACTCTGGGCACTTTTGTTAGGAGCAAACGGCATCTTTGTACCAAGTGTCTGCTACAGAATCCTGCTATGTGTGAATGGCACAAAACATATACTCAGATCATCTAGGTTGTATTTCTGTTCCATCACCTCTGTAGTGGGTAAGACTCAAAGCACTGGATTGAGATCCTGGCTGTGCCACTGACAATCTCTGTACCCCTGAGGAAGTTATTTAACCTCTCTGAACTTCAGACATCTCATCTGTACCATGGAGCTTTCAGTAGGATTCTTGTGAAAAGTGAGAAACCACAGAGAATACTTGGCATAGAGTGTGGTACATGCTAAGCCCATTTTCTCATACTCTGGTATAGTTAGTATTTTATGAATTTTCCTAGCAGGAAGGTCATTAATGCAATAATTTTGTGGAAATGACACCTAGGTCTTGGATGTGAATAGAATGACAAAGGCGCAGTGGACTTTCTCGGGGATTTCTGAGGTTGGTTATCTTTTTCTAAGAGACCATGTGCATACAGGTTTGGAATTTTTATTTTCCCCAAATAAACTGTATTTTCAAAGCTTTCTGTGACTGAGAAACACTTTTAAACTGAGATAGTAATATCTCAGTTAGATAGAAATATGGAGGGACTGATTTTTGCCTAAAATACTTCATTTGCTTCAAAAGGGTGTATAACATATTTTGCTTAATTTAGCTGATCTAAAGCGTTGTCTCACTCTGCATGCAGTCTGATTGGCAGCCGTTTTTGCCTAGGAAGGTAAACTCAAAGTGTTCATTTTATTTCATTGTATCTTTATAGAAATAAGGGTAATGCTTTAATCAAGAGGGTATTTTTTTTTCCTCGATTCTCCCCCTGCTTCTAGCATTTCACACCTGCCCGCCAACAGCCTTCACCTGTGCCAACGGGCGCTGTGTCCAGTACCATTACCGCTGTGATTACTACAATGACTGTGGTGACAACAGTGATGAGGAAGGGTGCCTGTTCAGGAACTGTAACAGCACCACGGAGTTTACTTGCAGTAATGGAAGGTGCATACCTCAAAGCTTTGTCTGTGATGGCAGAAACAACTGCTATGATAATGGCACTTCAGATGAGAGAAATTGCCGTAAGTTTATCTTCCATATTTTCTATGACCTTGGTTTTGATGTCTTAGATTACAAGAGATTAAATTTTTGCATAAAAATGTTTAAAAAACTACTGATTTTTCTAACATAAATTTCCTTTTTTTTTTTAAGATTTATTTTATTTGAAAGTCAGAGTTACACAGAGAGAGGAGAGGCAGAGAGAGAGAGAGAGAGGTCTTCCATCCATTGGTTCACTCCCCAATTGGCCACAACGGCCGGAGCTGTGCAGATCTGAAGCCAGTAGCCAAGAGCTTCTTCAGGGTCTCCCATGTGGGTGCAGGGGCCCAAGGACTTGGGCCATCTTCTACTGCTTTCCCAGGCCATTGCAGAGAGCTGGATTGGAAGTGGAGCAGCCGGGACTCAAACTGGCGCCCATGCGGGATGCCGGTGCCTCAGGCCAGGGCATTAACCTCTGCTGCACCATAGCCCCAACCCGTGTACTGAGATTTTTTAAAATCAAATTTGGGTTGAATCTGTGGGTCTGGAACCCTTGGACATGGAGGGCTGTTGTGTCTGCTGAATGCATAAGTGTTATTATGTACCAGCAACTGTACTAGAGGGGCAGATTGGCATCAGTCTTTACTGGTGCCACCAGGTGATTTTCTTTGGACATTCAAAGAACTTCAGTTAGAAACTTCTATGGCATTTACAAAATGCCAGTGTGCTCTACGTACACTGAGATGCTTGAGAACATTGATTCTAGGCAAAACAGCAAAGATGAAATTGCTTGCCTTCCAACCTCTTCTAATCCCTCCCCTCCTTCTTTTAAAAATATAAAGAAAAGAGATTTCATGCATTCTGTAGGTATAATTCCAAAAAGACAACCACACTTCCCTCTGTCCCCTTCCCAATTCCTCTTCCACTCCCATCTCTTCCTTTCATCAGTTTTTGCGAAGGCATAATTTTAATTCAGTCTATATTCATAGGCATAATTCACCACTAACTATAATACTCAACAAGTGAAAAGTAGGAATACCACAGTTCCACAGGAGTATAAACAAGGACTAAGAACAACAATCATATCGCAAGACCTCCATTTCATTCCCATACACTTATGTGTATTCTATATTAACTGCCACATATCAGAGAAATTATATGATATTTGTGTTTTGGGGACTGGCCTATTTCACTAAGCGTAATAGTTTTCATTTGCATCCATTTTGTTGCAAAATATAGGATTTCATCCTTTTTTTTTTAAAGATGTATTTATTTATTTGAAAGTCAGAGTTACACAGAGAAAGCAGGAGAGGCAGAGAGAGAGAGAGAGAGAGAGAGGTCTTCCATCTGCTGGTTCACTCCCCCAGATGGCCGCAATGGCTGGAGCTGTGCCGATCCAAAGCCAGGAGCCAGGAGCTTCTTCTGGGTCTCCCACATGGGTGCAGGGGCCCAAGGACTTGGGCCGTCTTCTACTGCTTTCCCAGGCCAGAGCAGAGAGCTGGATTGGAAGTGGAGCAGCCGGGACTAGAACCGGTGCCCATATGGGATGCCAGTGCTTCAGGCCAGGGCGTTAACCCACTGTGCCACAGTGCCGGCAGATTTCATCCTTTTTTTAAAAAAATAATTTATTTATTTATTTGAAAGGCAGAGTTACAGGGAGGCAGAGAGAGAGAGAGAGAGAGAGAGAGAGGGAGATCTTCCATCCACTGGTTCACTCCCCAAATGGCTGCGACAGCTGGATCTGGGCTGATCCAAAGCCAGGAGCCAGGAGCTTCTGTTGGGTTTCCCATATGGGTGCAGGGGCCCAAGCACTTGGGCCATCTTCTACTGCTTTCCTGGGTCATAGCGGAGAGCTGGATCAGAAGTGGAGCAGCTGGGACTTGAACCTGCACCCATATGGGATGCTGGCACTGCAGGCGGCGGCTTTACCTGCTATGCCACAATGCCAGCCCCATCATTCTTTTATATGGCTGAGTAATATTCCATAGTATATGTATTCCACATTTTCTTTAGCCAGTCATCAGTTAATGGACATCTGGGTTGATTCCATATTTTAGCTATTGTGAATTGAACTTCAATGAACATGGGACTACAGATCCCTCTTTCATTTGCTGATTTCATTTTGTTTGGGTGAATTCCCAGGAATGATGGGTCATAGGGTAGATATATTTTCAGTAAATTCTTGGTTTCTATGATAGTAACGTGGTTACTTATTTGCTTTGTTCTATGATAATTTTTGAATGCCTATAATAATTTTGAAATTATTTTAACCACACAAAAATACTATTAACAATATTTTTACTACAGGTCAGTCCTTCTTATTCTTAGATTATGACCCATCAGTGATATGCACTCAAAATAATGGTTTTAAAGTCATTTGAACTGTTTTCCTTGTGGGGTTATACCAACAACTTGATTTATAGGTTACTTCTTTTGTTATTCTTTCCAAATTTTAAGAAACACTTTTCATTTTCATTCTTATTTCATTGTTCTTACTTGTACAAATAATGTACATGGCTCCAAAGTTAAAGATGTAAGACTGGGGCTGATATTGAGGCACAGTGAGGTTAAGCTACCACTTGCGATGCTAGCATCCCATATTAGAGCACTGGCTCGAAGTCCTGGCTGCTCTGCTTCCAGTTCAATTTCCTGCTGATGCACCTGGGAAGGTAGCAGGTCATGGTCTGAGTGCTTCTGCCCCTGTCACCCAGGTAGGAGACCAGGATGGATCTGGCTCCAGTTTCAGCCTTGCCCAGCCCTGGCTGCTGCAACTATTTGGAGAGTGAACCAGTGGATGGAATCTCTCTCTCTTTCTCTCTCTCTCTCCCCTCTGCCTTTCAAACAAATACATAAATAAATAAATATTTCTAAAAATATAAATAAATAGTTAAATATTTTTTAAAAAGCTGCATAGCTATGTGACTAGGTGCTTTTATAGAAGTTTTCATCTTTGTTCTCTACACTGCTCGCTTCCTGTCGGGCTATGTAGTGGGATGGCATCTTTCATTAGGATACTTTCTTAGTAAGCATCTCTTTCTCCCTCTCTACACACACACACACACACATGTTGAGCATACTTAATCTGAAAATTTGAATTCCAAAATATTTCAAAATCCAAAGGATTTTAAGCACCATAGTTCTAAATTTCACACCATGAAATCATCATCTCATTCACAAAATTATTAAAAATATTATATAAAATTACCTTCAGGCTATGTCTATATGATAAATATGAAAAATAAATGAATTTTATGTTTAGATATGTGTTACCTACCCAAGGTAATCTCCTTTATGTATATAAAAATATTTCAAAATTTCAAAAAAAAAAATCCAAAATCCAAGACACTTTTGGTCTCAAGCATTTTGGATAAGTGATACTCAATTTTATCATACTTTTTCTTACACAAAAGACAGACTACTATTTAGAATTTTGATTTCTTACTAAGAACAGGATATCCTGGATGGTACTATCAGTGCTCAGTATATAGAAATCTTCATTCTTTTTAGAGCTACATATGACACCATACTATGGTTATCCCACAGTTAGTTTGTTTAACCAAGAGTTGGGACTCTTGTTGATACCATGAAACAATGTAAATAGACAATTTAAGTTACAAAGCAATCTCTCTTCCCCTGAAATCCCCCTGGTATCAGCTGGAAATGTCTCTTTCAACCATAGAATATGTAGGTGATGTAAGTGCCATTGATTATGCCTCTCTGAGAGCTTTAAAAATGCCTCCTTTCCAGTGGCTTGAGTTCTGCAACAGATCTATTGTCATGGACACGGTTTATGTTACGTATTTGGTATGTTTCAAGTACTTATCTGGTTATCTTTTTAAAGCTCCTCGCACTTGCTCACCTGGATTCACAAAATGTCAAAGTACAAATATTTGTATTCCCCGACTTTACTTGTGTGATGGAGACAATGACTGTGGAGATTTGAGTGATGAAAACCCTACTTTCTGCAGTGAGTAAGATAAAATTGCTTTTCTTTCTGTAATTCCAGGGATGTAAGTCATGAGCTAATACAAAGATTGCACGATCTATCCATCTATCTATCTATCTATCTGTACTTATTCACATTTATAGATAGATATCATCTATATTTACCCATGTTTATAGATAGATATTCATCCATCTATATTTATGAATATTTATAGATAGATGGATAGATAGATATAGCCTAGCTATTTGGGCTAATTTCAGCTGTGAGCTCATATTGACTTTTTCAGTGGATGTGCTAGGCAGTTGCATTAAGATATGACTGAAGAGAGATGAGAAGTCCCTTCTCTTTGTTCCATGGCTGGATGCTCCTGATCTGAAATATCTCTTCCAGAGGCCCACCACAATTGAAGAGCCATTTGTTCCACTCTTGAAGGACTTCAAGGACTCCAGGCAGGATTTGGACATGAAGCCTTTATTATTTATTCCTAATAGGGTTATTGTGGCTATATACCTGAAAGTGTTTTTATGTCTCCTTAATATGTTTAAATTTCAGAGACCTTAATTTTATATTTAGCAATTTGGTTCAAATGATTTTCTTGTATTTATAGTTCAGATTTAAAGGTCCTTCTTAAGCTTGATAACTTTGTGACAATTAGTGTAAGTAGATTCATAATTTCAAGAATTTAGTAATTACCCTTCTCCGTTATGGGTATATGTGGTCATATCTGGGTATATCTGCTCACTGGTCCCCTCCTAAGGAAACCACAGGGTATTGTAATAATTGATCATCAGGCCAGGCTTCAGTCCATCAACAGGAATGGGCTGTAGTGGTAGGTAGCAGCAGCAGTAGGTGGAGGCAGAATTTTGGTTGGAGCCATCAGACAGGGCTAGCTAGATTGGAGTTCTTGCTGCTCTGCTGGGGACCTCTGCTTCCCTATCATTTTTGCCCCAGGAAAATCATCTGATATCATGGGCCAAAGCAAGGGGACTTTGTAGACTGGCACAATTATCAGACTTGGTACACATAATGATTTAGAAAATCATTTAGATTTAGAGCTTTGCTAATTCTCTAGAGTCATAGCCCAACATGACTATAAAAGGTGTGTGTAGGGTGAGCTCAGATACCTTCATATTGGTTTTGCTTTTAATTATTAATTCCATATGGTTTATTTAATTTTACTCTAGCAGAGATAATAAAACCAAGGCTAATTTTATATAATTTATGATTTCATTATCACAAAGATAGTTCTCATAAAAACAAAACACGTTTTATTTTTTATATTCATTTAATCTGGGGGAAAAATCTGGAAAACCAGGGCAATGTTGACCACTTTCTCTGTCCCATATTTCTCCATCCCCATGGAAAGTTTATATGAAAGTCCATTTCCCAAGCCTCAGTCTACTTTCCTTGACAACCACTGTCCATCTCAGAAATAAAAGCAGATAGTTACGATTGATGGGAACATGCTTATATTTTGTTCCTGAATTGTATCTTGTTTCCCTCCTGCAGCCACTCACACATGCAGGAACACTGAATTCCAGTGCACATCTGGGCGCTGTATTCCTCAACATTGGCATTGTGATCAAGAAGTAGATTGTCCGGATGGCTCCGATGAACCTGCCTCTTGTGGTAAGAGACCAAACAAGATTGAAAAGCATTACGATGCAGCTAGACCACCCCAGTCTCGTCCACCCACATCACATACAGACAAGGATCATGGCTGCCAAACACTTGCACTCCCTGCTCCTGCTCCCAGCTGGGATGCTGAAACCCCTCATTGTTCATTGTTTAAAAAAATGATTTATTTTATTTACTTGAAAGGCAGAGTTATATAAAAGGAGACACACACATACACACACAGAGAAAGAGAGAGAGTGAGGGAGGGAGAAAGAGGGGGAGAGAGAGAGGGTGGGAGAGAGAGAGAAGAGAGTAGAGAGGGAGAGAGAGATCTTCATTTGCTGATTCACTCCTCAAATAGCTGCAAAAGCTAGGGCTGGACCATATTGAAGCCAGGAGCATAAAACTCCATCTAGGTCTCTCATGTAGGTGTCAGGGGCAGGGGCCCAAGTGTGCATTAGTAGGGAGCTGGATTGGAAGTAGAGCAGCCAGGAGTTGAAGCGATGCCCATATGAGATGCCAGAGTCTCAGATGGTGGCTTAGCCCACTGCATCAAAATGCCAGCACCAGCAGATGTTCATTAAAGACCTACTAGTGCAGAACACTATGTGGGGAGCTGAATAGATATAGAAGTTCATGACTGATACTGACAAAATTAGATTATGTTGTTGATGCACATACTCCAATGCCTGGCTTGTAGAACTCAGTTGATTTAGTTGACTATCAGATTTCTGAATTTGAATTCTGGCCCATAAGACCATGGGAGGATCCAAAGGTGATTGGAGTCACCATAGGAGAGGGGCATGAAGTGGATGCAGAGCCTCTTTCTATTCTACATGCCTGTTTACAGGTGACATTCCTGGGCCATCTGAGCTTCCTAGGAAGTTCCAGGGGCCCACTCCTACATTCCTAGAAGCAGTTGCATTCCATTTGTCTTGAAAATTCTAATCTGTATCCATGCACATTTTTTATATATGTAATTGTAAAAATATAAAGATCTAATGCGTTGGTTTTTTGAAATCTGTCAATCGTACTGCTTTATAGAGTAAGCAAAAGTATGGCTAAGGGCCAGTCTTTATAGATAAAATTGTACTAGAATATAGCCACATCAAATATGGCTGCCTTCCTGATACAGTGGCAATGTTAAGTGAATGTAATAGAGACCACATGGCCTATAAGCCTAAAATATTTACTATCTGGTTAAGAAAATGTTAACTCACTTCTATAAGATAGTCTTCATACTCCTTTTAGTGACTGTATGATATTCCACTGAGTGGTTATATTATCATTGACTCAACTGCCTCTGTTATGAAGCATTTATAGTAATTTTAGTTTTTTCCTCTACTGTAAATATCACTGTAGTAAGTACCATCATATATAAATCTTTTATTTTAGGAATATTTTTGGAGACTATAGTCTTACAGCTGAATCCAGACTTTCTGTTTTATCTTCATCTGAAGTTCTGTGACTAATGTTTGCAAATTGGTATCTGAGCACTTTTCCAGGTTCTTTTCCCCCAACATTCAAAGTTTGATAGAAAGCAAAGAGTCTTGAAGATCTGCAAAGAGAATAATTAACTGTTAAGTTTGTAGAATAGTTCTAGAGATTGGTTCATGTTTATGAACCCTTGCTTCAAATATATGAAGAATAAATACATGTTTCCAAATCTATTCATGGGAGCTAAAATCATAGTAATGGCAATTAGTACCATTGTCTGACATATTTAAAAAATATAAACACAGAGGCTGTATGAGACCATATTCCCAAGACAGTAAATCAAGAAATAATATGCAGAAGTGTATTTTATAGAATAATATGGAGATAAAAAATTAAAATTCCCATTTATTCATCCTTTCACATTTATTCATCTCTTCACTCCCAAAGATATTCACTATTAAAGGTGGAATCCTGCTTAACTTTTGTAAATCTCATATGTAATTTTTACAGACACAGATAGGATCTTACTATCCAGACTTTCTTCCAATGGGTTTTTTTTTTTTTTAAGCTCAATAACATCTTGTCAGCATTTCAGAAAATGCAAAGCTGCCCCCTTTCTTTGCATTAACGAATAATACTCTAAACTATGGATGGTCCATGTGTTTATATCCCTTTCTTAGCTGTTGGGCTCTTAGATTTTTCCATCTTTTTTTTATTATGAAAAATAATGCTGCAATGTACATTCTTTTAGCATGTGTGGGAAGATTTTTTTTTTTAAAAAAAAGATTTATATTTGAAATGCAGAGTTAGAGAGAGAGACAGAAACAGAGACACAACCAGGCAGAGAGGTTTTCCATCTGCTGGTTCACTCCCCAAAATGGCTGCAATAACCAGGGCTGGGCTAGGCCAAAGCCAGGAGCCACGAGCTTATTCTGGGTCTCCCACATGGGCGCAGGGGCCCAAACACTTGAGCCTTCTTCCGCTGCTTTCCCAGGCACATTAGCAGGGACTGGATGGGAAGTGTAACAGCTGGAATCGAACCAGCTCCCATATAGGATGCCGGGATTGCAGGCAGCGGTTTTACCTACTATGCCACAACGCTATCCCTGGGAAGATTCTTATAGGCTGGGTTTCTAGAAGGGGTATTACTGTATCAAAAAAGATGTATGTCTCCTTAAAAAATCTGTTTCAAAAGTGTACACTCCTCCATATCAGCTTTCCTAAGCAGTTTTGTTTCTGTTGTTTATTATCATTGTGCAGTGTCTTTAGTAGTTAAACAATTAAATTCTTTTTTGCCTTAGGCTAATTTGAGGGGTTCCTGAGTTTTGGGGCAAATGACAACTTGATTAGTTGAATAGGCAGATGTGGGCCTAGGATTAAAGGATTTGAGTCAATGGTGGCTAATTTAAAGAAGGGTGACATTGCTTTAACTCAATAGATACTGATTGAGCACCTTTGCTGTAGGCTGTGTTGAGCTGCATCTGTAAGACAAAGATCCTTACCCATATGGAGCTTATATTCTAATCAGAGGAGACAGGCAATAAATACCACAAAGAAGCAAATTGGATGATATGCTGAAGGGTGATAGGAATCAAGAATAGGGAAATAAGAGCAAGGAACAGGGATAGGGGCTGCTAGGGGGTGGTGTGCTCAAAATAATAATAAAAAAAACATTTGGACAAAATGCAGATTTTCATATGGAAAGGCATGACATAGTAGGCAATTCATATCATTGCTCAGGAGAAGACTGCTATTTCTCTACTGTAGCTGTGTAAGTTCAATCTCATAGTCAGGTCAAGTAGGGTTTGCAGTGTCACTCAACTGCTTCTACCTCAAACCATTGGTCACTGTTGCTGCTTTCCCCGGAGGACCTACCCTAGCTGGCTACACCTAGGTAATGCTCTGTTGCAAGTGTTCTAGGACACTCGTGCTACAGTTGGCTTCTCTCAAGACTTCTGGACTACAAGTCACTGTTTTCACTGGGAGTACTTTTTAGCTTTTTCAGCACAACCTCCACGAACATGTTCAAGTCAAGAGTTCAGATGCGATAGTGGGAGGTGCATCCCTAAAGATTGGATCTGTGATGGTGCAAATGACTGTGGGGACATGAGTGATGAAGATCAAAGGCACCACTGTGGTAAGTGAAGCCAGTTAATTCCTCTGCAGAGTCACTTCCAGAAAAACACAGTAGAGTTGTTTTCCTGTGCTTGGAGGCTGATTGGTCATCTTTAATTGAGTGCACTCTGACAAAATGTCACCTTTGATTTTTCACTCTGGAATTGTTTGCTATCATCCACTTAAATCCTTTATAATGATGAAAAATGTTTGTTTACTTTTTTCTCTTGCATTTCACTGATAGAAATAGTGGCTTATATTTCTAGAGCACATAAAGAGAATGCAGTCACTCTTTTTTTTTTAAATAACCATTTATTTATCTTGAAAATCAGAGTTACAGAGTTAGAGGAATGGACAGAGAGAGATAAACATTGATCTTACATCTCTTGGCTCACTTCCCCAGATGGCCACAATGGCCAGGGCTGGGGGAGGCTGAAACCAGGAACCAGGAACCAGGAACTTCATCCGGGTCTCCCATGTGGGTGGCAGGTACCCACACACTGAGGTCAAGTACTGCTGTTCTTCCCAGGCCATTAGCAGAGAGCTAGACTGCAAGTAGATCAGCTGGAACACAAACCAGCACCCATGTGGAATGCCAGCATTTCAGGTGGCAGCTTTTTACCTGCTATACCACAATGCAGGCCCCTTGATCACTCTTGATAGCAGCTTTGACGGTGTCACAATTAGCCTTGTCTCCAGCGTCTCTATTATCTTAGAATTGTTTCTGAGAGATTGTAGTTGTTATGTTTCAGTGGATTACAAAACACCATTTTCCATTAGCAGTAGAGCAAGGAGTCCTTACCTAAGGTGTCTTTCTATGGTAGAACAATAAAAACAGTGCTTCCCATGCCTGCACTTGGTGCTAACCTCACGGAATGTGGGTTTGGTGGTGCTCCGTATCTCCACCTGCACTCTAACCACTGAAATGGGTGGTGGGCAAGTGCACGTCCATGGACAGTAGCAGATACTTTTCCTCCTCCTCTTGTTTCCTATTCACCTTTATTGGGATTGGATAAAATACCTATTCTTCTGTTCTGACGATAATAATGATTCTATATTCTGCATCTCATTTCTTTCCTCCCATATCATGGTTTCTGTCACTTCTTGTTGACATGCACCTTTCCTACCCACCTTAATTCTACTAGAGGCAGAAGCTATAATGTAGTTGAAAAGAATTGCTAACTATGAGGAAGAAAAATTTTTGTCTGAAGCCTCCACTCTTCCTCCTTTTAGGTGTGTGACCTTGAGCTACCTAGGTATCCATTTTGAGCACTGGTTTTCTCATCTGTAGAATTGGCATAAAAATGTCCATCTCACATCATGCTTGTATTATTAGTTATAAATTTACAATGTTACCAAAAGCATTTGGTATCCCATTAATAAAATGGTGATGTATTTTTTAAGTCCTAAAGGAAAAAAAATGATCTTATATTAATGTTATGGAGAACACTGAGATATTTTATTATATTGATTTCTTATTCCGAATCCAAAGTCTAGAGATATTAAAGTGGAGCCTTTGGTGGTATTTATGTTTTGATCTATTATTACCATAGCAACATGATTTATCTGTTTTGCTCATATTTCTGCTCACCCCTCAGAACATAAAGTGAGTGATGGTTTATGATGCACCCTCCTATCGTTTCTGATTCTTGTGTGCTTTGGTTTCAGGGACTAAAAACTGCTCCGGTTCCCAGTTTATGTGTGTCAACCCCACAGGCTGCATTCCCCAAGTCTGGGTCTGTGATGGGGATGCAGACTGTGCTGATGCTGCTGATGAAAATCAGAACTGCACCAGGAGATCTTGCTCTGAAAATGAATTCACCTGCAGGAACGGGCTGTGTGTCCGACCGTCATTCAGGTGAATTGGGGATGAAAACGTTTCACAGCAAAATCACGAGTACCCACTAGGCCAGGGTCACCACCCATTAGACACAGGGACCACCTGGCCTAGGGCCCTCAACACTTTTGGTTATCCTCAGAAGCCTGTGGATTCCACTTAAATCAAAAGGAAAACAAAAGAACTTTTATGTCAAAGAAAATATTTTAATATGTGGTATGAATGTAGCTGCCTTGATACCAATGAGGTAGTTAATATAATTTTTAAAGATTTATTTATTTATTTGAGAAGCAGAGTTACAGACAGAGGGAGGGAGAGAGAGAGAGAGATCTTCCATCTGCTGGTTCACTCCCCAGATGGCAGCAATGGCCAGAGCTGAGCCTATCCGAAGCCAGGAGCCACATGGGTGCAGGGCCCGAGAACTTGGGCATCTTCTACTGCCTTCCCAGGTACAGTAGCAGGGAGCTGAATCAGAAGTGGAGCAGCTGGGACTGAACCAGTAACCATATTGGATGCCGGTGTTGCAGGCAGAAGTTTAACCTACTATATCAAGCAGCGGGCCCCAATATAATTTTTAAAATTTTTGTGAAAAAAGGATCCCGAGGCTGGCTCCGCGGCTCACTTCGCCGATTCTCCGCCTGCGGCACCAGCACACTGAGTTCTGGTCCGGGTTGGGGCGCCAGATTCTGTCCCGATTGCTCCTCTTCTAGTCCAGCTCTCTGCTGTGGCCCGGGAAGGCAGTGGAGGATGGCCCAGGTGCTTGGGCCCTGCACCCGCATGGGAGACCAGGGGGATGCACCTGGCTCCTGGCTTCGGATTGGGGCAGCGCCGGCCGTAGCAGCCATTTGGGGGGTGAACCAATGGAAGGAAGACCTTTCTCTCTGTCTCTCTCTCACTGTCTAACTCTGCCTGTCAAAAAAAAGAAAAAAGGATCCCAAGAGGGCAAAATACCATGGGCCTATAAAGGTATAATATTGGCCTTGCCCTGTGGTCCAGGAAGATAAATGACAGGGGCTTAATATGAGATAATTCTTCCTTCAAGCTGATTACCCTCTTAGTCTAAATCTTGGGGTATAGGTAGAAGTACAAGAAATGGCTCACTTTTCTCCCTCTGCTGTAAGAAAAATCTCCATGCAAGCATAATGCTCAATGGAGCTTGGTGCTTTGGCTCTGGGTTAAGGGCACAGCATGGAAGGGCCTGTGGTGTGAACCCTCGCTCCCACTAAGAATGCAAATACTGTTCAGCATCATGGGGGATGCCAGAAGGGCCGGACCTTCTAATGTTCTTTTTTGAGAGAAGTTAGAAATTTTCATATGATACATAGTTGTCAGCTTTTTTGTCACTCTAGCAAACATACCTGAAATAGGCTACCTATGACCAAAAAAAAAAAAAAAAAAGAAAGAAAGAAAGAAAGAAAGAAACACAAAAGGTGTGTGTATGTTTGTTCTCTGGTTGGGTTTTTGTTTTTGTTTTTAGCTTTCAGTTTTGGAGATTGAAATTGAAATTCCAAACAGATTAAAGCAGACTTAATCATTGGTGTGTCCCCTCATGAAAAGGCAATGGTAGGAAACTGTGGAAACAAGCAAGTGGTTACATCTCGAACCAGGATCAGAGAGAGCTGTGTGGGGCCAGGCATTCTTTCTTCATATTTTAATTAATTAATTAGCTAACATTTTTGAGAGAGAGAGAGAACTCGATAAAGATCAATCTTCCATTTGTTAATTATTCCCCTAATGCCAGAACAGCCAGGGATGGGCCTAGCCAAAGCCAGGATCCTGAAACCCAATCTTGGTCTCCCACTTGGGTACTTGAAACCCAACTACTTAAGTCATCACCTGTGGCTTCCCAAGATCTGCATTTGAAGGGAACAGGAGTCAGAAGTGGGACTGGAACTCAAACCCCATATTGGGGAGCAGGCACTCCCATATGGTGTCTAATTATTGTGCAAACATCTATCTGCCCCTCTTTCAAGAACTCAAGGGGTTGCACAAGACTGACCTCACACCTCCAGTGACCTAAAGGCCTTCCACTCATTCCTACCTCTTAAAGGTTCTACTGTTCCCAGAAAGCTACCAGGGGACCAAACTCTCACATAAACATCTGGAGGAGCCAGGAACTCAATCTGGGTGTCCCACATGGGTAGCAGGGGCCCAATTGCTTGAGCTATCACTTGCTGCCTCCCATGGTGCACATTAGCAGGAAGCTGGGTCAGAGGGGGAGCAGGGACTCAAATCCAAGCACTCTGACATGGGATTCAAACAAATAAACCATAGCATGAAGTGTTCTGATTTTAATTTTTAAAATTTCCTTGAGAGACTGAGATATGTAGAGAGCATTCCAATATGCTAGTTCACTCCTCAAATGCCTGTAATATCCAGGAGACCCAAAGCATGGAGCCAGCAGCAGAGCAATCCAGATGTTCTGCATAGTTGGGAAGAGCTAAATTATTGGAATCAATATGGCTGCTTTCTAGGGGCTGCATTAGCAGGAAGCTGGGGTCAGGAGCTAGAGGGGATATTGAACCCAGGTAATCTGATATGGGATGCAGATGTCCTAACTGGTGCCTAGCTTTCTGGTCCCATGCTTACCCCTAATTTTAAATGCAGGAAGCAAATTTTAGAATTTTAAAATTCCTTCTTTTATAAATTTATTTTTATTTATAAGAGAGGTGGAGGGAAGAGGGGAGGAAGGGGGACAGAGAGGCAGAGAGAGATTTCCCTGCTGGTTCATTCCCAAATGCCTACAATAACAGAGGCTGGGCCATTCTGAAGCCAGGAACCAGGAACTCAATCTGGGTCTCCCAGGGTCAATGCTGTGGCATAGTAGGTTAAGTCTCCACGTGTGGTACCTGCATTTCATATGGGCATCAGTTCAAGTCCTGGCTGCTCCTCTTCTGATCCTGCTTATGGCCTAGGAAAGCAGTGGAAGATGGCCCAAGTGCTTGGACCCCTGCACCTGTGTGGGAGACCCAGAAGAAGCCCTGGCTCCTGGCTTCAGATCAGCTCAGCTCTGGCTGTTGCAGCCACTTGGGGAATGAACCAGCTGATGAAAGACCTTTCTTTCTGTCTCTCCCTCTCTCTGTCTGTAACTCTACCTCTCAAATAAATAAAATAAAATATTTAATAAAAAAATAATCTGGGTCTCCCACATGAGTAGTAGGGACCCAACTGCTTAAACCATCACCTGCTGCTTCCCACAGTGCACATTAGCAGGAAGCTGGTTCAGAAGGGAGGCCAGGACTGAAACTCAAGCACTCTGACATGGGATTCAAGTGTCTCAACTGCTGTGCCAAATGCTGGCCCCCCAAATTTTAAAATTCTTAAAACATTCTGTGGTTGAAACAGACGCAGATAATAGCCTGGGGGACACTGTTCTATTTTCTAAACTCTTTCTTCTAATGGGGCACTGCAAACAGTTTGTACTTTGTAATGCTCAATCTCTCACCAACCCCACTTGACAAATATTTGGATATAGAGGGAAATAGATAAGAAGAATCAAAGAATCAAATGACTGTTTCACTCCTGATGGACTAGAATAGTAAGAGCTTTGCAAAAATAGGGGAGCCTAGAAAGGAGTTTGCTTAAAGTAGAGGTGAGTTTGATATAGTAGGAATTCCTGAGGTGAAAATACTTGTCAGGTATTTTGGTTACATGGAACTGGAGTGCACTCCCGGGCCACAGCAGAGAGCTGGCCTGGAAGAGGGGCAACCGGGACAGAATCCGGTGCCCCGACCGGGACTAGAACCCAGTGTGACGGCTAAATAGTTAATACTGGCTGGCACTGCGGCTCACTAGGCTAATTCTCCGCCTGTGGCACCGGCACCCCAGGTTCTAGTCCTAGTTGGGGCGCCGGATTCTGTCCCAGTTGCTCCTCTTCCAGTCCAGCTCTCTGCTGTGGCCTGGGAGTGCAGTGGAGGATGGCCTGAGTGTTTGGGCCCTGCACCCGCATGGGAGACCAGGAGGAAGCACCTGGCTCCTGACTTTGGATCGGCACAGCGCGCCAGCCGTAGCAGTCATTTGAGGGGTGAACCAACGAAAAAGGAAGACCTTTCTTTCTCTCTCTCTCACTGTCTAACTGCCTGTCACAAAAAAAATAATAATTAATACCATCAGACTTAAAATAAACATATTCTGAAAAGCTAGGCATAGGATCAAGGGACTAGAATTGTAGCAGGTCTTCATTTTGATCAGTCTAGTCTATCTCACTGCACCTTGCTGGGCTTTCTGAACTCTCTCTTTGTTATCTAATCATGTTTGACTTACCGCTGTCCTACCAAAGCTTTGGATAGTGCAGCGCCAGCCATGGTGGCCATCTGGGGAGTGAACCAACAGAAGGAAGACCTTTCTCTCTCTCTCACTGTCTATAACTCTACCTGTCAAATAAAAAAAAAAAAAGATGGAAGGCACAGGACTGCTAGTGCAAACATTATTTCCATGGGAACATATGTGCTCTTGGAGGATGCTCCAATGATCTTAACTTTTGTAGTGCATAGCACTCACAACTATGCGTTTTTACTTGGGTATGGGCACTTCTGTCTTTTGGCTTTGCAGGATATCACCATTGCCCATCGAGGTCTCATCTGATGAATGAATTGAATGTCTACCAAAATTGCAATAGTTGTATTTAACTATTATTAAATTTATGAACAAGAGAAAAACATGAATGCAATTATTTTTAATAGTTCTAGATCTGCATGTCTCATTATAGCAGCCAACACCTGGGGAAATTGTATGACGTGCCAGATGTGGGATTCTTCTAGAGTTGGAGATTTACGGGGTAGTTGAAGACTCTGGGGATGAGAGACTAGGGGAAATGATAATCTCTTGTTGAAGTTGGTATTCAGGTAGATAAAGGAGAAACTAAAGCCCCAAATGGGTGATAGTTGAGACTTGTCAACCCCTCCCAGAGTTTTATCGGGTCTCGTAAAACAGGTGTGACCGGCGCAATGACTGTGGTGACTACAGTGATGAGAGAGACTGCTCATACCCGACCTGCCATGACTTTGAGTTCACCTGTCAGAATGGGCGCTGTATCCATAACATGTTTCTCTGTGATGGGCAAAATGACTGTGGAGACCAAAGTGATGAGTTTGAGCACATGTGCCACACCCCGGAAGCCACATGCCCCCCTCATCAATTCAAGTGTGACAATGGGCACTGCATTGAGATGGTGAAAGTCTGCAACCACCTAGATGACTGTACGGACAACAGTGATGAGAAAGGCTGTGGTGAGTACAGGGGAGACTCTGGAAAAAGGAAAATAGGGAGACTTTGGTTGAATCTCAGTCCTTCATGATTTATCAGCACTTATCCATCTGTCCTCTTAGTTGAAAACCAAAATGTTACCGTTGCTTGCTATCAAAAAGCAAAGGTTTCTTGGCATAGGAGATATGTACACGAACAACTTTGGACTAGTTTTTTGGTTAGGAAGTCATCGGAGAGAAGAGAAGATGAAAAAATATTCAGCTATCACTTAACTATCTGCAAATATTGTGTGTGAATTAAACAACATTTTCATAAAATGGGGCCCAAAAGTGACGAGAACTTGTTTATTCTCTTTTTTTTTTTTTAATTTTTGACAGGCAGAGTGGACAGTGAGAGAGAGAGACAGAGAGAAAGGTCTTCCTTTGCCCTTGGTTCACCCTCCAATGGCCGCCGCGGCCGGCGCGCTGCGGCCGGTGCACTGCGCTGATCCGATGGCAGGAGCCAGGTACTTATCCTGGTCTCCCATGGGGTGCAGGGCCCAAGCACTTGGGCCATCCTCCACTGCACTCCCTGGCCACAGCAGAGAGCTGGCCTGGAAGAGGGGCAACCGGGACAGAACCCGGCGCCCCGACCGGGACTAGAACCCGGTGTGCCGGCACCGCAAGGCAGAGGATTAGCCTAGTGAGCTGCAGCGCCAGCTGTTTATTCTCTTTGAACACTTGGAATGACTTGTTGTCTGAAGCATCGCTCTGCTGGGACTCCTTACCTTGCCCTTCATTTTCATCAGTTCCCAAGTGATTGAATGTTTTTTTTATTTTAAACATTTATTTTATTTATTTGAAAGGTAGAATACAGATAAAGAGAGGAAGAAACAGAGAGAGAAAAGTCTTCCATCAGCTGGTTCACTCCCCCAAATGGCTGCAATGGCCAGGACTGGGCCAGGGGGAAGCCAGGAGCCAGGAGCTTCTTCCAGGTCTCCCACATGGGTGCAAGAGCCCAAGCACTTGGGCCATCCTCTACTACTGCTTTCCCAGGCACATTATCAGGAAACTGGATTGAAAGTGGAGCAGCCAGGACATACTCCAGTACCCATCTGGGATTCCAGCTCTGTAGGCAGTGACTTAACCGACTATGCCACAACGCCAGCCCCCAAATGGGGAGATTTTAATCTTTCTCTCTCCAGTTACCATAAGTAAACCAGCTGAGAACTGATAAGTTAAGAAAAATAACATGTCTTATATATATTATACATTAATACAAAAACAATAGGAAGCTTTTGTATGTTTAGTCCTAATTCAGATAGATTTCTGTTAGGCTTTAATTCATTTTGCTTTGCCTGAACTGTAGAAAATAAATCCTCAGTAGTATATGGTTCAAATTAAATTTTTTAGTTTGAAGAGCAACTGGTCTCATTAAGTCTATTCCAGACTTCCTAGACATCCGCTCTTCAAACCAAGCCAAGCCAGTGGTGCCCCTTGTGTGGCCAGGCTCCTGCCATCTCACGAGAGGCAGACGTGTGCACCCGCGCAGCTCTGTTCTTCACCAGCATGCTAGACTCCCACCCACCCCCGCCCCCACACCCACTCCAGTGTTTTACTTTTACAGCTATTAGTTAAGAGAAGATTGACAGGCCTTGAATTAAAAATCAATATAAGCCTGTTAATTGGATTAGTGTTAAACCCATTGGAAATTGAAAAATAGTGACTTTTGAATAATCCATGGTCTCTGGGAATCCCCATTGGCTTTCTGCTTTTATATGATTCACTATGTATTGGCATGTCTGGTAGAAGCTTTGACGCTGGGCCATGATGTGGGTCTGTGGCTGATATTTTACATTCCCTAATAACCCTCTTTTACCTCTAGGCATTAACGAGTGCCATGACTCTTCAATCAGTGGCTGTGATCACAACTGCACAGACACCCTAACCAGTTTCTATTGTTCCTGTCGTCCTGGGTACAAGCTTATGTCTGACAAGCGGACTTGTGTTGACATTGATGAGTGCAAGGAGATGCCCTATGTCTGTAGCCAGAAGTGTGAGAATGAAATTGGCTCCTACATCTGTAAGTGTGCCCCAGGCTACATCCGAGAGCCAGATGGGAAGACTTGCCGGCAGAACAGTGACATCGAGCCCTATCTTATTTTTAGCAACCGTTACTATCTGAGAAACTTAACTACAGATGGCCACCTTTACTCCCTCATTTTGCAAGGACTGGGCAATGTTGTAGCACTGGATTTTGACCGTGTAGAGAAGAGACTGTATTGGATTGATATCCAGAAGCAAGTCATTGAGAGAATGTTTCTGAATAAGACAAACAGAGAGGTAATTATAAGTCACAAACTACCAGCTGCAGAAAGTCTGGCTGTCGACTGGGTTGCCAGGTAAGAAAACAATGAGCAGTTTATCAAAGTTCAAAACTAAACAGAAAAATTATAAAAGTAAAAAAAAATTTCATCTCGAAAGAGAATTGATTTTCATTTGGGGTGACTACGTGGATTCATTTAATGCTTCTGCTTATCTTCTTTTCTGCTTTGTACCTAATATTCAAATGGGATGCTACAGAACCTAAGATCTAGTGATCTTGAGAATTTATTATGGGGAGGAAACATTACAAGGATAGCATCCAGTTAACTGAAGATGATGTTATGGAATATTGATTCATGCATTCATTAGTGCATAGAGATGTTTAAAAATGCTGCCCTAGTACCTCCTACCTGCCAGGTATGGTGGCAGGCACTAGGGATGAGAGGGTAAACAAGGCAGATGGAGCCCCTGCTCTCCCAGAGCCCACAGGTGGTTTATGATGCTAACCACTTCCAAGCAGGGCTGGTCATGAGACAGACAGTGGCTAACCTGAAACTCTTATTTCAAGAGAGCCTTTTTAGAGGCTAAGGGTCTTTAAAGCAGGCCACTGGTATTTTATCTGAAATTTTGCCAGATACCCACTGTTCTCCATTGAATATCAAATCAAAACTGATTGGCTTTGTGGTGAACAGACATGAAGCTGCAGGCGCTTCCTCTATGAACGAATATTCTTGTTGTTGTCAGCCCAGACCTCCAGAGGGCTTCTCTACACCCCCTCCCCTATTTGACCATCTTAAAGGGAAAGATTCTGAAATGAGAGGGAGAGTTTGCTCCCTGCTTTCCCCTGAGCAGTAGCTGGCTTGCTGCAGATGCTCCGTAAGTGCTTGATGAATGCTGAATGAAGCACTGCTAAACAATGAGTAAGAGTAGTTTACGTAGAATCCGCCTTCTGTGCATCAGAACATGTAGTAAGGAACAGCTTGCAGGGACACAATGCAAACATGGTATTGCTGCTGTCCCTCTCATTTGTCCAGGGCAATGAAGGCTGAATGACTCAAGGCTCCTGTCATTCAGCCCTTCCCCCATTACTTCTGCCCAAAAATGTGGAATGTTTCTCCCTGGGGTTCGGCTACTTTCCTGTCCGTCAGAGAGCATGTACTTGTCCAGAAGAGAGAACTACATACAGGTGGACTGTTGAGAAAGGGAGCAAGAAAATCTGGGTGAAAGTAGAGTAGAATACCCAATGTATTTTCTCAAAACTCCGGGAAGGAGGGCAACCAGGCTAAATGCTCCTTAAAAGCAGAAACAAAGAATAGAGCCTAGTTGCATTTAAGTTGGTGGGTACATTCCTGAGATACCAACTACATTGAAATTAGGAAAAAAATTCCCCTTAATATCAATAAAAATGTTCACTGCCAGCACTAACATGTTTCCAAGGTCCTTAAACTTGACATAACATTGCATGTTGGAAGACAGGGCTGGCGTTTACTCCTCTTATCATTAGAGCTGGACTGTCTTCTCTTGGAAGACTGTTCATGGGGTCAGTATTTGTAGAATTAATAAAAATTAATTAGAAAACAGTAAGTTCAACAGTGAAAGTTGACTGATGGTGTTGCCAAGTCAGCTAAGGTTTGAGTTTTTGCTCTACTACTTACTGATTATACAATTTCATGGCCTCATCAGGAAAGCAGAGATAATAATAATCTCTCTTTCCAGGGTTGTTGTAAACTTAAATAATACTAAGCTTTTAAAAGTCTTGATGTAGGACCTGGCATTTAGCACATATTTAATAAATAGCAAGTTTTTAAAAAGATTTGAAAGGCAGGGATTCAGAGAGAGAAGGAGAGAGTGAGACAGAGATCTTCTATCTGCTGGTTCACTCTCAAAATGGCCGTAACAGCCAGGGATGGGCCAGGCCAGAGCCAGGATCTAGGAGCTTCCTCCAGGTCTCCCACATGGGTGCAGAGGCCCAAGCACTTGGGCCATCTTCTCCCTCTTTCCCAGGCACATTAGTGGAGAGCTGGATAGGAAGTAGAGCATCTGGGACTTGAACTGGTGCCCATATGGGATGCTGGCCCTGCAGACGGAGCTTAATGTTCTACACCAAAGTATTGTTCTAGTTAAACTCTGCAGTATTGGAATCCAAGATTGTGGATTCTCCTCCTTTGTCAGGATTTACCCTGGCAAGACTTTGCATTTATATACACTCATTTCCTCAATCTCAAGGCTACAAGAATGCTAACAATTAAATATTCTGACATCCAGCCTGGTTGGCTCAAGGCTCACCTCTTGGAAAGAGACGTTCAAGCTTTTTGGAAGGGAAATCATTCTGTTTCCAGTTGGAATTGATTATCAAATCTTAAGTGACCTTCCAGTTCTAGGGGTATTGAACCCTTTGGAAGGTTATGAATAGTTAAGACTGGCGAAAGCCCTGCTGTATAACAACACTTACACATTTATACTTTGGTCTCAATTCTGAATGGTGCACAGATGCCCAAAGCCCAGGTTTCCCTGATGCCAGGTTAGGGGCCCTAGGTGTGATTATAAATTAAATTCAAAGTATATCATTGAAAAAATTAAAAGAAAAATAAGAAAGGAAGGAAGAGGGAGAGTTGGAGGGAAGGAGGGAGGTTAGGATTGGAAGTATCATTATGTTCTTAAAACTGTATCTACAGAATACATGAAAAAATTTCCCCTTTGTGTATATATACACATATATATGCATATATATACATATATATATGTGTATATATATATAAGCTCCTTTGTATGTGTATATATATACATATATGTGTATGTGTATATATACACAAAGGGGAAATTTTTTCATGTATATATACATATATGTATAATATATATATTTTTTTAAAATAATGCCTGCCTTGTACCAAATAAGTGGATTTTATTGATTAGCAATATGTTTAGACCTGGAATATCATTGAGGTAGGAGTTTTTGTTTTTAAACCAATTCTAATATTTTTCTAAAGCTTTTTAAGTGAACTCATTTAGCCTAGTCTGACAGGGCCAGGGATGGGTGAAGTTTCTCTTTATATTAAGGATAGTGCAATTTGGAGTTTTTTTGTACAACTTCAATGATAGATGAATCTGTTTTCCTGACTCCATCATTTAAACTAGAATCCATTTCTGCTTCACTGTTTTCTGTGCTTTGCTTGTAAGGCTATCTTATACATGAAGAAAGTAGAACCGGAATGCTGGTGTGAGGTGTGTCCCCGGACTTGCCCTTGCGACATTGCCTTAAAGAGGGGATTGTAGCACACGCACTCTTGCACTCTCATTGCCTCATCACAGCAAGGCCAGCTTCCTGTACCCCCTGTCCTTATTTGCCAGGGAAAGGTACCTCCTCACAGCTGTCGGTGTGATTCTCAGGTGGCCTGGATAGGAAATTAGGTGGCTAAATAGACACTGTTTCACAACCTAACTGTATGTGTAACTCTCGGCTGTTTCAGAAAGCTCTATTGGGTGGATGCCCACCTGGATTGCCTCTTCGTCTCTGACCTCGAAGGTCGATACCGCCTCACCCTGGCCCAGCACTGTGTGGATGCCAATGGCACCTTCTGCTTTGAAAATCCCAGAGGACTTGTGCTTCACCCTCAATATGGGTATTGTCTCCCTGGACTCTTGAGCTCTTCTTTCATGCCTCTGCCTCTGTTATCAAAAAGCCTGTTCACATAGCTATCTCAAGCCAATATCTTGCTGGGATTTGTCTGCTGCTTTTCTTACCTGGAAAATGGGTTGAAACACGGCTTGTTAAAATGATATTCATCAGCTATTCTGTTTTCTTTGCCATGACATCACATTTCAAGTCACAAGTTTTTACTGCATGCAAAGAAAACTGTGGTATAAAAACACCTCTTTACTGGACCCTTCGTGTCATAACCACTGAAAGCCACAGTGAATTGATCATGTTCATTCTTAAGCATTTCCTATACATCATTTCCTTTCTTCTCTTTTATATTGTTTCATTTCTGAGAATCTCTGGAGAATGTACACTACATTTCTCTAGAAGTGGAGAAAAGTTATGTCTTTTGGCTACTGACTTCTTTTTGCTTCAGGCACTGACCCCCTCTGTTTGCTCCAACAGGCATGTCTACTGGGCAGACTGGGGTCACCGTGCATACATTGCAAGAGTAGGCATGGATGGAACCAATAAGTCTGTGATCATCTCTACCAAGTTAGAATGGCCCAATGCTATCACCATTGACTACACCAATGATCACTTGTACTGGGCAGATGCTCACCTGGGTTATATTGAGTACGTATATTGAAAAGAATAAAACAACAGGGCGACTGTTTATTGCAAACACCAGAATGTGTGTTTCCTTTGTGTTAATCCCATGCATGTTGTAACTGACCTGTTTATTGGAAGACGCCCTGAGGTTACTTGTAGCTAAAGCTGTTAACATACAGTTCACTGAGTTTTATAGTACAGCAGGGAAAGAGTGAGCTCTAAAGTCATGCAGATTGGAGTTTATGGCCTTGTACTTTCCCTTCCAGAAAATGAGCCTCGTAATCCCTCTCCTATGGTAGTGAACTTCATGCTCAAGTTTTACTAACAGCCTGATGTCCCCTAGAACAGCTTCTCTCCCAAATGTTCATGAGAAGGTGGGATTCCAGCTTTTATGTTGCTATCTTGATTTCATCCAGTGATTTATGAAACCAGAGTACTCTTCACCCATGATAGCAAAAAGGGTGCTTAAAGGAGAACATCAACGTAAGGAGGTTATAACTCTACAACTGCTGTTCCACCTGCACCTGCAGGAGAGCAGCTGTGGTTAGGCATTAGTGCTTGTGTAGATCCTGTAGATATTCCTATTTTTTAAGCATTGCATTTTCAACATTTTATCTTTTATTCAGCCAAAATAAATCCTCCAAGATTAGTTCTTCTTCTAATTAAAGACTAGGAGTTCTAGTGAGAATCTGAATTTTAGTTATCTCTGTAGGTAGGATTTCATTATTAATTTGTTAATTAATTTACCCCAAAAGGTATTGGAGAAGAGCTATCTTTATCACTCAGTGACCATTTGCTCCTGTGACTGCAGGTACTCTGATTTGGAGGGCCGCCATCGACACACAGTGTATGATGGGACGCTACCTCATCCCTTTGCTATCACGGTTTTTGAAGACACTGTTTATTGGACGGACTGGAACACGAGGACAGTTGAAAAGGGAAACAAATACGATGGATCAAATAGGATGATGCTGGTGAACACAACACACAGACCCTTTGACATCCACGTGTATCACCCGTACAGGCAGCCCATTAGTGAGTTCCTTTAGGTTATGTGTCTGTCATTCTGGACTCTTTAGGCATAAATATCAACATTTACAAACAGTTGTTGTTACTTGTTCATTCTTTCTTCAAAACACACTGAGAGCTGAGAGTATGAGAAATATCTTTAGAATTATTGTCCTACTCCAGGAAAGGCTACTTACAACTCTTTTAAAAAATTTTGCCATAGTCTTAAACATAAATCGGTTTTTGGGTTTTGATCAAATTTACCAGTTATTTTACCATATTTACTTATTTTATTTTGGTGGGAGGAATGAAGCATTTTTAAGTGAGTTTAAAATGCCATGACATTTTGGCCCTTAAATACCTAAGTAATGACATTTGAAAAGAAATAAAAGCTTCCTTCATATATAATTCAGGTATGATACCTAGGAAATTAAGAATCATTCCTTAATACTAAGATAGACTTACTTTAAAATAAGGCTTAAAAGAACATTGCAGTCATTATAAAACATTTATTAAATGTCTATTTACATATGACATGGTGCAGAGTATGAGAGATATTATTTTTGTCTTCTTGAAGACAGTGTCAAGAGCAATATATATTGATGTCACACAAGTTAGAGAATTTGTTTTTATTTGCTTGTGAACTTTTGTTTTTCATGTAGTTAAAGCCATTTTATGCTTTAGAAATGATATAGCAGGGGCCCAGCTGTGGCATAGTGAGTTAAGCCATTGCCTGCAGCACTGGCATCCCATATGGGCGCCAGTTCAAGTCCTGGCTGTTCCACTTCCAATGCAGCTTCCTGCTAATGCACATGGGAAACAGAGAAGATGGCCCAACTGCTTGGGCCCCTGCATTCAACATGGGAGACCCCAGGGGAAAGCTTTTGGCTCCTGGCTTCAGCCTGGCCGAACCCTGGCCGTTGTGGCCATTTGGGGAGATAACCAGCATATGGAAGACTCCCTCTCCCTCTCCCTCTCCATCCCCCTCTCCCTCTGTAGCTCTGCCTTTCAAATAAATAAAATAAGTCTTTAAAAATAAGAAATAACCTATCAAAATCTGAAATATACTTTGGGGACAGCCATTTTTTTCTGGATCTGCTTTGTTGTAAACTTAGTAGTAAGGGAAAATGAGAATTCAAAAAATAAATATTCAATATTTCCTTTTGGAAATTGATATTCTTCATTTTATTTCATTAGAAATCAATCTCACCTCTAAGTGGTGACCCAGAAAGTTAATAATGACACTGCTTCATTTACCCAGTCACACTGTTCTTGCTCAGATTTGCCTTGCTGTGTCCTTTGAATGAGGAAATGAATAGAGCATCTGCTAGAAGTTGAGTTTTTTATTTATTTATTTATTTATTTATTTTGACAGGCAGAGTGGACAGTGAGAAAGAGAGACAGAGAGAAAGGTCTTCCTTTTGCCGTTGGTTCACCCTTCAATGGCCACCGCGGCCAGCGCGCTGCGGCTGGTGCACGGCGCTGATCCGATGGCAGGAGCCAGATACTTCTCCTGGTCTCCCATGGGGTGCAGGGCCCAAGGACTTGGGCCATCCTCCACTGCACTCCCTGGCCACAGCAGAGAGCTGGCCTGGAAGAGGGGCAACCGGGACAGAATCTGGCGCCCCGACCGGGACTAGAACCTGGTGTGCCGGTGCCGCAAGGCGGAGGATTAGCCTAGTGAGCCGCAGCGCCAGCCTAGAAGTTGAGTTTTTAAAAATATGTATTTATTTATTTGAAAGGAAGACTTACAGAAAGAGAGAGAGAGAGAGAATCTTCCATCCACTGGTTCACTCCCCAAATGGCCACGATGGTCTTCCAAGTGGGTGGCAGGGGTGCAAGTATTTGGGCCATTCTCTGCTGCTTCCGTAGGTGCATTACAGGGAGCTGGATCAGAAGTAGAGCAACTGGGACTGGAACTGGCACTCATGGGATGCTGGCATTGCAGGTGATGACTGAACCTGCGGTGTCACAATGCTGGCCCTTGGAAATTAATATTTTGACTTTGATTCTGGACACCACTTAAATATGAACAATTACTGAGTGTCAATGAAAATAATTTTTTTTTTAGAAATAGAAGAAGAAACCCAACACCAGTAAGAGCCTCACTTCTGGTAGTATACAAATAAGCTTTCTCAAAGCAAAGGGTTGTGGCTTGTCTAACTATATGTCCTATTTATGAACTTTTGGAAAAAACATAAAACAGGGTATTTTTCTTCATCTCTAAGAAATGGTGAGTTAATCAAGATGAGTAGTGAGTGTTATATGCTTCATACTCTTTGTGAAGAAATGCACTTTTTTTTCTTTTTCACTAGTGAACAATCCTTGTGGCATCAACAATGGTGGCTGTTCTCATCTCTGCCTCATCAAAGCAGGAGGAAAAGGATTCACCTGCGAGTGTCCAGACGACTTCCAGACCCTTCACACAGGCGGCACCACACGCTGCCTGCCCATGTGCTCCAGCACCCAATTCCTGTGTGCTAACAATGAAAAGTAAGGCTCTCTTTCCTTTCTCTCCAGTGCCTGTCCATCCTTTGAGCACACATGGAACTTCAAGGCTTAAGGGGATAGATGTTTTCTTTTTTTAAGATTTTTTAAATTTATTTATTTGAAAGGCAGAGGTGCAGAGAAAGAGATAGAGAAAGAGAAGGATCTTCCATCCACAGGTCCACTCCCCACATGGCCATAATGGCTGTGGCTGGGCAAGGCTAAAGCCAGGAGCCAGGAGCTTCATCTGGATCTCCCACATCGGTGCAGGGGCCCAAGGACTTGGGCTGTCTTTTGCTGCCTTCCCAGGAGCATTAGCAGGATACTGGATCCAAAGTGGAGCAGATTGGACTTGAACTGTCACTCAAAGGGGTGCCAGCATTGCAGGCAATCACTTAATCTGCTACATCACAGCACCGGCCCCAGAAGTTTTCTTTTTCTTTTCTTTTCTTTTCTCTTTTCTTTTCTTTTCTTTTCTTTTCTTTTCTTTTCTTTTCTAAAGATTTTATTTTATTTATTTGACAGGCAGAGTTGTAGACAGTGAGAGATTAAGAGGCGGGGGGGAGGGGGGCGCGGCACCGCGGCTCACTAGGCTAATCCTCTGCCTTGCGGCGCCGGCACACCAGGTTCTAGTCCCGGTCGGGGTGCCGGATTCTGTCCTGGTTGCCCCTCTTCCAGGCCAGCTCTCTGCTGTGGCCAGGGAGTACAGTGGAGGATGGCCCAAGTACTGGGGCCCTGCCACCCCATGGGAGACCAGGATAAGTACCTGGTCCTGCCTTCAGATCAGCGCGGTGCGCCGGCCGCAGCGCTCCAGTCGCAGCGGCCATTGGAGGGTGAACCAATGGCAAAGGAAGACCTTTCCCCTCTGTCTCCCCTCTTCTCTCACTGGTCCACTCTGGCCTGTCAAAAAAAAAAAAAAAAAAAAAAAAAAAAAGGAGGCAGGGGGGAGAGGTCTTCCTTCTGTTGGTTTACACTCCAAGTGGCCGCAACGGCTAGAGCTGCACTGATCCAAAACCAGGAGCCAGGTGCTTCCTCCTGGTCTCCCATGCAGGTGCAGGGCCCAAGCACTTGGGCCATCCTCCACTGCACTCCCGGGCCACAGCAGAGAGCTGGACTGGAAGAGGAGCAACCAGGACTAGAACCAGTGTCCATATAGGATGCCGGCGCTACAAGTGGAGGATTAATCTAGTGCACCACAGCACCAGCCCAGAAGTTTTTTAATGAACAAAGATTTGGTCCATGTGGACCATACCAAGGCTCTCAGCCTCCAACTTCAGAAGATTTCTTACTTGAATAGAAGGAATTTGTTAACCAAATTGTATGTGGGTTTTTATGTTGTAGAGAGGAGAGCAGACTATATATTTCTTATTTCTAGTGCATGTCCAGAGCATTAGGGCCAAAGTGTATGTAAGGGTAAACTGAAACATAGCCCTCAGGGTGATAGAATTTCACTGTGTTCTCCACACCCATACAGGTCTAGCTCCTTAGATCCTGTGCCAGAGGATATAGAGTTACACATTCAAATCTGTTTATTATCGATTGTTCTTGCTATGAAACATAGCCACAGATTATTTTCCTGACAGTGGCCACAGGACATTGATGGATAGGGGAACTGAGTCAGATAGCGATGTGGATAGATTTGTTCATGCAAATCAGAGTTTAAGATATCATAACTGATTATTTTGGTGATTAAATAAAATATCTGAGATTAAGACTCTATCAGTATACTTATCATTGATGTAGGCACTCAACACCTGTTAGTGTGCTTCGACTTCCCAACCAGTACCTAAAGGTCTTCTAAGTCAGCCTCAACCAATCACTGCTTCTAAAATCATGGCTCCAAGCACCCAGTGGTCTTCTAAGTCAGCCTCAACCAATCACTGCTTCTAAAATCATGGCTCCAAGCACCCAGTCAATTGTTTGTTGTGAAAAGAATTTAATCATCATACCCAGAGCACATTTCAGTGTGTATTTGGTTCTCAGCAAACCATCCCCATCTCTTCGAGTTATGTTTCCTCTGGAATTGTGGCACTGTAACTGAACATTAATCCTTTCCTAGGTCCACAGGAGAACTCATACACTTTGTTACTTGGGATTCAGTGTGATTTCTTCTCCCCAGGCAGCCCTTGCCCTCTCCTCTGGCCCCTGAGACCTTGCTAGTGAAGTGCGGTGTTTTCTCTGAGCAGGTGTATTCCCATTTGGTGGAAATGTGATGGACAGAGAGACTGTTCTGATGGCTCTGATGAATCGGCCCTGTGCCCTCAGCGCTACTGCCGGCTTGGACAGTTCCAGTGCAAGGATGGCAACTGCACTAGCTCACGGACCTTGTGCAATGCTCGCCAGGATTGTCCCGATGGGTCTGATGAAGAACATGCCCTCTGTGGTTTGTTGAGTTTCTTTCTGCCTTTTTACAATTTTTTTTTTTTTTTTTTTTTTTTTTGCCTACCTCTATAGTTGACTGTGTATAGTCATGTTTCTCTGGGGATTTCCTCAATGCCAAAAGCAAAACCAGTTCCAAGCCTTGTAAGAAAACTCAAGGCCCCTCCTGTATCTATTTTTACAGGTTTTTTTTTTTTAAAGAAATCTTGAGGCAGATAATAAGTTGTCTAAATTGGTGGTTGTTCACCATGTGCTAGGATATAATCCTCCTTGAGAGCTAACAATAAAGATGAAATGACTGTTTTTCACCCTGATTTCAAAAAAGGACTCTCACTTGTAACATTTGTGTTTCCATTGAAAAAGGAAAAAAAAATCCTCCAACCTTAAAGTGACAAGTCAACAATAGCAACACAAATCATTTGAAGACCATTGTCTAGAAAGGGAATAGGGATGGGGGAGAGTGCACTTAGCACAGCAGGGCATCTAGTCCTTATCCCTTCATTCTACATGCAAGAAAAAGACATTTAAGAATTTTGGAGGCAGTGATGGTAAAAGAAACAACTGCCCATGTAGTAGCACTGGTTGATAATTAGTACATTAAGATTTAAATCCTTGGTGCCTTCTAAGCTGACAACCAAATGCTCCTGCTTATAGATAACCACCGGTGTGAGTCCAATGAGTGGCAGTGTGCCAACAAGCGTTGCATCCCGGAAGCCTGGCAGTGTGACACAGTGAACGACTGTGGGGACAACTCAGACGAAGAGAGCTCCCACTGTGCCAGCAGGACCTGCCGGCCAGGCCAGTTTAAGTGTGACAATGGCCGCTGCATCCCTCAGTCGTGGAAGTGTGATGTAGATAATGACTGTGGAGACCATTCAGATGAGCCAATCCCGGAATGCCGTGAGTTCCTGGGGTGGGGTAAAGCATGGCCAGAGCAGGGGAACAAGGAGAACCTCTGTGTGGCTTTGCAGAGACATGGAACCCCCTTCTTCAGCCACATGAGATGCTCCCACTCAGCCCGCACTGTGACCTCTGGCACGGCAAGTCAGTAGATAGCTGTATTGCTTACAAGTTGAGTCAGACTGTGTTTCTGAACTGGGTGGTACTTCCTCTAGTTGCTTATCCAGGATATAGTCATAAGAGCTTATATTTTGTGTATCCAGCACTTTCTCATTTGAGCATCAGAGAAACACTGGGAGCAAGGGAACGTGAGTATTAACCAATTCCTGTTTTATAGGTAAAGAAAAGTTAGGCTATTATATATGGTCACATTCCCATTTAGTAGCAGAGCTAACACTGCAAGTCAGGTTTTCTAACCCACACCTGCCTCCTGCAAAAGTTACACTGCAAAACAAATGAGTGGCACTGAGATAGTGAGGAGACTTAGGACCGATTTTCTGCTCATTATAAATGGACTTGATATGTTGCCAGCATTGGTTTTATTGGCAATCAGTTATTGTTACCTGCCAGCTTACTGACTTCAGTATGAGCCAGGCAAGGTTTCTTCCTGATACTTGTTACCCATCAGCACCACGTCTCCAGTGTGACAGCAGAAAGGTGCCTTCGGGCACCCTTTCCCCACAGGACTGAGACTTCAGTTCTGACTTTGCTGCCTCTTGCCTTTCCAGTGACATCCGCACATAACTGTGACAACCATACGGAATTCAGCTGTAAAACCAACTACCGCTGCATCCCACGGTGGGCTGTGTGCAATGGTGTCGATGACTGCAGGGACAACAGTGATGAACAAGGCTGCGGTAAGAGGGGTTGGGGATGGGGGATGGACAAATCTAAGTGCCCAGTACATTTATTGTAAAAGAGATGAGTGTGCATTTCCTATGTCATCTTTCCTTTTTTAACCTTTTAAAGGGTAAGTTGTTGGTTGCTATAATAACATGTTACCTTTTTATAGCATGTACAGTGTTGTGGTGGATTCATTCTGAGAAGAGGAGCTTGGTGGGGGCAGGAGGCACGGAGTCACCACACAGACTCCAGGAGCCGGGTGAAAGTAGGCCAGATGCGAGCAGCCTACAGACTCATTTATTTCAGTTGGTATAGCAGCTTATATAGCCAAGGCAGCCAATCTGGTCAAGGGGCGGTTTATGCCCTAACCAATCACAGCCTGTTGCCAGGCAGTTTCTGAAGCCATCCAATCACAGCCTGTTGCCAGGCAGGTCCTGTTATCAGTGGCCATCTTGGCATGGCCTTCTCATTCCACCATAGTACAGGGCTGTGGGGGGAAGTTCATTTATATCATCTTAAATGACACTCCATCCCAAAAGATGTTATAACTGGGAAAGACATACCTGAGATTTTAGGGAATTGAGTCATTTCTCCCAAATGTAGAATCCTTATTCATACTTGACAAATTTAAGTGGCTTGCCTAATCTTACAGATTGGGTGAAAGAAGAGTAGAGAAAAGAATTGACATCTATCACCAAAATGTATATTTTCAAGTCAGAATATTGTTTGTTTCATATTCTAATTTATTTCTGACTTTCCATTTCATCCATTGGATAGCTGTAGCCACTATGGCAACATGGAAAGAATGTATGGACCAAGGGCCAACTGTATTAATGGGAATTTTCAAGATTAGGCATATACTCTAACTTGAAACCAGTGTGTCTATGAATGTGTGCTTGGTTTAATTGGAAGAGAGGAAAAGAAGATACTGAGTTGTTTTACTAATATTGAGTCTAATTGACTAATGACAACGTGATGATGGGAATGTTCTTTAGTTTGCTTGTGGCATCCTTTTAACCTCCCTTATCAGACCTTTGTTGCAGATTACAACCAGATACCTATTCATTTTTTGAACAATTCATACAAAAGGGAATGGACCTAGTTTCGAGCCATAGAATAGGTTTCAGTTAAGCCAAACAAGGGATATTGACAAGTGTTGCTGGCATTCCTCTCTCTGAGAGCTTCCAGAGTGTGGTGACATATTCTACTTTGTGCATTTCTTGACCACTGGTTTATGGACTCTTTGCAATGACTGTGCCTTGCAGAGGACAGGACATGTAATCCTTCGGGAGAATTCCGATGTAAAAATCACCACTGCATCCCTCTTCGCTGGAAATGTGATGAGCACAATGACTGTGGGGATAACTCGGATGAGGAGAACTGTGGTGAGTGCTTCTGGTTCTGCGAGCCTATGTGCCGCCCTGTGAGGATCACTCTCTTCTGCATTCAGTTGTCCACTGCATTCATCCTCAAAGGCTAGGACAACAGCTCTCTCATATCCATTTCTGCTGGGTGATTCAGTTCCACGTTCTCTTTGAACAAAGGTCCAACATCTTCTGAGATGTTTATAATCAAGCTTTGGGAAGAGGAGGATATTTAGGAATTTTTTTTGTTTGTTTCTGACAACTTATTTCCACCCAACTTCTTTTCCCCAAAGAACTGGAGATGATCTATGAGCAAGTGTAAATACAATCAGATAAATAGAATAGAGAGAGAAAATCTGTTCCAAGAGAAGTAAAGGAAGGAAAGGCGTTAACCTAAAGATCTTGTTCCTTACGTTCTTTCCACCAAATGATCTTAATAGAAGAGGGAGAACTTGAGTTTGGATTGTTTTCCTTCCTGGAACAGCTGACTATTTCAGGATGCCTGTTGTTCAAGTGACAGGTCAGGTTTTAGTTCTTCCATCTCAGTTGAAGGTACTGGCTACTAGGAACTGGACAGAGTTTGAGGAAAGGATGCCAAAGGTCTGACTCACACCAAACTCGAGGGCCAGTCCTGAATAATTGGGCGTGCCTTGAAAACAGCTTTCATGAAGCCCCATCTTGAGTATATAGCAGTGATTTATGTCGATTCCAAATTGGCTAATATGAAATACACTCTAATTTTCGCTACCTTTTAGAAGTGAGAAATAATACTGTTCATGGCAGGTAATTGAAATACTTAGAATTCTGGTTACAGCTGCAAATATTAATCAATTACAAACCTCTTAAACAATGGGGCATTCCAAGAGGCATTTTACTGTTTACTAAAAAGAACACATGTTGAATCTTTGAAGAGATCCTCTAGGGGCCGGTGCTGTGGCATAGTGGGCAAAGTCTCCGCTCACAGTCCTGGCATCCCATATGGGTGCCGATTTGAGTCTTGGCTGCCCCACTTCCAATCCAGCTCTCTGCAATGGCCTGGGAAATCAGTAGAAGGTAGCCCAAGTCCTTGGGCCCCTGCCATCTGGGGAGTGAACCAGCGGATAGAAGACCTCTCTCTGCCTCTCTGTAACTCTGCCTTTCAAATAACTAAATAAATCTTTTAAAAAAAGAGATCATCTAGAGTTTCATGAAATCAGATATTTTAAGTCTGTGATTATAGGGTGGATTGAAATTATGTTTCTGCAAAAATTAAAAAAAAATAGGAAGGAAGGAGGGAAGTTGGGGGGGACAGGAAAGGTGGGGAGGAAATATTGTTATCTTAGAATTGTACCTATGAAATATATGAAATCTGTTCTCTTTATATTACTAAAAATTTAAAAAGTAAAATATAAAAAGAAGAAAATGAAACTCTGTGATAAAAAATATCTTTGGATAAACCTCTTATAAAAGCCATTTTTTTATAGACTTAAAATTGAAGTAGCGGGTCTAGTTTTAGAGGAAGAGTTTTAGAGGAATGTGGGATGCAGGAGGATATTGGGCATCGAGGGTGCCTTGACCAGTTAACAAGTCTGTTTCCTGTGTTTGATTCCTGGTGCACACTAATGGCCACATGGCTTTCCTTTTCAGTCCCCCGGGAGTGCACAGAGAGTGAGTTTCGATGTGCCAATCAACAATGCATTCCTTCTCTGTGGATCTGTGACCAAGACAATGACTGTGGGGACAACTCAGATGAGCGGGACTGTGGTAATTGTCAAAAGCATTTTGTGGAGGGTTCCATAGACTCTTGTACTATGACTGCATGGTAACTTCAAATTCGTATTTATTAGACTTTTTAGAGTAAACTGAATTTTGTGTAATTTATGTCATATGTAAAACTTAGCAGAATACCATATCTTCTGCTCTGTATTTTCTATGCTTTATTCATAAATTGTAGCAGCCTAGATCAATCATAACAGGGGAAAATAGCAGGGAATTAAAAAACAATCCCAAACATTTCCTAGGAGCAAACCTTGACCTTGTAAACAAAAACATTGATCTTTCTGATGTTCACAGAAAGTTGTGATCAGAGCAAAGTGTAACGGTCAGAGCATTGGAGCAGGAATCCTGAACCCCACGTAACTTTTATAGCTCTTTATTGATTGTTAACTGAGGAAAATCAGGACGCCTATAAAAATTGGAGAATTTGAGTTTCTGCTGAAAATCTTTAAGAGCTAGTGGTCATTTAACAGAGGAGAGATAAGTCCTTCTACCTGCATATGTTAAGTGGAAAAAGTGAGTTTGGACAGTTTATTCATTTCCTTTGAGCCAGTCTGGACATGTGGTTAAGAATGTAGGAGAGTACTCACCACACTCCATGTACCAACACCTGCCTGCAAATGACAAGGCCTCCTGGGCGTGCCAATCCTCTCTCTTCAGACATGAGGACCTGCCATCCTGACTATTTTCAGTGTACCAGCGGACACTGTGTGCCCAACCATATAAAATGTGATGGAAGAGCCGACTGTTTGGATGCCTCTGATGAAGCTAGTTGTCGTAAGTCCTTGGATACCTGTGGTCCTGCTTATCTGTCAGCTACCACTTCTTTGACTAAAAGGCCATATACATGTTCTATTCAGCATTCATTGATAATTATCAATTCACCTGGAGTCTGAGTCATCATATCCATTATTTCCGTTTCAAGTCAAGTGCATTTCATTAATAATATTTTAAATAGAGAATTATTAAGTAGCCTCAACTGGTAGACTATTTATCTTGTATTATTAGCAGCTATACAAATCATTAATTGGATAAAAAAAATTTCAGGCCAAAAAGACTATTCAAGCAACGAATGAACTAGTATTAGAACTTGGGTTGGGTATTTGAACAGATTGAATAGACAGCATTAAATTTTCTGAGTTACGTGTTGGCATATAAAATATAAAAAATATAAAACCAATATGATTGCTCACATTTCAGTCTTTATGAATTAGTATATAAATATTCATTACTGGTGACTGTCCATAGTAAGTAGTTGCTAGTGTGGTTGTCACACCTTAACACCTGGTTTCATAGACCTTGTAAGTGTATTATGGGTCAAGCCAGACTTGGCCAGTAGAGACAAAGTCCAGCACTACCCATGCTGTTGAAAACTGGGCTTGGACAATTGTCCAGACACATTCCATCAGAATCCTAGACAGGGTAAGGCAGTAATACCTCTAGATGAACAAGGAAGAACAGCTTCAGTGGGTAAATAAGGAAGAGCAGCTTCGGTGTCAAGAGATAAAGGAGAAGCAGTGGGATAGCTTTCCAAAACGAGTAAATTTGTTTAATAATTCCAATATGTCTCCTCCCTCTCAACAGCCACTCGCTTTCCCAATGGTACATACTGCCCAGCTACTATGTTTGAATGTAAAAACCACGTTTGCATCCAGTCACTTTGGAAATGTGATGGTGATAATGACTGTGGCGATGGCTCTGATGAAGAACTTCATCTGTGCTGTAAGAGGGAAAAGAGTGGGGTGAATGGGAGTGGTGTTGTCTGGCAGCACCTTGGGGTTTCTCATATGTAGGGTGGGATCCTGGAGGACAGCGGTGCAGTTTGTGAGAACAACACATGTGATAAACCCTCGCGTGATTTCTCTTGACTCTCCTGCTTCAATTTTCTGTCTGAGAAAGTTGAACCAACATCTATTTTTTAAAGCATTGTATGCCCTTAAAAAAACAATTTCTTCAAAAGAAATCTCACTTGTAAACCCAGTGTGCATAGACCAGGCAGGTCTGTTGTGGTTGAAATATGAGGGTGTACTCCTTGATGTTACCTCTTCAAATCCGTATTTGCTACCGGGGACATTTTTAGGAAATTTTATGACTCACTTGGCCCTTTACACTTCCCTTCAACATCATAGTACAAGGCCATTTAGTTTTCTCTTGTTGTATGATATATATTTCTTAAATCAGTGAACCTCAATTCAGGTATGTGGCAGAATTGATGGGAGAGAGGTGTTTCAGTGTCACGTGCCCTGGCCTCACTCGGAGTTTAGACCCAAAAAGCAGAATCTCCAAGGATGGGGCCTGTGCATATGCATTTTAAAAGACCCCTTAGCTTTTTAATTTAATCCCATCATGGCTAGCATTTGATTTTAACAAAGTGAATGAAAATAGAATTTGTTTCAGTTATTTTGCCCTGTGCTTTGAGTCACTGGAGACTTGCCATGGTAATAGTGCTCAAAGTGTCTTCCCTGGACTAGAAATGTCAGTGTCACTGGGGAGCATGTCGGAAATGCAAGTGCATGGGTCCCACCGCATATCTACACAAACTGAATGTCTGAGGGTAGGGCCCCGGCAATCTAGGCAAGCCTTCAGCTGATTGTGATGCAAACTAAAATTTAAGGACTTTCTGTAAATGAAAACCCCCATCAGAGGAGTAGGGACCCTAGGAGCAGCATTCTTGCTGGAAGTCCTCATCAGCTCCCCAGTCTTAACTGCAGTTTGCCTCTGACCTTCCCCTCACTTCTTCCCTTCCCTTCCCTTCCCTGGTTTCCTCACTACTCAGTTTTAGCCCAGTGGCCTGCTTCCCTCCCAGAGATTGTTAATTATATTTACTCATATTTTATAATTTATATTACATTATATTTTCATAGTGGTGTTCCAGTACTTTTATTACCATCTCTTACTTGATAGGAACTAGTCATTTTTTAAAATTTTGTTTTCATCTTGATGAATATTAAAAGAAAAAAATCTTAATCATGTCTGACTTTCATAAAAGAGGTACATACTGAGTCACTTCTCTCTGTAGTATAAACTGCCCATAGCTAGTGAAATTTAACTTTGGAGAGACAGCAACACAGCTGCACTTTTTAAAATGACCAACACTATTTTGCAATGTTGCACTTGCCTTTTACAGTGATACCTCCAAGCACCAACCCTTAAAGATGTTTTCTCCCCAGCTAGCCTCATTCCTAATCTTCCTTCTTGGCCCCTGTATGTAGTGCAAAGGCAGAAAGACAATCAATCTGCCCAAACCCTCCATGTGAAAGAAATATGTGGAGGTCATTGAATTCCTGGTGCATACATGGAAGACCATGTCCCTTGTACTGAACAAGTGAAGGACCTGGGTACCACCCCTGGGTTCTTCACAGCTCTATAAACAGTGAGACAAGAGGCCTTACTCTGGACAACAAAGTGGGTCTGGCTTGGACTGTGAAATGCCTACTTTCAATGTAAGAGGCGAGGGAATTCTGGAAGGAAAGTCCTAACAGTATAAAACCTCAGTGAAACCTTCATGCTCAATGGCAGCTGTGGTCAGAGGACTAAACCACAGCCTCTGGCTGTTGGAGTGCGAGCCCATGGACCCTCCTGCAGGCCTGGCCAGCCCCATGGCCGCGCTGTCTTCCGCACTGTGTGCTCCAGGCACAGAGGACTTTCTGGAGGTCCCCAAACCTGCCAAGCTCCTCCCTGACTCCAAAACTTCTCATGTGGAGCCTCTTCTGATATATCCTCCCTCTGGTGGGTAGCAGAGCCCCAAGTACGTGTTTCACAGTAATTGAAGGAAAAGTTTGTAAAGTCTGATTCACTGCTAGAATGAAGTTCCCTGAGGACAAGCTCTGTGTCTTTCTTGTTCCTTGTGTCTAGTACCCTGCACAGGATCTTGTCTGTGCACTAGATACTCAAGAGATATTTGTCATTTGAGTGAGTGAATGGACAAATGAAGCAGGCCTGGTGCCAGCATGGAGGTCTTAGACATTGACGCTTCTGTTCTAGTCTAAACTCTCAATTTCGTTTTTCTAACTCGCCTTACAGTGGGTGTTCCCTGTGATCCACCACACCGTTTCCGGTGTGACAACAGCCGCTGTATATATAGTCATCGGCAGTGCAATGGTGTGGATGACTGTGGAGATGGGACTGATGAGAAAGAAGAACACTGTAAGTAAAAGCCCGGAGGGCGGAGGAAAAAAATCAGGGCCCCCAATTGTCTACAATCTGCAAACAGTTTCAGGTTTTTTTGTAGAGGTTGAAGTTGTGCCTCTGTTTGCTGCTCTCCGCTGGTTTAGTTGTGTATAACACCATACAGTCACATGCATTACTCAGATGCAACTCTGCCCACTTCCCATCTCGCTTGAGCCAGATATTGGCAAATCTCTTTCTTCAGTCTTTGGTTAAGCATTTACTATGTTTCCCCATTCTGTTCTCGTAAGGAGATGAATATAAACACTAAGTACTGGTTGAATCACACTTTCAAATTGTTAAGGCAGTTGCTTTCAAAGGTGAGATTTGGCCACACTTCAGCCTAGAATGGCTAATTGCTAATTTAGACATGTGAATGAATATTCCTTCTCAATGCCCAGCCAAAGAGATCATCATAGTAAGACAGTACAGGTGTTAACAGTGCTTATCCAGTATCCTCACTGAAAGTGAACATTCATTTTCCAGAAGACAAAAAATGATGGATGGGTTTAAGATAGAAATTTCAAATGGTTGAATTTAATATTTTAAGTAGTGAAATATCTGAATTTGGAGTATGTTTTAAAATCTATCCATTGGAAGGAAGAGTGGATTAACTTTTGAGCAGTTTAATTTCCCTAGAAAAAAGTCATTGAGAAACATTATTCCTAACTTATAATACCTTTTTTGGTCAAAAATTACATTAGTTTGGAAAATTTAGATAAATGCCTGTTTTTCCATTTTACTTTCCTTGTGTTGATGTGGCCTTAAAATGTTGATGTACAGTTCCTGTCCCAGAGGGACCTGGGCCTGTTTTCTTCTTCAGATGGAGAGAGAACAGGGAACTGCACCTCCCTAGGGGCTGCACAGCCTTCTTAGCCCACTTCCTGCTTGTAGGAGGTGGAGGGCCCAAGAGCCTTGAAGTGTCATGTGTTTGGCAGATCCCTCAGAACATAGCCACTTGTGATCTAGGAGCTTCCAGACAGTTCTAAAAGTTAGGAACCCTGACCCAGTGTTTGTTTGGGGACTTAGCTCTTGAACCTGCTTCATTTGCTTGCTCTGTCTCTATCCTGCACATCTCTCTCCACTGATTGTCAGTTTCAGGCTGTCCAGAAAAGTAGCAGGGCATCATTTTGTGCAACAGTGGTGTTTCTGGATCTTTGTGTCTCAAAGCCTTTTGAAGTTTAGACTTCTGCTGTTTGGGACCCAGAAGTGATTGGTTTTTCTGCACTGCACATTTCTGGACTTTATTTTCTTTCATTTCTGCTTTTGAATAAACCAGTTCTTCTTTTGGCTTCTCTCTTTTTTAGCACTACCTGGCCAAACTCAGGTGATGGCAGCCAATGCACATCATTAACATTCTATTTTCCCTTTTTTTAAACTAAAAATTTATTTATTTGAAAGCAGAGTTACAGAGAAGGAAAGGCAGAGAAAAGGGGAGAGAGAGAGAGAGAGAGAGAGAGAGAGAGAGAGAGAGAGAGAAGAGAGAGAATCGTCCATCTGCAATTGCAAAGACTAGTCCAGGTTGAAGCCAAGTGCCTGGAACTCCATTTGGGCTTCCCATGTGGGTCACAGGAGCCCAAGCACTTGGGCCATCTTCCACTGCTTTCCCAGGCCCATTAGCAGGGAACTGGATCAGTAGTGGAGCAACTGGGATTCAAACTGGTGCCCATATAGGATACTGGTTTTGTAGGTGGCAGCTTAACCTGCTATGCCACAATGTTGGCCCCTAGCATTCAGTTTTCTAACCTCTTTTTGCCGGTTGAGAAGTTCAACGAACCTTCCTATTTTATGCTATTGTATAGCATGGGTCTCCATCTTTTCTGCTTCCAGTGTTAGTTTCCTCATTGCCTGCTTCCTGGCTGTTTAGCCAATGCCATAGAGTTTAGGATTTTGTTATAGAAGCACCCTACTTTTCTCATCACTCTATATTATTAAGGATAATACTAGTTGATACTAGTTGCTGCCACCAACAAATCCCAAAGTCTCAGTGGTATAATAAAACAAAGATTTGTTTCTTCTTCATTGAAAAGCCACTTTGGGTTGCATAGCCATCTTCCATCTTGTAGCTGTGCCACCTGACATGTGGCTTTCAAACCTGCTGTAGCAGCAGAGAAGACACAGAGGAGTCACATGGGCTTCCAAGAGACTTAGATCACTTACCCCTCAGCTCTTTGGTTAGTACTAGTCACATGGTTGCAACCTAGCTGCAAGGGAGTCTGAGAAACCTCGGGAAGACTGTGTTCATTTGGCGAGCAATACCTCTCTCTGCCACACAGGGAAGCATCTTGTTTCACAGACGGAAAATGATTTGACTCTAACTTGTTCTTAAATTACAGGTAGACCACCAACGCCTAGACCTTGTACACAAGATGAATTTAAATGTAGCAGTGGACATTGCATTTCACAGCACTATGTGTGTGATAATGTTGATGACTGTGGTGACCATTCAGATGAAGCAGGTTGCAGTAAGTAAACGCTTATTTTTATACCCCATTGGAGTAACTTGGGCTTACCTGATTAAAGCATGCAATAACAAAAAGATGACAATCCAGTATTTCTTTTTAGTTTACTTTGTTAGGTATTATCATCCCCCCTTTTTAAAAAAAGATTTATTTATTTATGATTTGAAAGGCATGTTATAGAGAGACAGAGGCGGAGAGAGAGAGAAAGAGAGAGAGAGAGAGGTCTTCCATCCCTGGGTCACTCCCCAATGGTCACAATGGCCTGAGCTGGGCCGATAGAAGCTGGAAGCCAAGAGCTTCTTCCAGGTCTCCCATGTGGGTGTGGGGACCCAAGGACTTGGTCCATCTCCTGCTGCTTTCCCAGGCCATAGCAGAGAGCTAGATTGGAAGTGGAGCAGCCGGGACTCGAACCAGTGCCCATATGGGATGCCAGCACTGCACCATGGCACCAGCCCCTATCATTTCCTTTTACAAATGATGAAATTATTTTAGGAATTAAATAAATTGGTCAGGTTTTCCTATCATTGAAAGGTTTAAGTCAGGATTTGAACTCTGGTCTACCGAATTGCACAACATATCCTCTGCCCGGCCCATTAGGTGCCTCTCGGCACCTTAAGCTACATATGTTGTTGATCTGTACATTTTTTTCATCTTTTTTTTTAAATATTTATTTATATATTTGAGAGGTAGAGTTATAGAGAGAGGGAAAGAGAGAGAAAGGTCTTCCATTCACTTGTTCACTCCTTAAATGGCCATAATGGCTGGAGCTGGGCCAATCCGAAGCCAGGAGCCTGGAGATTCTTCCTGGTTTCCCACATGGATTGCAGGGGCCCAAGCACTTGGGCCATCTTCCACTCAGGCCATCAGCAGGGAGCTGGATCAGAAGAGGAGCAACCAGAGCTAGATTGGAAGAGGAGCAGCCAGGACACAAACCGGCGCCTATATGGGATGCCAGTGCCACAGGCGGAGGCTTAGCCCACTACACTACAGCACTGGCACACAATTTTTCAGCTTATGACAATTGCAGGATCCTTGACACTTAGGACAAAAGACTTGGGAGCCTTTGATAAAGATGAGAAGGAATATTTACTTTTTTTTTTTTTAAAGTAGAATGAGGATTTTGTGTAAGGAAAGGTTGATGAACAAAACCAAAGGATAATTTGAGTTCAATATTTTGATGGAAATCTTGGAATGTCAGATCAGTAGTTCGTACCTTTGTGGTCTCTTTATACCTCGTGGAGTGCTTTCCTACATAGTGTCTACGTTCTTGAACAAGTTGGCCCACTGGGTCACCATGACCATCTGCCTGTATAACATGACTCAAGTGACTTGCTTGTGGTCACATAGAATGGCAGAGCAGAATTTGAGCAACTAGGTGATTCCAGGCTAGGCGGCCTTGGGCGGCCCACAGCTGTGGCACTTTGGGCACACAATGACCTCTCCAGGCCTCACAGGAAAAAGGCTCTTCACACTCCAAGAGCCTGTAACCTCATCACCCTAGCTAGCTCTGCATGCTTCCAAATTCTTGGGTTTGAATCTGTTGTTAGGCTTTTTTTCCCCCCCCCGAGGCACCCAAAGGGTTTCCTGGCATTTTTTTCTCCTTTGTGCATTGCAGATGGGTGTGACTAACCAGGCAGCCTGAGTTGGGTTGCCATTTATTTCATACACCTTCTCGGGGGAGCTTGGCATTATTGACATAATGAAGTGACTTGATTAAACATTTGAAAAGTATCAATTTGGAAAGAGGGGTGGCAGATTTGGATTCTGATATCTAGAGGCTGATAATATGAGCAGTTTCAGGAGTTTGAAACATTTCCAGGTTAGGCATGGGTCAAACCACTGGTCTCTCTTTTAGTTGCCTTTGCCAATTAAAAGGCTTAACATGGATGACAGCCATATCTATTCAAGTGGCATTTAATTAGAAGCAGGATTTATTTAAAGGAAGTGAATAGTATGGATATTAATTTAGGCATGGAAGCAGCTTCTTTTGTCAGATATTAAATGGATACATGATTCTTGCTGTGGGCTAATAATTTAACTGAGGCATAGAATTCTTATTTAAAATATCAGTTCTTGGGTGTTACTGATCCACTTGCCTTTTTTTCCCTCCTTCTCCTCCCTCTTCCTTTTCACCCTCCCCCTGCCTTCTCGTTCATAAGAGGATCACTGAGGTATTTAAAACACTTGTTTGATTTATTTATTCAAATGTACAACATGTTTTCATATACATAGTGAAATCATTACTGTAGTAAAGCAAATTAGCATACATGTCATCTCACATAGTTATTTGCATGTGTGTATGTGTGTATACGTATGTGTGTGTTGTAAAATGCACTCTCTTATTGCAGAAACAGAAAGACTTTGACATTTTTCTAGTACTTTTAAGAAATCAAGGAAAGGTGTTCAGGTTGCAAATATTATTTATGTGATTATAAAGTTCCTGTTTCCTGTCTAATAGTTCTTATTTCTTCTTCATAAAATGAAAATACAGTGTCATATGTTTGAGTTTGGGGCAATCAATTGTTATTTGGATTTAATTAGTGATTTTAAGAAGTTACAAGGAAGTCCTCAAATTTGAGGAGGAATCCCACAATGCTGTGTGGTTTCTTCTCTTGCTAAGGGCTCTTGCTCCAGAAATTTAGATTTTAAAGCTAGGAGATTTTTATATCTAACTATGCACATGTGCCCCGCAGAGGTTATGTGACTGGCTCAGAATATCCACATTAAGAGTTTATATGTATCTAGTGTTATAGGGGGGACATCACTACCAACTTTACAGAAATTTTAAGTGATTATAAAGGAATACTATGAAAAACTTTATGGCAACAAATTTTACAACTTATGTGAAGTAGAAAAAAAATTTTTTTTTTTTTTTGACAGGCAGAGTGGACAGTGAGAGAGAGACAGAGAGAAAGGTCTTCCTTTTGCCGTTGGTTCACCCTCCAATAGCCAGCGCGGCGGGTGCACCACGCTGATTCGAAGGCAGGAGCCAGGTGCTTCTCCTGGTCTCCCATGGGGTGCAGGGCCCAAGGACTTGGGCCATCCTCCACTGCACTCCCTGGCCACAGCAGAGAGCTGGCCTGGAAGAGGGGCAACCGGGACAGAATCTGGCGCCCCGACCGGGACTAGAACCCAGGGTGCCGATGCTGCAGGCGGAGGATTAGCCTATTGAGCCGCAGTGCCGGCCAGAAAAATTCCTAAACACAAAACACTGAAACTGGTTCAAGAAGAAACAGAAAATCTAAATATACTTATTTACCAATGTGTGACTGTGAAGAGCTCAGACTAAATCTTTTATTTTAATACTTTCTTGTACAGCTTTGAAGTATATACTCCAACGGCAGCATGCCATTGAATGTCACTGTGCTTTATTTGATTACCTTTGTTTTTTGATACTAAGTGTTTTACTGATGTAGTCATTGTACCTTAAGGGATCCTGAAACATGGTTAAATTCACTTTACTGCATACTGTAGAAGACAGAGAGATAAAAATCTACTTTCTTTAAAAGAATTGAACCAGGAGGTGCCACAGTTTGTTTGGCTAATGCGTTCAGAAGCTTGTGACCAAGAGATGTTCCATCTGAGAATTCCTGATGGAGATAAACACTCCCCTCACTCATTATTTATGTTCATCTTCATCAGCTTCTCTGTAAGATCTAGGTTCAGGAGTAGATGGAGACTGAAGATGAAAGAAGCAAACTGATAAGAATGACAAGAATGAAAGCCAGATGGCTGGGGTGGATCTTGGCAGAGACAAGATCTTGGGGCCGTGATGAGTATTAAAGTGTAAAGGTGAAGTCTGAGCTGTTGAAAGCCTGCCCTGGAGCAGGCTGTACCCCAAACAGCAGGGATTACAAGGGTGTCCCGTAAGGGTCCTCTAAAAATAAACTCGTAGGTTTTTTTTTTTTTAAATTTTACTATGAAAGTAAAACAATCTAGAAAATAATTAATAATCAAAAATAAAAATAATCTGAATCACATCACTAGGAGAGAACTAATCTTAATGTTTTGGTGTTCTTTTCTTTCTTAATATTTAAACAAATTTAAGGAATATTCTATAGTAAATATCAAGCTCTGCAATCTTTTCTCCATGTTTTTATGGATATCTCCTGGTCAAATTGTTATTTGAAACCATGAATTTTAATGATTGTATAGCAATACATCATGTAGATAATCATAACTCATTGTCTAAGATATATGTTTATTTTCACATTTTAGCATCTCTGAAACCAAGATACATCTTACAATTAATGAGATGTTATACTGAAGTTCAATGTTTTCTATTTTAGTGTTACACAAAGTAGTATCTGTCAGTGGTATCTTAGATTTGATAAAATATAAGATAACATAATTTATTCCCTATTGTTGAATATATTTTCAGGTTGTTTTCAAATTTTTCTTGCTATAAAAAATGTCATAATCCTGAAGCTCCTTAACCATAAATCATATGCATATTTTTTATTCCTTTCTGAGGGAAAAATCCATTAACATAGAATAACTGGCCAAAAGAGTATGAATATTTTTAAAGCCCTAATATATGCATACATATTACAAAATTCCTTTCTATGTATACCAACTTATGGTTCTAATAGTAGTAGTAGTTACATGAGTTATGACTATGCATTTTGCTGTACCCTGGCCAACAAATATAATCAATTAATAAATGTTAGGCAAATTAGTCTTATAACTTTGTAATTTTGCCTATTTATAATTTTGTTGTAACCCCATCACTGTCTTTTATTTATACCTCTGTCTGTCTCTCTACATGTCCGTCTATCATCTGTCTATCTAAGAAACCTGCTCACCCTGGGAGTAAGTGGTGGTGGTTGTGGAGTCATGGACTTCATAGCTCTCTGAGGAGGAGACTGGAAGGGCTGCATATAAAGGGCAAGTCGCCTGAGAGATGTAACCTCACATTCATTTGTGTAAATGGCTGTCAGGTCGTTAGCAGAGGTTAGAATCCTGATGCCTCCCTATCCTCTCAAAGGTTATGAAGATAGGGCTGCTCAAGATATCCTGTAGTAGGTTATGGGTAGGTGCTTCTTCCAATACACCACCAACTGTTCAGCTGGGCTGATCTAGTTTGCACTTTTCATTTCTAATGCTGAGATTTTGTTTTCCAGATCTAGGAAAAAATAGGACATGTGCTGAAAATCTATGTGAACAAAACTGTACTGAATTAAGTGGAGGAGGATTTATCTGCTCCTGTAGACCTGGCTACAAAGCTGGTACTTTGGACAGAAACTCCTGTCAAGGTAGAGTATATATTCCACCAATTCTTATCATGAAATTATACTTTTTAGGTTCTCCATTCATTCCCCTTTACTAAACCACTATTTAATTTACTTAATGGGGCTAAACTCATGGTTCTAGGTAATTAAAATGCTCAAGAATGCCAATTTCTTTTTCCCTCTGTGTGCATGCTGTCTTACTAGTGCCTAGCAAAGTGCTTAGCATCAAGTGTGTGCTCAGTTATATCTGTGGAATTGATATGAGTTTTGAGTGCATTGGTGATCATGGCTACTTGTTGTATCAATGTGAGATCAGATTTAATTAACAAAAGGTTTGCTTTATTTATCTTAAGTCAAACAGCATGTGTGCATCATACATATACTTATGCCAGACATAAATGTGTTCAAAAGTTTGGACTTGGAAGGTTGCTTGTCAGGATGGGAAGGGATAAGTATGATTTTAGGTGTCTTTTTATTGTTTGAATCTACCGCTTCTACCTCATGATGTGGCATACTCAGATGATGATAAGACATCTTTTGGAAACTGTGGCTTAAGGATTCACCTCAAAAACCAGTGGCTGTTGTTCCTGAAGTTCTTTAGCGGAAGGGACTTGATGCCAGGGGACAGCAGTGACAGGTGCCCCCTGAAATAGAGAATGTCCTCTGCTATTGAACAGTCTTCCTCCTGCAGTTTAAATCCTGTCTCCAGTGCTAACTAACTTTGGGACTTTGGGCCTAAATAATAATAGTCCATACCTCATTGTGGTGTATGTGTGTGTGTGTGTGTGTGTGTGTGTTTTAATTTAAAGAGGAGGAACAACCCTGAAGAGCATACAAGACAGCATCTGAAACTTAGTGTTCCCTAAATGTTGCTAGCATTGCTTCCTTTCTCGTTGGTCGTTGCTTGTGACAATGGATCTAGAGCAGCAGTAGGTCTCTAAGGAATGAATGGGAGCAGGTATGCATGTTTGCTTTTATTTTGCCCTCAGACATCAACGAATGTGAGCAATTTGGAGTCTGTCCTCAGAACTGCCAAAATACCAAAGGGAGCTACGAGTGTTTCTGCGCTGATGGCTTCAGGTCCATGAGTGTCCGCTATGGAGAACGGTGTGCAGCTGATGGTATGATGCGTTCATGTCCGGATCAGTTGACTTTTGGGGAGATAAGTGGTGGTGAATATGCTTTACCAGGAAATAAACTGTTGACTCTTAGGGTCTTATTTGTAACTTGCCAGCTACTTCTCTTCCAAAGCCTGTCTGGTTTCGTTTCCTTCTCCCTTCCTTAAAACAGTAACCCTTAATAACACAGCTTAAAACAATAACCATGCACCCCCCAGGAAATACATAGGAATTGCAAGAAGAGCTAGGGGTTACTTGTTATTCTGGATTTAGCCTCTTATCCACCTTGTAAGAACTTCAAAAAGTTGACCAGATGCTACCCTTCAGAAGATTCAAACGCGGCCACAACTTGTCTGGGGTTTGGTTACCAACAGAAGGAAATTGCCAATGCCTCTACCTCCCACTCCACAGAGATCAAGGTTTGAGGCCTTGTAATCCGAGATGAGACACAAAAAAGTCACATTCAAGGCCACTCTGCTGACATATCCCTTTTTTATTGTTCATGGACTGCTGATCACAGACAGGAAGGAGTCTGGTGCATTCATAACTTCAATCATTATTTTCACATTGTAGCTTAATGCCAGTGTCTGAGAAACATGCCTGATAAAAAGTAGTAATAAATACTAGGCAGAAATGACACAAGAAAAAGAATGTAATATGTCGGTGGTATTATACTCAATTTCAGAGGTCTGGTCTAAATCAGCATTTGCCAATTAAGAAGTATACGTCTTTATTTTGAATTTGAAGTTTTTACTACAGGTTAAGGGACTTGGTAAGAATATAGGATAAAATGATCAAAATGACTATTCAGTTTCTTAATATGAATTAGGCTTTTAAAGCATGCCTTAAACTGGTTCACTTAAATATTTCAGTCTCCAAACATTTTTGACAGTGAAAAAAATTGAGAATGAAGGCATTTGACAATTTACTAATTAAGTAGCACATTTAAAACTTTTAACTAAGGAGATTATTGAGATAGCATATTTACATAAAACAATATAAAGATAGAAGAAATATATAAAATTTACTTAAATTGGATTCAGTTGACATTATACAAGTAAATTACATTTTAAAAATTCTACACAATGCGTTTGGGTTGAGTTACCATTGAAATAGTTCCTTTAGTTAAACAATTTTTTTAAATCAAGAACACCTGGATTTTTCTCATTAGCTAAAAGCTAAATTGAGTCATGGAGCTGATTACCTGCTGAAGGAACCATAAAAATCTGTGAGTATGGAGGGAGGAGTGGGACCTTCCTGGTGAACTATTAGTAAGGTTGTGAATCTTGTTTTTCGCCTGTGAGATTGATTGTCTACGGTCTTGTCATTTTTAATGTCAGTGAATAAATTCAAAACAACTCGGTGAAAATGGGGACTTGGTATAAAAGCTTCAGTCTGGCCTTGTCCTAAACTGCCACTGAGGACAAAGAAGAAAGAACTGATAGTATCCCTAGCAGAAAGGACAACTTTCCACCCGAGATGGGGACAAGACTGCCCGCAGTCATGGGTTTTGCAGCCGAGTTTGATAGCTTCACTGATGAACAGAGTCAGATTCCTATCAAAGTTCATGTCTTTTAAAAGGGGTGGGGAGTGGCCTGCTAGGTACTTTATATCCTCCTTTATAGTTTTAAAATTCAAGTCGAATTCAAACAGGTAACATAGCCCTTTATGTGTTTACAGGTAACCCTCCTTTATTGCTACTGCCTGAGAATGTTCGAATTCGAAAATACAATCTCTCCTCTGAGAAGTTCTCAGACTATCTTGAAGATGAAGAGCATATCCAAGCTGTTGACTATGATTGGGACCCTGAGGGCATAGGCCTCAGTGAGTATAAACTTTGGCATCTGTCTCTGTTATTAACTGACTTTGAATTTTAAGATATTGACTGTTGGAGGATTTATTTTGTGATGAATTAATTTTGTTGCATGAATGGAAGAGGAAGCTCTCCTACCCAGCATGTACTTGAAGCCTAACCCTGGCCATGGGTCCCAACCAATGTTTCCTGACTTCTCTCCAAACCTTGTCCCACCTCGGAGTTATCCTTTCTGGCCTGCCTCACATCCCCTATTTTAAAGATTTATTTATTTATCTGCAAGGCAGAGTTACACAGAGAGAGAAGGAGAGGCAGAAAGAGAGAGAGAGAGAAGTCTTCCATCCACTGATTCACTGCCCAGATGGCCGCAATGGCTGGAGCTGCGCTGATCAGAAGCCAGGAGACAGGAGCTTCTTCCGAATCTCTCATGCAGGTGCAGGGGCCCAAGGACTTGGGCCATCTTCTACTGCTTTCCTAGGACATATCAGAGAGCTGAATCAGAAGTGGAGCAGCCAGGTCTCGAACTGGCACCCATATGGGATGCGGGCACTGCAGGCTGCAGCTTTACCCACTATGCCACAGTGCTACCCCCACATCCCTTATCTGTCTTTGCTCATACAGATTGTACCATTGTATATTTGGAAGATTTCTTTTTTTTATTTATTTATTTTATTTTTGACAGGCAGAGTGGACAGTGAGAGAGAGAGAGACAGAGAGAAAGGTCTTCCTTTGCCGTTGGTTCACCCTCCAATGGCCGCCGCGGCCGGCGCGCTGCGGCCGGCGCACCGCGCTGATCCGATGGCAGGAGCCAGGAGCCAGGTGCTTTTCCTGGTCTCCCATGGGGTGCAGGGCCCAAGCACCTGGGCCATCCTCCACTGCACTCCCTGGCCACAGCAGAGGGCTGGCTTGGAAGAGGGGCAACCGGGACAGAATCCGGCGCCCTGACCGGGACTAGAACCCGGTGTGCCGGCGCCGCTAGGCGGAGGATTAGCCTAGTGAGCCGCGGCGCCGGCCTATTTGGAAGATTTCTAATCAGACCTCAAAGGCTCAGTTCAAATGTCACCTCCTCTGTGACATCTTTCATAATTCCTCTTGACAGTTCCATGATTTCTCACCATGAGTCTGTAGCATTTTATACATGCTTTTCATAAAGCATGTTAAATTGATTCATATGTACAGCTAGTAGACTACATATTTTTCTTCCTACTCCGTAACCATGTGCTCTTTGGAAAGAGATTGAATCGAATTCATGTCTGCATGCCTAGCAGCTGAGTCAACATCTAATTTAGTGGTTGAGGCTCAAGAAATTCAGTTGATTGGGGTGGGGGGCGTTGGCCTAGTGGTTAAGATGCCGTGTCCATAGTACAGCACCTGGGTGTAATGCCCAGCCCTGCTGCTGAGTCCCACTTCCTACTAATGCAGGCCCTGTGATACAGCAGTGATGACTCAAGTGGTTGTGTCCCTGCATCCATGTGGGAGGTCTGCATTGAGTTCCTGGGTCCTGGCTTCATCCTGGCCCAGCCCCCGCTGTTGTGAGCATTTGGAGAGTTAACCATCAGATGGAAGCACCCTCTCTCTTTCTGTGTGTGTCTCTCTCTCCCTCCCTTTTCAATAAAACAATTTTAATTTTTAATTTTTTTAATTTTTAATTTTTTAAAAATTTTTGACAGGCAGAGTTAGACAATGAGAAAGAGACAGAGAGAGAGGTCTTCCTTTTCCGTTGGTTCACCCCGCAAATGGCCACTGCGGCTGGCACACTGTGTCCATCTGAAGCCAGGAGCCAGGTGCTTCCTCCTGGTCTCCCATGCAGGTACAAGGACCAAGTACTTGGGCCATCCTCCAGTGCCTTCCCAGGCCACAGCAGAGAGCTGGACTGGAACAGGAGCAACCGGGACAGAATCCAGCACCCCCAACCGAGACTAGAACCCGGGGTGCCGGTGCCACAGGTGGAGGATTAGCTTAGTGAGCAGCGGCACCAGCCCAATAAAACAATTTTAAAAAGTTTAGCTGAATGAAGAAAAAAGTGAATAGTGCCTGTTATTGAACCATTCATAACTCTGTATAGTTGCAAATAGAAAACTTGTCTTTTATACAAGGTATTTCAAAAAAATTCATGGAAAATAGAAATGGGGTAAAATGATCTGTGCATATGAAGGGTATTCAAAAGGGCCATGGAAAATACATGTTATGAAAAAACTACATAGATTTCTATTTTTTTAACTTTTATTTAATGAATATAAATTTCCAAAGTACAGAATATGGATTACAATGGCTTCCCCCATATAATGTCCCTCCAACATGCAACCCTCCCCTTATCCACTCCCTCTCCCCTTCCATTCACATCAAGATTCATTTTCGTTTCTCTTTATATACAGAAGATCAGTTTAGCATACATTAAGTAAAGATTTCAACAGTTTGCTCCCACACAGAAACATAAAGTGAAAAATACTGTTTGAGTACTAGTTATAGCATTAAATCTCAATGTACAGCACACTAAGGACAGAGATCCGACATGAGGAGTAAGTGCACAGTGACTCCTGTTGTTGACTTAACAAATTGACACTTTTGTTTATGGCCTCAGTAATCACCCTAGGCTCTTGTCATGATCTGCCAAGGCTATGGAAGCCCCCTGAGTTCACTGACTCTGATCATATTTAGACAAGGCCATGGTCAAAGTGGAAGTTCTCTCCTCCCTTCAGAGAAAGGTACCTCCTTCTTTGATGACCCATTCTTTCCACTGGGATCTCACTGGTGGAGATCTTTCATTTAGGTTTTTTTCTTTTTGTTTTTGGGCAGAGTGTCTTGGCTTTCATGCCTGAAATACTCTCATGGGCTTTTCAGCCAGATCCGCATGCCTTAAGGGCTGATTCTGAGGCCAGAGTGCTGTTTAGGACATCTGCCATTCTATGGGTCTGCTGTGTATCTCGCTTCCCATGTTGGATCATTCTCTCCCTTTTTGATTCTATCAGCTAGTATTTGCAGACACTATTCTTGTTTATGTGATCCCTTTGGTTCTTAGTCCTATCATTACGATCAATTGTGAACAGAAATTGATCACTGGGACTAGTGAGATGGCATTGGTACATGCCACCTCGATGGGATTGAATTCGAATCCCCTGGTATGTTTCTAACTCTACCGTTTGAGGTAAGTCAGCTTGAGCATGTCCCGAATTGCACATCTCTTCCCTCTCTTATTCCCACTCTTATATTTAACAGCGATCACTTTTCAGTTAAGTTTCAGCACTTAAGAAGAATTGTGTATTGATTACAGTATTCAACCAAAAGTATTAAGTGGAACAAACAAAAAAATACTAAGAGGGATAACATATTAAGCTGCTCATCAACAGTCAGGGTGAGGGCTGATCAAGTCACCATTTCTCATAGTGTTCATTTCACTTTAACAGGTTTCCTTTTTGGTGCTCAGTTAGTTGTCACTGATAGATTTCTATTTTTTTTGTACCAAAATAATCTTTAACTTTTAATTCCATTGTTCATGAACTTTTTGAAATACCTGATACATGGCTCCCTCGTCTACTAACTTTATGGCTTGAACAATTGCAACACCTCCAGTTCTCAATTTTTTTATTGGTCAGTGAATAGTAATCTTGTTCCACCTACTTCCTCTGAGTGTTGTTTTGGAGATCGAATGAGATAATGCATGTTTTGTGTTCTGTCAATGACCATACCAATGTAAGATTTATTATTGCTGTATTTTCATACTTATTCATACAATACAGTAAGATTTTCAAGAATTGTGTGTATCTAGGAGAGCAGAAGGTTCCTAGTATATATTTCAAAGTCACAGTCTTCCTAAAATGTCTGCTCTTCACGATGCTTTAGTCTGTATATAAAATAGGACTTCTTAGCTACATGGCCACTGATAGGATGATTTCAAATTCTCCACCATCTGCCCTATTTTATTTATATCTCTGTTCTATAATTTAGAACTTGATCCTGATAACAGTAAATAGGCTCTTGGCAGAAAACTATTTTAATGAATTGTCCTCAAATTGAAATGACTAAGGAAATATCAACAAATTAACAATTGATGCAACTTGTAGCTGATAGCTCAAGTATGATAGACTTTGAGGTTTGGTAGTATTAATCTAATTGAGGTATTAATACTATAAAAAAAATGAGGTAGAGATATCAGTAAGTGAACAGTAATTCAACTGATTAGACCCCAGATCCTCCCTTACTTGATATTCTCGCTGTGAAAATGACCTGTGTGTCTTCCTCTGTAGGTGTTGTGTATTATACTGTGCTGGCACAGGGCTCTGAATTTGGTGCTATCAAACGTGCCTACATCCCCAACTTTGAATCTGGCAGCAATAATCTCATGCATGAAGATGACTTGGGCCTGAAATATGTAATGCAGCCAGATGGATTAGCAGTTGACTGGGTTGGAAGGTAAATTTGTCACACATTCCCCACTCCGGCCTATTCTACTTTCCTGGCTATAGCTCTCTACTGCTCACCATGGCCCATGAGGTAACTGGGCCCAGATACGACAATATCTGGGTTTGCTCTAGCTCTGGCAACCACCTCTGCTTACCGTATTGTGTCACATAAACATTCCAGGTATGTCTTGAAAAGGTTTGGGAAAGTACCCATGTCAAGATTCTGTGTTACATCTAGGAGGGTGTTCTGACTAGCAGAGGTCTAGATTCCAAAATTAAAATTCATTATGGCAGCACTGTTCATTTTGTGAAAAAATGGAACAGCCTCACAATTATCCCAATAAAGGAATTGAGATGAAAGTTTTCTCTATGGTAATTATTTTGGGGAGGAACAATCTACATCTGTGTGTTTAGCAGAATATCTGTTGGCACAGATTGGAAACTTGACTTTCCTGTAATCTTTGGGTTTGAGTTAATAGAAACGTTGGCTTTGCTCTGTTCTTTTAGACTCTCTAGTACCCCAGGAACCAGAACCCCTCATTTTGATGACCCCTAAATAAGAAACTTCAGTAGAATCTTCAGGAGATAGACTGAGATGCACGCTGATATGTGGAAATTACTGAACTCCTTCTTTGGTGTTTGTTGTTGTTGTTGTTGTGTTTTTTTTTTTTTTTTTTTTAAGGCAGAGTGGACAGTGAGAGAGAGAGAGAGAGAGAGAAAGGTCTTCCTTTACCGTTGGTTCACCTCCAATGGCCCCTGCGGCCGGCACACTGCGGCCGGCACACCGCACTGATCCGAAGCCAGGAGCCAGGTGCTTCTCCTGGTCTCCCATGGGGTGCAGGGCCCAAGCACTTGGGCCATCCTCCACTGCACTCCCTGGCCACAGCAGAGAGCTGGCCTGGAAGAGGGGCAACCGGGACAGAATCCGGTGCCCCGACAGCCACAGGCAGAGGATTAGCCTATTGAGCCGCGGCACCAGCCAAGGCTCCTTCTTGAAGGAGGCTTGCATTGGAGTGATTGTGCTTGGAAAATGTTTACTTGCAAAAGAGTTCAAGCATATATGGAATCCCCCATATTCTTGAAAATGAACTAATAATGGGAAAACGTTCAAAATGGCAGGCTCAGGGGCTCCCTGGTCTCTGGGAGGATGGAGAATTCATTTGTATTGTAAACTCATTTTTACCTTTTAAACTTGTCTGGTGTTCCTGAAAGACTGACACTTATCCAAAGAAGTTAATTGGGTCCCCACTGTACCTTCAAGGCTTACAGGAGACTCATTTCAGCATTTTCTGTTAGGAAACTGGATCTCAGAGAGCTGTTAAGGGAGTCAGGACTTGAAACTGCATGTTAATACGTTCTTCTGAAAACCAATCCAGCAGTGGCAGATGTGTCTTCTTGTTTGAAGTTTTGCCTCTTTCTCAACCTTAATGAATGAGAGGATTACGAAACAGATGGAGCTCTTTCTGCTTGTAAGAGACTGAGACCTGCAGCCTCGGAACTGGAAATAAGAGCAGGATGGCTTTGCTGACTATTTAGAAGGGCTGTTTCTGCTCATGTTTGGAGCAGATGCCAGATTACGGTTGATTTCATTGGGGGCTCTTTGCTTAGGAGGAAATAGACTCATGGGCAGTCAGAATTTATTTATTTGTAAAAGATTTATTTATTTACTTGAAAGTTACAGTTACAGACAGAGACAGAGAGACAGAGAGAGCTCTTCCATCCACTGGTCATTCCCTAAATGGCCACAACGGCTGAAGCTGAGTCAATCCAAAGCCAGAAGCCTGGAGCTTCTCTGGGATCTCCCATACAGGTGCAGGGCCATCTTCTGCTGCTTTCCCAGGCCATAGCAGAGAGCTAGATTGGAAGAGGAGCAGCCGGGATAATTTAGGGTATTCCTGAGAGAAGGACACCGTGCTCTCGTTTGGGATATCAGAGTAGCTGTCTGTCCCAGCCTTTTCTCTAGAAATGGCCAGTGTAGACTTTGTCATTGTTTAACTTTGTCTCTCTGAATTCAGGCATATTTACTGGTCAGATGCCATGAATCAACGAATTGAGGTGGCTAGACTTGATGGAAGGTACCGGAAGTGGCTGATTACCACCCAGCTGGATCAGCCAGCAGCAATTGTTGTGAATCCAAAACTAGGGTAAGTATTTGTAGGAGCCTTTAATATTCTAGATTTTTCTACCAGATTCTCATAACATCACACATCTCTAATGATTTTCTTTCCTAATTGTATTGAAATTGTCCTTTGAATTTCTGGGCTGGCACCATGAGTGTGTGAAGAGTTAGGATCAATAATTTCTGGTGGGGATATTCTTCAAGATCTTATCTTTCTGGCTGAATGAATTCCTTTTCAAATTAGAGCTGTGAACTTTAAAGTCCCTTGTGTCTTTTTTTAAAGATTTTATTTATTTATTTGAGAGGTAGATTTACAGACAGAAAGAAAGGTCTTCCATCTGCTGGTTTATTCCCCAAATGGCTGCAATGGCAGAGCTGAGCCAATCCGAAGCCAGGAGACAGGAGCTTTTTCCAGATCTCCCACATGGTTGCAGGGGCACAAGCATTTGGGCCATCGTACACTGCTTTCCTAAGCCAAAGCAGAGAGCTGGATTGGAAGTGGAGCAGCCGGGACTTGGACCTGTGCCCATAAGTGATGCCAGCACTGCAGGTGGAGAATTAACCTACTGTGTCACAGCACCAGCCCCCTTGTGGATTTAACTGCTTTTTTTTTTTCAATGAAGAATTGTTTTTCCTTTCATCTGCATGTTTTAATGTAACTGATTCATTGAAATTCAGCAAGAGATTGGGTCATATTTCATGGGAAAAAAGTAAATATTTATAGCCAAAATATACATATATAAAAATAGCATGCATAAATACCTCATTATTCATTTGTAGAAATGTTCCATCACCTCAATCTGAAAACCAGTTTTGTCATTTTTCTCTGCATTTCAAGATGTTTAGTTGGATAATAAAATTGAGGTTTACACATTCAGTTCAGCTTCAGAATAGTGACACTTCCAATTTTTATTTTTGAGTAGTCCCAAATACTTCCTATATTTGGGCAAAAGCAGTCTGGCCTCAGTAGATAATGCCAGTATTTATATGTGGAATACTATAAGCTATTATTACTTTGAGCCTATTATATTTCATATGTTAACTCATGCCCTCAGAAACTCTGTATGAATTTGAAAAACGCTTGCCTAGTAAGATTAATCTATAATGTGGTCTTGCCCTCAACATCAGCCGTAGCTTCTTATGTCTTACCTAAATCAAATCTTAGAAGCAGAGATGCTGTGTACACTAGGGCAGGAATGCTGTGACTGGTTCCTGTGTGCTGTTTAACTTCTGCTATAATTAATTTGTAGACCTGTCTTGATATTTTGCTCACATTCTGTTATCCCTCCCCTGTTTTTTTGTAAGATCCTCATTTTATTCTTTGTAATTTTTTCTCACTGGAATGGATCAGTGCAGTCCTGACAGGGAAGGGAAGTAGGAAAGGAGAAAGAGAAGGATTTAATTGCCAAGAGCTTTAAGGCTTGCCCTCTTACAACCTCCTCATTTGAGAGTCTAGCAATCCACACAGTTCTTATAAAGCATCTGCAATATGGGAAACCTTCTTATAGGTGTATGTGGTATATGATTTGCCTCTGAGTGGATAGGTTGATGAAGGTACTGACTAATAATAATACCAAGAAAACCATAAAAAGAGCCAGCATTTATTACATTCTTATTGTATGCCTGTCATTATGTTAAAGTTCTATGTATATAAACTCATTTATATCATACAAAAGGCCTATAAAGTAATTATAACTTTCCAACTCCTATTTACATACCTGGATAAAATAATATCACGTCCTCTTATTCAGCAATTGTTGACTATAATAGAAGGCAGGAGAGGAAACTTGTCACACAGAAACCCTGTGATGGTTCTGCTACTTTCAGGGATTCTGGGATGCTTCAAGAGGGCTTCACAAAGTTCTTGGGAAATGTGTATTATGAAAAAAAAAACTAAGCATGGAATTCAAAAATGTTTGCAGCAAAATAATCTTTATTTACACTTTGGCATGATCTTTCTGAAGTACCCTGGTATATTTAGGAAGTACCATTTGCACTGAACTTGGAAACTTGGGATCCATTAAGTAATGCAACAGGTGGTAAAATATCAGTGTGACTGAGGGTGATGAGGGGCTGCTTCCTGGGGAAGTGGGGCCAATGTAGGAGCTGGAAGGGTGTCCTGCACACAGACAGCGACAGGAGTGAGAGTCTGTTCTTAAGCTCAGTAAATAATACAAACAAAGTCATGATGGAAAAGATCTTTCTGTGGACCTTTTTCTTGATATTTATTCCCTTTTAAAAGTACAGTTCATGTCATATAATTTACTCACTTACAATGTACAGTCAGTGGCTTTTAATATATTCACAGAGGTGTGTAAACACCACCATAGTCAATTTAAGAGAGACCCTAACCCCTTACCCAGCAACCCCTGGTCCTGATCGTTCCCCTTCTCCAATCCTAAGTAACCAGTAATTTACGTTCTGTCTCTATAGATTTTCCTACTCTATACATTTCCTACCAGTGGAGTCATACAGTATGTGGGCCTTTGTGCTGCCTTCTTTCACATGTCTACTTTTTTTTAATGAAAACAAAATGAAGTGATATTTGCCAGTTGTTGAGACTTTGTGACAGACTTCAGACCAACACCGTATTAAAAAGAGAAAGGACTCTGGCCATGTTGTTTCCAAAGCCCAAGTTTGTCTAAAATCCACACATTCCTCAGTAGAATTGTAGGGTTGATCCCCTGATGATTGTTTAGGCTGGTGAATGCAAAGCCATGGCTGTTAGACCACAGAGGGCCCATGTTTGGCTGGCCAATTTTTATTAAGGAAGGGTAGCCTTTAGGAATGGCAGGCCACACATGCTCATGTAAAGTCAGTGCCACTTAGCAGCCAGGTCTTGGGCAAACAGATGACACTGTTGGTAACACCCCATGCTCCACCATAGCTGGGAAGCTCTCTTAGAGGAGCTGTTTCAATGAAGAAACCTTCTGTTGCAGGCTCATGTATTGGACTGACTGGGGGAAAGAGCCTAAAATTGAGTCTGCCTGGATGAATGGGGAGCATCGCAACGTCTTGGTTTCTGAGGACCTTGGGTGGCCGACCGGCCTTTCAATTGATTATTTGAACAATGACCAGATCTACTGGAGTGACTTGAAGGAGGACATTATTGAAACCATGAAATATGATGGGACTGACAGGAGAATCATTACACATGGAGGTAAGGATTGAATTAGAATTTAATGCATTATGTAATTAATTAACAGATTTGTAGTTTCTTTGTCCATATTTTCAAGAGGAACCCTGATCTTAGGACATGGCTTACATAGTTTTTTTTGTTTTTGTTTTTGTTTTTGTTTTAAGATTTGTATTTGAAAGTCAGAGTTAGTTGCAGAGAGAGGAGGAGGGAGAACAGAGATCTTCCATCTGCTGGTTCACTCCTCATATGGCCACAATAGCCAGGACTGAGTCAGGCCAAAGCCAGGAGTCAAGACTCTCCTCCAGGTCTCCCACATGGGTGGCAAGGGCTGAAATGCTAGGGCCATCTTCCACTGCTTTTCCCAAGCCATGAGCAGGGAAGTGGATTGTAAGTGGAGCAACTGGGACTTGAATTAGCACCCATATGGGATGCTGGTGTTGTAGGTGGTGGCCTTACCTGCTCTGCCAGTGCTGGCCCCCATAGTTTTTTAGATACCTGTATCCACCCCAACTCTCAGATGCTGAATTAAATGCAAATTAATCCATTAGCAATAATTCAAGCCTTTTTAGTCCCTTTTACATAATTTTTCAAAATGCTTCTCGTGAACCCAAAAGGCTTCCATAGCCTTGGCAACTCATGACTAGAGCCTAGGGAGATTACTGACGCCATAAACAAGAGTGTCAAATTGTTAAGTCAACAACAGGAGTCACTGTATACTTACTGCTCATGTGGGATCTGTCCTTAATGTGTTGTCCAATGTGAAGTAATGCTATAACCAGTACTGAAACAGTATTTTTACACTTTGTATTTCTGTGTGGATGCACACTGATGAAATCTTTACTTAATATATACTGGAATCGATCTTCTGCATATAAAGATAATTGAAAATGAATCTTGATGCGAATGGAATGGGAGAGGGAGCCGGAGATGGGAGGAGTGCGAGTGGGAGGGAAGTTATGGGGGGGGAGCCATTGTAATCCATAAACTGTACTTTGGAAATTTATATTTACTAAATAAAAATAAATAAATAAAAAATAATTTAAAAAATAAAAAATGCTTCTCAGCAATTGAAATATGAAAAATAATGAAATAACTGAGATTTTCATGTTAAGTTGCTCTGTTAGAGGTGGCATTAATCCATGTCTAACCACTTGTAGACACGTTCATTTTCAGTGTGTCAGCTTGCTGATTATGGACAACTGGAAGCATCTAGAAGGAGAGGGGCCTTTTGCTTTCTTATCTAGGTTCTGCAGAACTGCAATGATCTAGCACACGTCACATCTTTCCTATCTGATTAGTGGTATTTTATGTTCAAAAGAAAAATAAAATCTCTGGCAAATTGCTCTCCAAAAATGAAATACAATCATCAGCTTGACAGTGACCTAGTGCCCTACGATTGGTGTTGGACAGCATGTGCTAACCTAGTTTAGTTTCTGTTATCACCATGTCCCATTGCAGCACACGTTTGTGATCAGAAAGGAAAGTCTTACCAAGTTTTGCTGGAGTTTTAAGGCCTTGTATTAGAGATTAATTCAAGCAGAATAACGCCGGACATGGAAGTAGGGAGGGGTATTTTCTTTTCAATAACCTTGTTTTGTTTTTCTCCTTTGTGTAAGCAGCAATGAAACCTTATAGTCTGGATATCTTTGAAGACCAATTATACTGGGTATCTAAGGAGAAGGGAGAAGTGTGGAAACAAGATAAATTTGGGCAAGGAGAGAAAGAGAAAATGCTGGTCGTGAACCCCTGGCTTACTCAAATTAGAATATTTCATCAACTCAGATATAACAAGTCAGGTAGGTAGTCACCAACTTTGGGGTAAGATGTTTCTGATTATCTGGAAAGCTTACTTCAAAATAATGGCTATATTGTTGGAAAGTGGCATTATAATAGGCTAATTTCTTAGTGCATAAAAGGGGTGTGTGTGTGTGTGTGGTTTAACAATTTTGACCAAAGAAAGATAAAATTGGAGGTTGAATGACATTATACAAGCCATCAGCAGATGAAAAGCAAAAGCATTTCCTTCCTCATTGTTGTCTGAAGTTGAGGAAATACATTTCTGAGCCACAGAGTCCAGCAGGCAACATGCCCCTGCCAAGTGCTGAGTTAACAGGTCACAGAATGGTTTCATGGGCATCAGATATCTTACTCATTACTGATATTACCTGAGATATGTGGACCTGAGTTCAAAACTGCCAGTCATAGACATTTCTGCTTCCTCCCCTCTTCTCATGTCCTTCGATCTGGGTTCTGCTTCATCTGGTTGCCTATGTTCTAATTGCCCATGTTCTAACAGTGTTTGGAGCAAAATGCAAGGGAAGGGCAGTTTTTGACATGAGGCAAGGAAACACTCTTTACCAAGTTCTGTATGTTGGGTCTCTCTTTAATATTCACTCGTATGTTTGTTACTTCAATTAATCTTCTCCAAAACCTTATAAAGAGATTTTATTCTCATCTCAGATAAGGAAATGGAGATTAAGAGAGATTTAATATCTTGAGTGCTTAAGTGGCACAGCTAATGTATGAGTTTTATGCTCAGAAATGATTTTTAAGGATTTATTTGTTTATTTGAAAGTCAGAGTTACACAAAGAGAGGAGAGGCAGAGAGAGAGAGAGAGAGAGAGAGAGAGGTCTTCCATCTGATGGTTCACTCCCCAGATGGCTGCAACGGTCAGAGCTGCACCCATCCAAAGCCAGGAGCCAGGAGCTTCTTCCTGGTCTCTACTGCTTCTTCCATCTTCTACTGCTTTCCCGGGCCATAGCAGAGAGCTGGATTGGAAGTGGAGCAGCCGGGTCTCGAACCGGCGCCCATATGGGATGCCAGCACTTCAGTTCAGGGCATTAACCTGCTGCACCACAGCGCCGGCCCCAGAAATGATTCTGAAGTTTAAGTTTGTCCAACCCAAGCTCAGCGTCTTTCTTTTCTGGTTCAATAGTCAACATGCTGAGTTCCAGGTTGAACTGCCTTCCCATCCCTCTATTGGGAATCAAGGGTAGAGCCCGAGGTCCTCTTAAGTCCACTGATACTCTGAGACCCCAAGACAGCCGAGGCAGATTGCAGCTCAGAGCTGAGAAGCCCGGATTAGAGGAGTGGCGAATGTCTTTGCCGAGGAGTAGCTCCTCTGTGGCCGGCAGTGTTTGCCCCTGCTCAGCCCCTCTACACAGCATTCCAGATCCTACCAACACAGCAGCGCTGTGTTCTGCAGCTCCCAGCCCCAGGTGGGGCCCCCGCCAGCCGCCAGCCGCCAGCCTCCATGGAGAAGGCAGAGAAAAGTCTGGAGGCTTCTGAAAAGAAAAGCATCTCAGCCCGTGGTTGCTGTGGGCCCCCTCTGGAAAGTGCTGGTGAGATGCAGCCCAGAGCCCCAGCCCAGGCTGCTGGCTCTCATATTTCAGCATGCATCTGAGGCATCCGGGACGCTTATTGAATATGGGTTGGTGGGCCCTCCTGTGGTGTTCATGTAACATGCCCGATGTGGCCTAGGAATATGCATTTCTAACAAGTCGCCAGATGCTGCTGTGGGTTCCGGGATCATCTTTGAGAAGCACGGCCCCCGTCCCTTGCTCCTCACAGTGTGGGCTGTGGAACAGAGGCCTCGGCATCCTATAGGAGCTGATTAGTAAGGCGGATTCTTGGGCCCCACCCCGGATCCTCTGAATGTAAATCTGAATTTTTAGCAAGACTCCCCAGGTGATTTGTACCACATCAAAGTTTAAAAAGCTCTGCTCTAGAGAGCTGACAAGATGCTAATGAGGCAGCATTTGAATGACGCGCTTGGAAGATTTCTTATAATTTTATAGCCATGCCTTGGCTATGACTACATTTTGGATAATGGAGAATCAGGATTACAGAAGGTTAACCCAAGAAGGAATTTAGAGATCGTCTAATGCAGTGTAATCCTTGGGTAAATCGTAATGTGTGCTAAGGTAGACTTCAGAAGGTTCTGAAATTACCTGAGGTACTTTTATTAATAATGCTTGAGCTCCACCCCAGAATTTTTTTTAAATGACTTGTCTTTTAATTCCATTTTCTATGAACTTTTTTTCAAAAAAAGATTTGTTTATTTATTTGAAAGGCAGAGTTACAGAGAGAGGCAGAGAGAGAGAGAGAGAGAGAGAGAAAGAGGTCTTCTATTTCTATCTGCCGGTTCACTCCCCCAAATGGCCACAATGGCAGGAGCTGGGCCGATCCAAAGCCAGGAGCCTGGAGCTTCTTCCAGGTCTCCCACATGGATGCAGGGGCCTAAGGACTTGGGCCATCTTTCACTGCTTTCCCAGGTGCATTAGCAGGGAGCTGGAGTGGAAGCAGAGCAGCTGTTTCGAACTGGTGTCCACATGGGGTGCTGGCACTGTAGGAGGTAGCTTTACCCACTATGCCACAGCGCTGGCCCCACCTCACAGGAATTTAAACCTGAGCTTCTGTGAATAGCTTCCAGGTGATTCTGATGAATCATAGCTTTAAATTCCATTTTTTAAAAAAATATTTATTTATTTATTTATTTGGAAATCAGAGTTACACAGAGAGAGAAGGAGAGGCAGAGGCAGAGAGAGAGGTCTTGCATCCACTGGTTCACTCCCCAATTGGCCCCAACGGCCGGAACTGCACTGATCCAAAGCCAGGAGCATGGAGCTTCCTCCAGGTCTCCCATGTGGGTGCAGAGGCCCAAGGACTTGGGTCATCTTCTACTGCTTTCCAGGCCTTAGCAGAGAGCAGGATCAGAAGTGGAGTTGCCAGGACTCAAACCAGCACCTGTATGGGATGCCAGCACTGCAGGCAGCAGCTTTACCCGTTACGCCACAGTGCCAGCTCCTTAAATTCCCTTTTCTTAGAAATAAGGAAATTGAAGCCCAAAAGAAAATTCTCCTCATAGAGATGGAGTGGAAATCATACCCAGTAATATGCTTTGAATAGACCATGTATTGTGATCTATCTAGATTTGGGGAATGACAAATCTTGATACAATACTGGGATCTTACTGGTCCTTTGAGCCATCTTAAGATGCTTAGTATTGATTGGGTTATTTTATGGTTGGGCAATGAACCAGCTAGTTACTTTCTGAACCTTCCAGGGGATAGAGGAAATGCATGGCACCAATAGGAAATGTGAGTTACAGAACTGGGACAGAGGGCCCAGGGAGGGACTGTGTCTCTCTGTTGTGGGTGGCTGTGATGGGTGTGTATGTGCAGGTGATAACCAGGTAACAAGTGGCCTGGAAGTGTTGGGGTGCTGCCGCTGGGGCTCAGCTGATGGCGCTTTATTGGGCTATTCATTCTCTTGTCCTAACTGCTGCTTTCATGTGCTTTCCAGTGGCCAACCCTTGCAAACAAGTATGCAGCCACCTCTGCTTGCTGAGACCTGGAGGATACAGCTGTGCCTGTCCCCAAGGCTCCAACTTTTTAAAGGGGAGCACCACTGAGTGTGACGCAGGTAGGGGCACTGCCTGGGCAGCCAAGGTTGCCTTCAGGGACCTGAAGAATCCCTGTGTGCTGGGTCCTTTCAATGCAGAGTGGGGATGGCTAAAAGGAGGGACAAGAGATACGGGGAGCATAAACAGAACTGAGTAGGATGTAAGGGGCCAAACAGAACTTGCTATCCCACGATTCTTGAAATTTATTTGCTAAGATCTGCAGTGATAAAGATGCAGTATCCCTAAGTCTGTGGCTGTGTTGTTGTATAAAGACATTTCAAAGAGTGAGTTTTCTGTGAGACCTCCCCTTCCTTCCCTCACTCTGCACTGGGCTCCTGGCACCCCAGAGTCCGCTCAGCCATTCTAGAGCTTCTCAAGGTGGAGAACCATGTTCCCGAGGTGGGAGGGGTGAGCCAGGCTTGAGGATGTTCACTGTTCTTCTCATCTGCTCATTTCAAAGTCGAGACAACCAAAAAAAAGGGCTATGTTTTGCAAAGCATTTTATGTGGCTGCAAGATAAATGCTGGAATAAGGAAGTCAGTTTCATTCTCATCCCCAATTCTGTGGATGATCCATTCATGGCAGAACCTTTTTATCAATGACTCTTTTAAATTAAAGAATTAGTATGTCATGAGGAATAACTACGTGCCTCTAACTAGTACCCTTTGCTTTATAAGTACACTTTTAAGAAAATCCTGTAATTCATTAGTTGCCCATTTGATGGCTAAGCATCCTTGGGGCCTTCCCCAAATTTTAGATGATGGGAAAATGAAGGGGCTTAACCACCTTCTCCCACCAGGGGGAGCATGATGGTAAACAAGGAACCAGCCTCTGACTCACCCCAACCAGACAGCAAAGTGGGCAAGTTTAAAGAATGAACTCAAGATGAAAAAAATGACTTCCCGTCTCATTTCTTCCCTCCCCGCCGCACTCATTCCACTGCTACTGGGGAAATATTGCCTGTATTCCAATATTCTCAACAATATTCCGAACAGGATGATAGTTCAAGCTTTTGAGACGTGTTCTGTGCTATAAATGAAGCTTTCTGACTTATTGCAATTTCATATTGTAGCAGAGTTGCTGTCTAAGTTGTTATCACCCTTTAATTTTTTCCAAGTGATTTTTTAAAAGATTTTCATCAAAGCAAACACATTAATGATGGTAGCCATTCATGGTTTGGTATGTTAATCAATTAGTTCTGTTAGTATTTATTGAATGCCTACTATGTGCTAGGTAATGTTTTAAGTGCTGAAGATATTGGAAGTGAACAAAATAGACTACCCTCTGCTCTCGTTAGCTTATGTTTAATAGGATAATAAATAGAGAAACCAATAAATATATAATAGGTCAGGTGGTGAAGAAGACTAATAATGCAGGGTAAGAGGAATGAATATAAGGTGAGTGGGGTTGCTTTTTCAGGTGGAGTGTTCAGGGAAGGCTTCTCTGATACAGCAAATTTTGTGTAGAGGCACAAATTGAAAGACTGAGCCAAGAAGCTGTCCCAATTCCATAAACAAAATCTTCCAAGTATAGCACTGTGAAGCACTAATGGCCATGAGGCACATCCAGGGAGCAGGTGGTGCCGGAGCTGGGAGCAGAGACCCAGTGTAAGGGCAACTTGGGAGGAAAGAAATTGAGGATCTCTCTGGCTGTCTATCTAGTGTCTGTGTGTCTGTCTGTTGATTGATTGCTGATGCTTTAGACTCCTTAGCTGAAGGTTCAAGATGTGCCTAAATTAAATTATTGACCTCAACTGGGTTCATGAGGGGAGAATTCTGAAAACTCAAATGAAAACCTGAATGCCTTAAGATATTCTTTACCACAAGGTTCTTTTAACTATTCATCCCTGCTCTGGAGTCTAGCACCTCTTCACTGTTTAAGGGGAGATGCTATAAACTGCCTCTTTCTTTCCACTAAATGTACATGACCCCCAAGACCTTCTTATTGGGAGGGAAATTTGTCTGACTCTGGGGGAAGGTGATGTGTTTACAGGGAGACTACTGATCTGGCCTGCCCCTGTAGCCACTGCAGCCCTGGGCAGGTTTGCATGGTGTGGGTGCTCTGCTGAGTGCGGCCGACTAACACATGCATGGCTTTCCCTTTCTGCAGCCATCGAACTTCCCATCACCATGCCCCCCCCATGCAGGTGTATGTACGGAGGAAGTTGCTATTTTGATGAGAATGATCTGCCCAAATGCAAGTAAGTCTAAATGTTGAGGTCGAGCTGTAGGCTTTGCCTCTTCTGCGGGAATTGGAGACCTGAAAGTAGCCAAGAAAACAAGTGTAGGAACCTGGCTGGTTCACTAATTTCACATTTTAACCAGCTTGCCCCTTGGGGAAGGCAGCAGTAAACTAGTGCAGTGTGCATAAGAATCTCCTGGGGATGTGGTTAAAATGCCCAGTCATAAGGATCTCCTGGAGCATGTTTTGGGGGTAGGGAGTTAGAGAAATGGCAGGAGCATCATCCGACTCCCCTGAGCTCGTTGAGGCCAGTGGGACTGTGGGAGAACAGCCGTCCACAGAGCTGCTTTTAGGGGGAGGCCTCCACGATGAGCAAAGCCTGGGCTGAAGATTTGGCGAACAGACAACTGAGAAGGCTCTGACACGGGGCGAGATAAACAGGTGCCTTTGCAAAGTGTTTAATGAAAGCAGTTCAAAGGAAGGAACACAAACGTGGTTTCCATTTTTCACTCTCCGTAAGAAAGAATTCCATAAATTAGAGAAGGCATCAGTAGGTTGCTTTGGTGGGACTGGCCCTGTCAAGCCATTGCTCCTCCACTAGAGTGAGTTTCTCAGCCAGGCCACTGTTGATCCTTCTTGTCATCTCTTGACAAAACAGAGGTTGTGTAGGATGCGTTGCATGTCTAATTTTTTTTTTAATTTCTTTTTATTTATTTGAAAGACAGAGTTAGAGAGAGAGGTCTTCCTTCTGCTGGTTCTCCCCAAATGGCCGCAATGGCTGGAGATGAGCCTATCTGAAGCCAGGAGCCAGGAGCTTCTTCCGGGTCTCCCATGCAGGCACAGGGACCCAAGGACTTGGGCCATCTTCTGCTGCTATCCCAGGCCATAGCAGAGAGCTGGCTCGGAAGAGAAGAAGCTGGGACTAGAACTGGCGTCCATATGGGATGCCAGTGCTTTGGGCCAGGGCTTTAACCCGCTGCCCCACAGCACTGGCCCCAACATGTCTAATTGTAAAGTCCTTGACCGAAGCACTCTCGCATCTCTGGCTTTGCTTATGAAACTGCAGCAGAGCCCAACAAGGCAGCAGGCTAGTGAATGGTTCTCCTTTTACTTTCAGATGTGCCAGTGGCTACACCGGACAGTATTGCGAAATAGGGTTTTCCAAGGGCATCCCTCCAGCAACAAGTAAGTTTTAAGACTATCAGCAACCTGGAAGTACCCATGGTACTTTCCATTTTGTTTTTATTTGATGACAATGTGTAGGAAGAGAACTGTTTTTTTCTTAGCATCATATAATTTCCACCAATGTATTCCAATGCTGGACTACACAGTGATTTAGAGTCAGTATTGATTCAAAATGTGGCTCTGCCACCTTCTAAGTATGTAATAATAGCACACAGCTTGGTTGCCCCCCACCCTCAGGAGAATGCTGTTATTTGTTGATTTATCCGATTTGGCCCAGTCTTGGCAGAATGAAGGCTTGTAGCCTTCAGCTTCTCCAGAGGTCGACATTTGTTGGCTCTTTCCCCGCTCACTGCTTCTGTGTCTTCCATAGCGGCCATGGCTGTGTTGCTGACAATTCTCTTGATCGTCATCGTCGGAGCCCTGGCAACTGTAGGATTTTTCCACTATAGGAAGACCGGCTCTCTTCTGCCAGCTCTGCCCAAGCTGCCAAGGTTGGTTACAGCATGTAGGATAGTAAGTCTAGAAGCCTGTGTGATGTGATCAGGTGAATAACCTGATTTTTTTAATTTTTATTTTTAAGTTAAAAGTAGAGCAGGCAGTTCCTGTCTTCTGCAGGAACAAAGATTAGGAAGGGTCGAAAGCTTTCATTCCAAATCACAGTTTCTTCATCAACGGCTTTGCTGAGGCCTGAGGGACAAGTCATGTTTTGCAGTCCTAATGGCTGTGCCTGCTGCTGCCTGCTCAGGTCAGGCTAGAGAGCTCAGCCGGCTGTGTGATGGCTGGCGGCATTCCTGCAGGCCCCCATCTCCTACATCCAGGGATGTGCTTTAACGTTTCCAGGAAGCTGAGGGAACTCAGCCTCGCATTTGACTCAGAGTGGGAACTGAGCATTGCATTTCAGCAAGGTACAGCCGCGTGGAGGAAAGATCTGCATTTCAGTAAGATACAACAGGCTGAACAAAAAATAAGACACTGTTTCCGTGGCTTTCTTCCAGCTTAAGCAGTCTTGTCAAACCTTCTGAAAATGGAAATGGGGTGACCTTCAGGTCAGGGGCAGATGACAACATGGAAATTGGTGTATCTGGTTTTGGTCCTGAGTCTGCTATTGACGGATCAGTGTCATTGGTGAGTGGGGTTTAAGATGGTTATTTCAAAGTTGTCATTTTTTACTATTTTATAGAAGAAATATTTCTTATCAAGAATGAAATTAACCTGGGGAATGTTGAAATACCTTGATACACCATATAACTGTCAGAGTAAAGTCTGTGCTGCATAGATCAAATTGGGAAACCTGAGATTTATTGCAGAAATAGGTCTAAAAGTATTGGTAGCATTAGTAATAAAGTTAAAACTCATACCTACTTCCCTGGCCCTAAGCCACACTGCTGCATTAGAATCATAAACAGTCTTAAATATTAAACTTTCATTTTTTAGTGGTGTAGAGGGAGATACAATATTTTGTTTTTATTTGATGACAATGTGTAGGAAGAAAACTGTTTTTTTCTTAGCATGATATAATTTCCACCAGTGTATTCCAATGCTGGACTATACAGTGATTTAGAGTCAGTATTGATTCAAAATGTGGCTCTGCCACCTTCTAAGTGTGTAATAATAGCACACAGCTTGGTTGCCCCCACACTCACTGTCTCCATCTGTAAGATGGGTACAGTAATCCTCTGTGTGAGGCCCACATGGGTTATTTTGTGAGGGGATCAACAAGTCTCTGTAATCATTATAGGGAAGCTACTTTGAGTATTTTGTTCTTCCCCCAAATCTGTCATTGTTAGCTGTGCCTGCAAGTTCAGTGTCATGCATTCTTTCTCCTCTCCCCCTCTCCTATTCTTTTCCTTCTTGCCCTTCTTCCGACATTACCCTCTTCTCTTTTGTCCAGACCCACTCCCCAAGTTATTTGCATTATAGGACCGTAGAGAGTTTGGATATAGGAAACGAGTTTCTGTTTTCTTGTTCTAATGACCTAGTGCCTTTATGTTACCTTAGAGATGTGTCATGTGGGGCCCCTGTGTCTCTGCTGGTGTGTGTGTGTTGCGATGGGAGTGTTTGTGCTTGTGTGACGATCTCTAAGCTTTCATCTTTGGGGAAACTTTGTCACAGCACCCAGAAAACTTCCAGGGGTGAGGAAGGCACCTCCCTGTGTGTGTGCGAACTGGATCCATACAGTGTGATCTCTCGATCTTTCTCTCTCTTCCCCTCCCCCACCAGAGTGACCACTTTGCCATGGAGCTGGGGAAACAGCCTGTAATATTTGAAAACCCCATGTACGTGACCAGAGACTGTGCCGTGAAAGTGGTTCTGCCTGCCGAGGTGAGACGGCACACAGCTCTTTGTTTCCGTGGTCGCTGCTGCTGGGTCTTACTCTCCCCAGCGTGTCTGCGGCGGAGTCTCCGAACCTCTCCAAGTGGGGAGTGCTCCATGCCTCAGCCCCGCCGCCTGCAGGGCTGACCTGACCACTTGACCTGAAAACAGCGGGAATCCTGTTTTTCTGCTCAGTTGTTGAGGCTTGAAGCCTCGCTGGGGCTGATCATTCTGCATCATTCTGAGTCTCATTCTGAGTGGCAGGTGTGTGAGTCCCTTCAGACGTCTGGTAGACTCAGTGCCAGCATCCCATATGGGCGCGAGTCCTGGCTGCTCCTCCTCCGATCCAGCTCTCTGCTGTGGCCTGGGAAAGCAGTAAAAGACGGCCCAAGTCCTTGGGCCCCTGCACCCACGTGGGAGACCCAGAAGAAGCTCCTGGCTTCAGATCTGTGCAGTTCTGGACTTTGTGGCCATTTGGGGAGTGAACCAGCAGATGGAAGATCTCTTTCTCTCTCTCTCTCTCTTTTTCTGCCTCTGCCTCTCTGTAAATCTGCCTTTTAATTAAATAAATAAATCTTTTAAAAAACTCATTTGTCTGAAAGAGAGAGATTGATTGATTCAATCTTCAACCACGCTGTTTCACTCCCTAAAGGCATGTAACGGCCCAGGCTGAGCAAGACCAAAGCTGGGAGTCTGAACCTCCATCTGGGTCTTCTACCTCATTGGCAGGGACTTAACTACTTGAGCTATTGTCTGCAGCCTCCCAGGGTGTGCATTAGCAGGGAGCTAAAAATGGAAGCAGAGCTGGAATTCAAACCCAGGCACTCCCATTTGGAATGTGGGTGTCCTAAATGTATCTTAACTGCTGGGACAAACACCTGTCCCTACAAATAGCTTTCTTAGAAGCAGAAATATTTGAATCTTGAAAGTATTTTGCTAGCAGGTAGCAAAAATGTACTCACATGCTAAAACAGCTAGGCTGTTTCTTTTGGCTTTTTCACCTGAAATAAAATGAGGCCATGTATAGAAACACATCCAAACTTGAGAAAAAAGCAAACTGATGAATACAGAAGTATAGGAGAATGTGGGAGTTATCTGCCCTATAATTTATTAATTACTTATTCATGGAAATTTGGATTTAAGAGGGAACTGTGGAATTCCATGCATGTTACAGAAAAATGTGTAGAAAAGTATTAATTCTATTATGCCGATGGCTTCAGAAATTCAATGTCTTTTACGTAGTCCGCTGAGATTTCAGAGTTTTGCTCTTAACATCCAAAGATGGGATTCTCAGTTCACCATTATGTTTGGGGAATTATTCATGGCATTCTTCTAGTAATTGGCTGCTGATAGACATCCAGAGTATCATTTGTTCAAAAATATGGTGATTGGTGGGTGTAAGGAGGCATAGAAAATACAACAGAAATTGTTAGTATTAAGTGAGTGTGCTCAATGAGAGACGCATTTGCTTTCCAGGATTAAGGCATGAGATGACTTAGTGGCCAATGCCCAGGATGTTAGGGAGTGAGGAATTAGTTTAGTCCTGGGCTGCGGGATCGGCTCAAAGAATAAAAACCATGTCCATCCGTGTTGGTGGAAAACAGACCCAAAGAGCTGATAGCAAACTGTAGCAGTGTACTTACTGCTGGATTCTTTCAAAACTGGATAAGGGCCTTCAATGTGTTCGCAGGCGGTGGTAGCTGGAAATGTGGATGCCAAGAACTATGAAAGTCCCACAAACCCCCCTGAGACAAGTCCAGGGACAACGCCAGTGTCTCCGGGTGCTGCTGGGATTCAGGTAACAATGTCTGACTCCAGAAATTTTGTGAGATTTGGAAAGAATGCTGAGATTGGTGGGTTGATATAAATCCTAGGTAAACTGGGTAGACCTCAGCAAGCTCACAGATCCCAAGATGTGTAAGCAGATAATAAAGATAATTTTTAAAAAGCATAGATTGAGAAATTTTCTAACAAATGGCGCTATATTCTAACACTGAGTTGTGAAGAATGCAGTTTTTCTGCTGTACTTGTCATGTGTTTTTTGGTGTGTGTTTTATAATTTTTAATTTTTAATTAGTCCTTAAAAGATTCAATGTGATTTGTGGATACAATTCTAAGAACATGACATTCCTTTCTCCCTCCCTCCCTCCTTCCCTTATCTCCCTCTTGCCTCTTTCCTCCCCCCCCCCACCTTTTTTTAGTTTTTGAGATAGCATATTTTAAAATTAGTTTTTGAGATAACGTATTTTAAAATTGCATTACAGTAAAAAGGCTTAATACTTCACTGAATAAGAAGTTTAACAAGTAAAAAGCAAAAAGACCCTAGTTTAGTGGGAGTATAGACAATGGCTATAAATGATAATTGAATGGAAAAATGTGTGTCATGTGTCTACTCCCTTATATAAGGCACATTGTTTAAGGCATTGTTGCTGTTAGCTGTACTTACCACTAGATGGCACAGGTTTACACCCACGTCATCTATCCTATCTGTCCATCATTCACTTAATTGTCCAACCAATCATGCAACCAACCATTACTGCTCTCAATGTGCCAGGCACAGTGCTTGCTATTGAGAGTAAAAGAAAAAAATTATCACTTGGTGGAGTTTCTGTGGAATGACTTTAGGCCTTTTTCAATTTGTAGGGTCCATTTGTTATACAACTCAATGTTAATGGCTAATATGTTATTAGTTTTAATGGATAAATACATGCAGCCATCCGAGATCTAGCTATTTGATTTTGTACAAACCATTTTACCTCTGGACGATGGTGTTCCTCATTGAAGATACTATCAGCATATTGAATGAGACAATTATTTTTGCTACAAAATTGTCCTGTGCACTAAAAGGCATTTCAGTATTCCTGGTCCCTGTCCACTAAATTCCAGTGGCATCTTCCCCAAGCATACTCATGTACACACTCCTGGTTGAAAACAATGGGCTCTGGAATGTCTCAGTTCTAAAGTTCTCTGACTATTTTTGGTCAGTAATGTAAACAAAAGCCTAAGGGTATTTAGAAACTTTATCATTTTATAAAGCTTTATTCCTTAAGTTGCACAGTCCACAAGTGCAATTGGCACTGGCAAAGTTAACTTGGAAGTCTCATTAGATTTTTAGCCGTGAACCACTTCAGACATTGGCTCCTGTTCTGCTTGTTTGGGTCAAAATACAAATGTATTAGCTAAACTGATGCCAAGTGGAAGAGCTTATATCTAAGGTCTGTGTCTCCCTTTTAATAATCCTTTACTTCTTTCTTCTACACAAAATTTCCACTTGGTATTTTTCAAGGGAGCAAACTTTTTTTCTTCAAGCTACATTAATTTTTAAGATTTACTCATTTATTTGGAAGGCAGAGTGACAGAGGAAGAGATAGAGAGAGAGCTTTCATCTGCTGGTTCACTTCCCAAATGCCTGCAACAGGGGGATTAGGCCAGGCCAAAGCCAGAAACCAGGAGCTCCATCTGGGTCTCCCGTGTGGGTGGCAGTAGCTCATATCCTTGGGCTGTCATCTGCTGCCTCCCAGGTGCATCAGTAGGGAACTGGGTCAGAAGTGTGGAGTAAGTGGACTCCTGGCTTCGACCTGGCCTGGCCTCAGCTGTTGCAGGCATTTGGAGAGTGAACCACAGTTTGAAAAATCTCTCACTCTCACTCTCTTTCTTACTCTGCCTTTCAAATATAAATAAACCTTAAAGAAAAAAAAAAAAAAAAGATCACCCTAGGTTGCCATTCATGTGCCCACGAGTATCACAGAATTATCTTTCATCAGTAAATAGGCCGAGGACTCAAAGTTAGGAACATGAACTCCTAAGACTGAGTTCCATGGTTCTCTAAATTCGCATTAATCTGCATGGAATCTCAAGGAGATATCAGCAAAAGCCCCCACACTGTTTCTCTTGTTAGGAGGCACTTCATTTCCAGGAGCAATTCCATACTGAAGCAATGACTTTGCAGAGTTCAGGGCTTCCCTGCTTAACTGGAAGATCCAGAGTCAGGGCTCTGGCTCCATGTCTTCATCTTCCCCTTGGAGGCACCATGGACAGAGCAGGTCCTTGTTTAAACGTGAGCTAGCGTGAATGGCCTCTTACACTTAGCCTATAGCCACGTGCTCGCTACTCCTTCACTTGTGGGTCCTGTACTTTCACAGAGTATAATACACTGCATACAATGTGTGGGTTCCCTGGTCTCCTGCCAGGTTCCTATCCTGCAGCCAGAGCTGTGGCCAGCATTGCTGGCAGCTTTGCAGCTAGGTGAGGGCTGCCAGCTGTCATGGAGGGTAGTTTGTGCTGTCCCTTGAGTGGTCATTCCCTGCCCTTTCGCCTACAGTGTAGCTCTTTGCTCCTGCTGTGCCTCAGCCTCTATCAAGTAGGGGTAATAAGAGCACCCACCTAAAGGGGTTGCTGAGAGGATTAGATCAGACACTTGCAAAACTCTTAGAATAATCCCTGACATGTAGTGAGCACTCAAGACTGTGCGCTGTTTTAACTCTTGTCATTATGATTACAGGAGGAAATGATGAAGGGAGAAAGGCCATTCCTGAACTGAACAAGAATCAAGACTTTGTTTTAGGAAACAAGAGTTAAACTCAGCCTTTTCTTTTTTTTTAACTTTTATTTAGTAAATATAAATTTCCAAAGTACAGATTACAATGGCTCCCCCCCATAACTTCCCTCCCACTCGCACTCCTCCCATCTCCCGCTCCCTCTCCCATTCCATTCACATAAGATTCATTTTCAATTATCTTTATATACAGAAGATCGATTCAGTATATATTAAGTAAAGATTTCATCAGTTTGCATCCACACAGAAATACAAAGTGTAAAAATACTGTTTCAGTACTAGTTATAGCATTACTTCACATTGGACAACACATTAAGGACAGATCCCACATGAGGAGTAAGTACGCAGTGACTCCTATTGTTGACTTAACAATTTGACACTCTTGTTTATAGTGTCAGTAATCTCCCTAGGCTCTAGTCATGAGTTGCCAAGGCTATGGAAGCCTTTTGAGTTTGCCGACTTCAGTCTTATTCAGGCAAGGTCATAGTCAAAGTGGAAGTTCTCTCCTCCCTTCAGAGAAAGGTACCTCCTTCTTTGATGGCCCGTTTTTCTTTCTGTTCTCCAGTAGCCCCAGAAAGCTCTTAGGTGTCTTGGTCTTAATGCATTCCATCTGTATGGAAGTAGCCAGAGTGAGCTGCCTGTCAAAGCTTCTAGACTCAGTGGGTACAGATTTATAAACTGTGAACTTCAAATCAAGGATGTGTTTTGAGATCATTAGGTGAAAACCATGCAAAGTCTCAGTTATGGTTCCAGGGCCATAGAAAGAGGTGAACAGGTGATTTCCTCGGCCAGGTCCCACATTCCTAGGTCCCAAATGGTTTGGTCCTTTCAGTGAGAAGAAATTTTAAAACCTAGACAAGGAGAAAAGTAACCCACAAAAAATTCCTTTGCTGAAGTTTTTTTGGTTTGTTTTCCTCTTTCCTTTAGGTACCAAGATGGAATATCTTCAAACGAAAGCCGAAACAAACCACCAACTTTGAAAACCCAATCTATGCAGAGGTAATTTTTAGCTATTTTCCTTAGCACAGGCATTGTTCACTCTAGATCATTTGCTTGGCTAAAGTGGACGAGCATTCAGATTTTTCTGAGCCAGCTGGCCAAGATGAATCTTCGTACCAAATTGTTTCTGGTTGTGTTGAGGAAATAAATGGCCAATTTCTGCCTCATTGTGGTTTCAGATGGACAACGAGCAAAAGGAAGGGGATGCTGGGGCCCCACCTCCATCACCATCTCTCCCTGATAAAATTTCTCCAAAAAGAGACCCAACGCCCGGCTACACTGCAACAGAAGACACTTTTAAAGATACCGCAAACCTTGTGAAAGTTGTTAAAGAAGACTCTGAGGTATAGCCACGCCAGCTGTTTAGGGAATCATTAGAAACACATTTTTGCACATGTATTTTTTACAAACAGAAAAAATAAGTCCACATTCAGTACTTTATAAAAATATATTTTTCTCTGCCTACAGTTGGAAGTGTCTTGTGTGTCTTTTTTTTTTTACTTATGCCATTTCCTATTTTTACAAATAATTACCACAATGTACTATATGTATATCTTTGCACTGAAGCTATCTGAAGGCAATGCTATAAATATATTGTACATTTGTAAATTTTGGAAAGATTATCACATCATTGAATCTGCTAATAAAAATATCTGTTGAATTGGTTGGTGATTGTTAAAATAAATGATCCAGTGAGGAAAGGAATTGACTTGACGGCCTTTAGCTGTGCCTGGCAAAGAGGCATCACACATATTTCCTTTGGAAGTATCCAGGGAAGGAACCCAGACACTATTCTCTGGTCCATTCCTACACACCAGCACTTAATGAATGTTCAATATTACATTTCAACTTGACTAATGGGTGTCTTGCTAGAGGCCACGATGTGTTGTATAGACATTTGGGGTTGATGGTAGATGCCTCAGATAGCAGGTAGAAAAAGCAGTTCAACTCCACTCTCTGCATGTTTGTGTTGTCTGGCCAGAGCACTCTACTTGGCATGTGTCCTCTCGCTGTTGAGTCAACTTCTGTGTTTGTAACATCTCTGAAGAAATGCCATGTCATGAAGTACAGGTGTCCTAGAGCAAGGGCACCTTGCTATATTTAGTAGAATGTGTTTAGTAGAATGAGCTCTTTCCCCATGTGGACCATATAGCCACTCATGCCCTTGCCCGACAACTCAGGTGGTCACTTACTCCAGTAAGTGGGACTTGGTAGCTGAATTACTAAAACCAAATCTGTGTCTTCATAAAGTAAGGTGCAACACAAATACCAGTTAAGTGAAGCCTCAACTGGGTTTTTGTTTCTGTGTGTGAAATGAACATTTTAATGACTATTTATTTCCAAAGTTGAACACGAATAGAAAGGGAAGTCATTCTTATTGAGCCTTTTTTAGATCCTTTGCCTACATCTGTACATTTGTATCACAATGTACTGTACAGCCCTGCCCCTCTCTGGAATAGTCGGTAGTCTCCACAGCGGGATCCAGGCAGGAAAACACAGCTGCCATAGCACGTAGCTTTCCCGGCTCTCTGTGCTAGTCTTGCACATTTGTTAAACAATGAATGAGTGGTTGGATGGATGGATGAATGAAACATGTACTACTGATTATTTTATCCCTGAGTTCTCAAGATATTTTTTGCTGCTCATATTTTGAGTGCTGATTGTAATTACTTTGAAATGTACTTTGATTAGAAAAGCAACTGGAAATGATGCTGCTGAAAAATTTCTAATAAATGTGTATTTTATCAGATGTCTCCCGTGTGCTTCTTAAGCCCTCGTTGTGAGTCAGTTGCATTTGGCTATGTAGAAAGCTTGAGTGCTTTTTTTGTCACATCAGTTTTGTACTACTTATTCCTGGAAGCAAATCTAGACCATTTCTTTGAAAACGAATGAGTCTCTGTATTAATTTTTATTTTGGCCATGATATCCTGTAATAAGTGGTAGAAAAGCAATCAAACAGGTCTCCAGAAACCAACAGATGTCAGAGTCTGGCCCAGCCAGTGCCCAGTGGTCAGCAGTCTCTGTGTGCTCTCCCTGGCTAATGCAGACCAGAGAGGAAAGGGACATGTTCCTGTTCCTCCGATAACCAGTGTTCCTCTCATTAGAGTCATTTGTCAAGAACACAGTGTCCCAACTCATTACTTTCTGCACAGGGGCCAGGCCCTCCTAGCCTGTAAGCTGTTAATCTCTCTGAGCTTCAGCTGCTGCTTCTGCTGAGTTGGTTGTGTGAGTCGAATGTGAAAAATGTGTGTAGAGTGTAGCACAGTGCCTTGCATAAAGTAAGACATGATCGTTAGTGTGATGAAGTTTGAGGAAGAGAGCAGATGCTAGTCTGGGTTTCTAAAGGCCTGTCACATGATTCTGATGCATACCCAGGGTTGAGAACTGCTGTTCTAAATAGAAACGGCCACCTTTCTTCAATGTCTTTCTTAATGAAGCATATTATGGAAGTGATCAGGATTTTATCTGGGCCTTTGAAGGGATGCACATACCTTGTAATGAGGATTCAATGAAGATGATTAAAAAGTTTCATATTATTTTATTGTATTTTGAGAGTGATAGGAAAGGGAATAAACACTTCTGTACATGGAAGAGGGAAAGCCAAGAAGGCAAAAGTGACCTGAATGTGGTCACAGCATGGATGGTAGAGCCATGGCTGAAGTACACCTATCCTGGGCCCTTCTGAGGGCTCCTGTCTTATCAACACTTCTTGTTCCAACCACCTGGGGTAGATCCTTTCACAGAATTCCCAGCATCTAGCACCTAGCACCTTTGTTGAATGAGAGAACAAGCTGAAGTATGAACTTATTCTTCCATCCCTTTCCAAGTTTCCAGACCCAACTGCAAAGAACTTTTCTTCAGTTACATTATGTGTTGGCTTCCCTGAGTCCTGTTGTAGCTGTAACTTCCTTGAGAAAACTCTATGTGCCAAAGGAATAGTAGAACTTGGAAAGTTCTGAGCCTTCCCTGACAGTGAAGAGACTTTTACTACAGAGCAGGAAGGACGCAGACTGTTTCCAAGAACACAGTTAAACCACGGGTCTTTAAAAAGTCCGTGGAGCGGCCTGCATTGTGGCATAGCTGGTAAAGGCAACTTTGATGCTGGCGTCCCATAAGGTCACCAGTTTGAGTTCCAACTGCTCTGCTTCCAATCCAGCTCCTTGCTAATGCTCCTGGAAAAGCAGTGGAAAATGGCTCAACTCCTTGGGACCCTTCTCCCATGTGGGAGACCTGGAAGAAACTCCTGGCTCCTGCCTCGGGCAGGCCCACCCCTGGCCATTGTGACCATTTAGGGAGTGAATCAGTGGATGGAAAATTCTCTCTCTCTGTCTCTTTGGCTCTCTCTCTCCCTCTCCTCTTTCTCTCTCCTTATAACTCTGCCCTTCAAATAAAAAAGTAAGTTTTTAAAAAAATAGTTTATGGAAATTGTGTATTATGAAAAACCTATGCATCGATTTCAAAAAAATTTTGCACCAAAATAAACTTATCTGTTAACTCAGTTTTTCCATGAACTTTTTGAAATACCCTCATCCATGTATTGTTACCAGTTTTTGTTTTTTCAGGTTTTATTTTTTGGCACCATCTAAGAATGCAGTATTTGAGGCACATACTTAAGCTGTAGAAGATAAGCAACGTTGATCTGTTCTTGGCACAGTGCTTTGCAGCCATTTCCCCAAATCGTAAAAGAACCAGATTCATTCAGGGGTTATTTGCAACAAAAACAATGATTATGCACATTATGGAGATGGTACCTTGGTTTTAGAAGGGGAGTACATTTATTTATCTTTAGTCTTTGCCAAGAACAATGTTTAAACTACATGTACAGGGGCATTGTGGTGTAGTGGGTAAAGCTGCCACCTGCCATGATAACATCCCAAAATGGCATCAGTTCAAGACCCAGCTGTTTCATTTCTGATCCAGCTCTCTGCTATGGGCTGGGAAAGCAGTAGAAGATGGCCTAAGACCTTGGGCTCCTGCACCCACATTGGAGACCCAGAAGAAGCTACTAGCTCCTGGCTTCAGATCGGCCCGGCTCCGGCCATTGTGACCATTTGGGGAATGAACCAGCATATGGAAAACCTCTCTTTCTCTCTGCCTCTGTTCTCTCTGTAACTCTTTTTTAAATAAATACATAAATAAATCTTCAAAAAAAAAAAAAAAAAAGCCTGCATGTGCAGGGATGGGCTCTTTGCCTAGTGGTTAAGATGCCCACATTCTATATCTTAATGCCTGGGTTCAATGCCTGGCTCCAACTTGCTGGCTCTGGCTTCCAGTCAGTGTGGACCCTGGGTGGCAACAGTGATGGCTCAAGTAATTGGGTCCCTGCCACCCACATGGGAGGACTGGGTTGTTTGCAGCACCCAGCTTCAGCCTCAGTCCAGCCCAGCCCTGACAATTGGAGAATGCGGGACTGAACCAGAAGATGCAAGTGTGATCTCTCTCTCTCTGCCTCTCAAATTAATTAATTAAAAAAAAAAAAAAAACCCTTGTATACAGGCTGCAGTCGCACTGACAAGTAACATGGCTCATGGAATGAGTGGGCTTGAACTGGCCATGTGACCCTGGGTAAGTTGTTGTACTTCCTGGTCAATTTAGATGGAAAATGAGAAGGTTGGCCAAGGTGTTCTCTGAGTCCTCCTCCAGCTTTCAAGTGCTAGGGTTCAATGATTTATCTCTATTCCAGTGTTCATTTAGAATTTAGGTCATTTCAAACTCACTGCAACTGTTTCAGTAACTTCTAAGCTTGTTACAGCAACTTCAAAGAAAGCAGATTGAATGATAGTATATTAATTTTCATCCTCAAATCTCTCTCTAGGTGAGCTGTCAGAAAGATGCATTTTTTTTTAAGATTTTTATTTATTTGACAGGCAGAATTACAGACAGAGTGAGAGACAGAGAGAAAGGTCTTTCATCCACTGGTTCACTCCCCAAATGACCACAACAGCTGGAGTTGGGCCGAACCAAAGCCAGGAGCCAGGAGCTTCTTCCAAGTCTCCCATGTGGGTGCAGGGACCCAAGGACTTGCGCCATCTTCTACTGCTTTCCCAGGCCATAGCAGAGAGCTGGATCAGAAGAGGAGCAGCCGGGACTCGAATGGCGGCCATATGGGGTGCTGGCGCTGCAGGCGGAGGGTTTAGCCCACTGTGCTGCAGTGCCTGCCCCAGAGAGATGCATCTTAGAAATGCCATCCCCCACTTTCTGCAGTATCTGAGGGCTTGCGTGACAGTCTCAGGGCTGAAAGTTGCTGTGCAGGGTTCCTTTTGGCAGGAACGCACCCCCCCCCCCACCCCACGCCCTGCAAACATCCTTTACAGATCCAACACTGTGGGGGACTTGTGCAGAGCAAGGGACTCATACTGAATTCCCTAAAGCACACAAAGGAGCCCTTGACAGTCAGGGAGAGAGGCTGGCTGGCTAGGCAGGCAGCCACCTGGGAGGAACATACGGCATCCTGCTGACTTCCGATGGGTCCACAAATGGACTCTGGGTTAAAGGACAAACAAACCCAAAAGTCAAACAAGTGAATCATAGCTTTTTTATTCTTTGTCACTTAAACTGTTAAACATTTTAAACAGTGGTAAAATGCATATAAATATTTTAAACTTGAATTTTTAATCATGAATTTAATCTGGGTTTTGTTTTTATTATTATTTTTAATCAAGCTGGCTTTGGGAAGGCTGCCTGTGAAGGCTTTGAAAATCACTGAGACACTGAATGACCTTCTAAAATTCGGACTGCAGGGTGGCTATTTGGCATAACACTTAAGTCGTCCTTGGGATGTCTGTATCCCACACGGGAGTCCCTGGTTTAAATCCCACCTCAGCTTCTGACTCACCTTCCTGCTAATTTACACCCTGGGAGGCCTCAGATGATGGCCCCAGTAGTTGGGGATACCCATGTGGGAGAACTGGATTGAGTTCTGTGCTCCTAGCTATACTGAGTTCTAACATAGGCAAGGAAAGGTCCCACTCGATGCCACCCAGTCCTGACTCCTGCTCCATCCCATTCCACTCTGCCCTACCTGCCCAACAGCTTCCTAGTCTTAAAATCTACCATAACTCTTATCAAAACTTCCTGTCCAAAGAAAGCTTCTAGTGACTTCCATTCTATCAAGGACAGATAAATCAATCCTGGACCATGTGCATTATTACCTTGCCTTCAGGTAACACTAATAAAATTTAACAAGAGCTCTTGGATGAAAAGTCTATGGTTACATGAATGGAATTCCACTTGCTTTTTAAAAAATTTATTTATTTGGGGGCATGAACTATGGTGTAGCAGGTAAAGCCACTACCTGCAGTTCCGGCACCCCATATGGTCCCAGCTGCTCCACTTCTGATCCAGCTCCCTGCTAATGTGCCTAGGAAAGCAGCAGAGGATGGCCCAAGTGCTTGGGCCCCTGCCACCCATGTGGAAGACCTGGTTGAAGCTCCTGGCTTCTCGCTTTGGACCAGTCCAGTCCCCGGGGCAGTTGTAGCCATTTGAGGAGGTGGGCTAGTAGGCCTAGGTGGGAAGTTTCACATAGCAGGGCTCCTGGGATGCTCCAGGAGAGGCCATTGGATGCTGTGAAAGGGGCACATCAGGGAGCCGGCAGGAGGCCAGGCGGGCAGCATCCTCGGCTTGGGTCAGGCACTTAACTTCCCCAGGACTGGTCCTGGACCCAGGAAAAAGGCTCCTTTGTTCTTTTCTCTGTATGCTCTTCCTCCCTGATTGTGGGATGCTCTGAGGCCACGTCTAGTACCGTTCATTCTGGGAATCCACATTTTGGATTTCGTGAGCTCTTGCTAGCCTGAGAAGGACTGGAGCCACCAGGTGACACCTTGTTCCCACGCGAAATTTATTCTCAGATGACTAATGATGTAGGTCTCAGAATGAAACCTATTCTGTGACCTCTCTTGAAATCCAGGCACAACAGGCGCCGTCTTGGTCTGGGAGTGGGGATGGGTAGGGAGGATCAGACAGTTGCCTTTGCACCCTTTGGATCTTGTAGGCAGTGCAGAAAAATCTTGAATAGATTGCAGGGTACGAACGGAAGCCAAGGATACTTAGCTCCGTAACCTTCTAGAAAGTGTCCCCGCAGGGGAAGAACCCAACCGGAAGAGTGTCTGTGCACCAGCTGGGTTGGAAGCCATCTGAGTTTCAGCAGTCTGTCCAGAGAGGGGTCATTAAGGTGTGGTTTGTGTTCCTTTGCAGCAGGGCTCCCAGGAGGCCTGAGGCACTGTAGCCCCTGCAGACGTGGCCAAGGAAAGTTGTGTCGCAAAGGGTGGGGGTGGTGGTAAGGAAACCCTGAGAGACAAGTACTTTTTCAGGCAGCTCATCAAAGATTTATAGTGCTGCGGGAGTGGTACTTAACCTGCTAGTGCTGATGCGGGATAAAGAGGCAGCAGGATAGCTGGGTGTGCTGAGCTGGGCTCTAGAAGCCTGCGTCAGGAAGCGGTCTCTTTAACCGCCAATTTGATAACGCCCACGTTCCCAGAATGCACCGGTCACATCCGGGACCCAGGCGCGCTAGGCGAGCACCCCCTTTGCATAGCCACTCGAGGGACCGCCCACTTCCTTATAAAGAGGGGCCGTGCCGGGGCAGGCTATCCCTCTGCCGTGGACCCCGCGTAGACGCCCCTCCAATGTGGCCTGGTCTCGGCGCGAACTGTCCCGCTTTTGCTTAGAGGTACCGTTTTCGGGTTTTCTTCTCCTTTCTCGTTTATGAGCTATTCTTTGGCCCACTCATGTTGGGTATTTGTGTGAGCGACTCACACTTGATCGTGAATGGATGTTTATTCCCTCACTGTCACTGTTCCTCTTTGCACACTTACCAGTCTCCATTGACTGTTTCTGTCTTTGTGAGAGACAGTATCCTGGATCAAAGACTGATATATTCATTGCCACATCACTAGTGCGGCCGTGTCAGAGCTGGGGAAGGGGAGAAGATGGTCCGGCCACCTGTCAGCATCCCAGGACTGACCTGATCACCCTGGAGGAGTGAGGCAGGACTGCTGGTGCCCACAGCCTCCTCACCCCACCTGACGCTACCTTCCTGGCTGGAGCCACTTAGGGGAACCAGAGCTACTCTTACAAAGACACTTGGGAAATGCAGTCTCTGAAACGGGGCGGTTATCCTATGGATTTCAACTTGGGGTCTCTTTCCCCCTTCCCTGTGGGGAGAGAGAGAGAGAGAGGAGCAGTATGGAAAGCTGGCCAGATGGGCACAAATGTTAACAAGCCCAACAGATCCCATAGGTATAATTGATTCAGTGAGTTCCCTGTTAGGAGAAACTGATTTAGCAAAGTTTCTCCTAAAAGGCAGTCAGATCACTTTCCACTGCCTCCTTGTTGTCTTTCTGCCCACAGTCCCACAATGAGGATGCTGGGAACTGCAACCAGAGGACCAGAAAGAAAGCAGGGTTAAGACACTGCGTGTGATGCCAGCATCCAATAAAAATGCTGGTTTGAGTCTTGGTTGTTCCACTTCCAGTGCATCTCCCTGTTAATGTCCTTGGGAAACCAGTGCAAGATGGCTCCAGTGCTAGAATCCTGCACCCACATAGGAGACCCAAATGAAGCTCCTGGCTTCCGCCTAGCTCAGCCTTGGATATTGTGGCCATTTGGAGAGTGAAGCAGGGCATGGAAGATGCTCTCTCTCTCTCTCTCTAACTCTGCATTTCAAATAAATAATCTTTTTTAAAAAAGTAAAGAAATATGGTATTGGGGATTGACTCATTGCAGCAAAGCTTCCAATTCCAATTTAAATGCTACATTTCTCTATAAAATCAGAGTGCTTTATGTAAGTGATGAAATACTGGGTTATCTTCAAAAAACATGCTGACTTGTTCCAATGGTCTCCAGTAGTGAAGGTGGAGACAAAGAATCATATTAGGGAATTTAAAAGGTAATTCTGGCTTTTTTTTTTTTTTGAGGTTTATTTGTTTATTTGAAAGGCAGAGTTGCAGAGAGAAGGAAAGACAGAGACAGTGAGATCTTCCATCTATTGGATCTCTCCCCAAATGGTCACAAGGGCCAGGGCTGGGCCAGGCCGAAGCCAGGAGCTTCATCTGGGTCTTCCATATGAATGCAGAGGCCCAAGTACTTGGGCCATCTTCAGCTGCTTTCCCAGTGGCATTAGCAGGGAATTGGATTGGAGGTGGAGCAGCTGGGACTTAAGTATTGCTCATACGGGATGCAGGCTTTGCAGGTGGTGGCTTAACCGGCCTACATCACAACACCAGCCCCAAAAGGTAATCCTTACATTAACATTAACATTTCAGCCCCATCCATACTCTTGTCCCGACCCTGTCTCAGGAGAGTTACCAGAAAAAAGCAGCTTTGTGTCTGCTTCCCAGTGGAGGAACCAAGGCAGTGGGGTGACCCAATGACCCGCAGGAGGGGACAAAAGAGCAAAGGTCAACAGCAGTAAACACACGGGTGCATCTGTTCAGTCAGGAGCTGGCCAAGCCCACAAGGCTGGGAGATGAGCAGTGTTGCCCTGGTGCTCTGTGTCCCTGGAGGTCATCTGTGGTCCTTGCACCTCACTTTCCACTACTAAAAAATGTGCTCCTTAATACCTGTCTCCATAACAATAAGGGAAGATGAAGCCCAGAAAAAACACTAGAAGGTGTTGAAGCCTTGGAGAAGGTTCTCCATAGTGTACAGGGGAGGGAAGATTTCTTTCCAAGGTTGCTGGGTTCCTGGCTGAGGCCCCTGGAAAAAAAAGATAGGTTCGTAAGAGAAAAGCATGTGCATCAGTTGATTAAAGTTTTACATGACTCAAGGGCCTTTAGAAATGAAGACCCCAGGGAACAGACTTGCACGTTTTTAAAAAATAAAGGCACATTGGTTTCTTTCTTTCCTTCTTTCTTTCCTTTCCTTTCTTTCCTTTCTTTCCTTTCTTTCCTTCCCTTCCTTCCCTCCCTTCCTTTCTTTCTTTCTTTCTTTCTTCCTTTCTTCCTTTCTTCCTTTCTTCCTTTCTTCCTTTCTTCCTTTCTTCCTTTCTTCCTTTCTTCCTTTCTTCCTTTCTTTCTTCCTTTCTTCCTTTCTTTCTTTCTTTGACAGGCAGAGTGGATAGTGAGAGAGAGAGACAGAGAGAAAGGTCTTCCTTTGCCGTTGGTTCACCCTCCAATGGCCGCCGCGGCCAGCGCGCTGTGGCCGGCGCACCGCGCTGATCCGATGGCAGGAGCCAGGTACTTATCCTGGTCTTCCATGGGGTGCAGGGCCCAAGCACTTGGGCCATCCTCCACTGCACTCCCTGGCCACAGCAGAGAGCTGGCCTGGAAGAGGGGCAACCGGGACAGAATCTGGCGCCCTGACCAGGACTAGAACCCGGTGTGCCAGCGCCGCAAGGCGGAGGATTAGCCTAGTGAGCCGCTGTGCCAGCTTCTTTCTTTTTAAAATGATTTATTTCATTTATTGGAAAGACAGAGTTAGAGAGAGAGAGAGAGAGATCTTCTATCCACTTGTTTACTCTCCAAATAGTCACAACAGTCAGGGCTGGGCCAGGCCAAATCCAGGAGCCAGGAACTCCATCAAGGTCTCCTACATGGGTGACAAGGGCCCAAGCCCTGGGCCATCTTCTGTTGCTTTCACATTAGCACATTGGCAGCGATCTGAATTGGAAGTGGAGCAGTCAGGACTCTAAAGTGGATCTCATATGGGATGCCAGCGTTGTAGGTGGCAGCTTAAACCACTACACCACAATGCCGACCCCTAAGTTTGTACAGTTTAATGCTCTGTGGTTTGATGAAGAGTGATCAGTTGTGGAGAAGTATAATTAGAGAATAATTGGGTGTGATTTAATGGTGATAAACTGAGCGAGACTTAGCAAGACCTGTTTGTTCAGATTCTTCTTTGTGTCCTGTGTCTTCGGCTTCTTTCTTCTGGAAAGTAGAGAGAGCACCTCCTGAGTGAGGATCTTCAAACTGCTTCAGGGAAAAGGGAGGGAGGGAGGTGCTTCTTCTATTTCCTCAGATACCAAGGGGTAGGAAGTATGTACTGAACCCCATCAAGGGGCAGTGTTCACAGAAGCAGCAGGTGCATAAATGTGTGTTTTCTTCTGTCAGGGGCAAGGTCAGTGATCAAGACCAGGAGGAAAGTTAGGGACTGGGAGCTAGAGAATGTCATTGGAAGGGTGGGTTTGGGTTGGAGACTGCACTTACTGCCAGGCCTCCAGAGGGGGAAACTGGGAGGATTTCTCTTCTCTTCTCTTCTCTTCTCTTCTCTTCTCTTCTCTTCTCTTCTCTCTTCTCTCTTCTCTCTTCTCTCTTCTCTCTTCTCTCTTCTCTCTTCTCTCTTCTCTCTTTTCTGTTTTTTTTCTCTCTATCTCTTTTTTGAAGATTTATTTATTTATTTGAAAGGCAGAAATACAGAGTGAAAGAGAGAGAGGGAGGGAGGGAGAGAGAGAAAGAGATATCTTCCATCCATTGGCTCATTCCCCAAATGGCCACAGCAGCTGGGGCTTGGCCAGGCCGGAGCCAGGAGCTTCTTCTAGGCCTTCTGCATAGGTGCAGGGGCCCAAGCACTTGGGCTATCCTTTGTTGCTTTCCCAGGTGCATCAGTAGGGAGCTGTATTGGAAATGGAGCAGCGAGAACTCAAATTGGTGCCCATATGGGAAGCTGGCACTGCAGGTGGAGGCTTAAGCTGCTACACCACAGTGCCAGCCCAGAAGTTTTCTTTTTTATCCATGTTGGTGTGGTTGTCATAGTCCACTTGACAACAAAGCTGCTTTGTCCTTATTCTGCACTGTAAGATGCTCTTTGCTCTATCTCCAGCCTGCAACTCATGGGACTGTCACTGTGACAAAAGCTTGGAAGCACCCCTGTTTCACAGAGGATGACAAAGCAAAGAAATGTCCAAACACTCTGATTCTTCTCAGGGTGCCAGGAATTTTGAACATGGAAGCAATTCATCTTCTAAGGACTGGGTTATTGTTTTGCATCTTCACCGCTTATCATTCTGCCTTGGGCTTGGTTTGACAGTTGATTGGGGCTTTGTTGGAGTTCACCCCTCCTCCTGTGCACAGGGTGGCTTTGCTATCTGGCTGGTCAGCCAATAGCTGCTCTGTGCCTGCCCTTGTCCTCGACGTAATGGCATAGGAGAGCCTTTCCCTCACATTCGCATCTCAGAAAACCAACCAGGAAAGCAACACAAGTCTCTCTCATAATTATGTTTAGTCAGCAAATTCCCTGAGCTCACTGTCACATCTTGTTATAGAGACGTGCTTGCCTCCGAGGAGCCTCCCTGCAGGCCCATCTCCGGAGAGCAGGCAAACAAAGGAAGAAGTATGGAAGCCAAAGTGATTATCCAGGCCCAAGTGACAGCATGGAGGGATTGTAAGGAAATGATACGCACAATTAGCGGCCTGGCAAGTTTACAGACATGACCCCGGGTACGCTCCCCAGGGTTCCCCTGAATACGTCAAGGGGGACTTTGTAGCCAACTTTGGCTTTTCATGCATCTCAGTAGTCAGGAAAACAGAGCAGTAACGGTGATTGACAGAGCTGAGTAGTGCCTATTTATCCAGCCCAAAGCTTTTGTGAGAGAGGGGAAGGGAAATGTCTGCAGCACTAGGAGGCCTGGGCTCCCGGCTGAGCCCGGCCATCACTGTCTCTGGGCTGAACAGTGCTTTCGCTTCAGCACAAGGAGGTCAGTGGGAGAAACCAAGCGAAGGTCATACCACT